AGCAGCGGCGGGAGCCAGCGCGCACCCGGTGCGCTCCCTGGCACGGTGGAGACACTCAGAGGGGAGACACATGGCCTCCCCCGGGGCCATGGGGAGGACGATCCCCTCCCGTGAAGCCACAAGAGCTGGGCAGAGGGTGGGACGTGCAGTTGCCAAAGAGGACGGTGACTCAGTGACTCAGTGGCTCAGTCACTGTCCCACAGAACACCACCGGGGTGGCACCAGAGGATGCGTGGAGAGGAGTCACCCCGGCTCCCCCTTTGCACCCAGCGCCGTGTCACCCCGCAGGGGACCTCTGTCCCTCGAGGACAGTCACCTGAGCTGTGCGTCACCCCACGTCCCAGCTGTGCATCACCTCCCCGAAAGGACACGGCTGAGAGCGGTGGCACCCCCACATCCGAAGGGGAGCGACCCCGGGGCTCAGCGCCCCTCCGGCCACCTGCCCGCTCCCTGCTCCCACCCCAAATTTCACAGCGTGCGTTTCTCGCCGCCGCAGCCGATCTCCTGTTTATGCAACAAGTCCCCCGCGGGAGGACGGCACGTTTCCAGCCACGCTCCCCCCCTCGGCCCAGCCCCACCCTGCCCAGGCTCAGTGCGCTGCGGGCACCCCGTTGTGCCAGCCTCGGGGTGCCCGCACCCAGCCGCTTGCGGGGGGATCCCGAAAAACGGGGCTCAGCGCCCCAGCACGGCAAGTGCTCGGCTGCTTTTCGGGTTTCTGCCCCTCAGCTGTGTCCTGCAAAGCCGCTGGCTGCGGGCAGGACGTGCCGGGAGCCCCAGTTTGGCCGGGATGAGTCAGGAGCTGGGGGTGAGTCAGGAGCTGGGCGGACGCCGGAGCGCAGAGGTCCCGCTGCTCCCAGGCTTTGCTCCGAGCATCCCCTTCCCAGAGCCACAGCCCCGCCACGTGCCCGGCCCCGAGGCGCTCCCAGAGCAGGGCAGAGGCCACGGGCTGGGCGTCACCGTGTCCCTGCAGCCGTTGCACAAGAGATGCTGGCGGTACCCGGGGAGGGAAGTGCTCTCCTCCGATCCCCAGCCCGGAGGCTCGCTGCGGGGCGAACCCCTTGCAGCACCCGCACGCCCCGCTCCTATTTCTCCCTTGCACGCCTCCTCGATTCAGGCCACTAAAACCCCAGAGGAGCCACAAGGAGGGCTCAGGAACAGAAAGGATTCACCCCATACCCAAGCACAGGGGAAGGATGAGCACCAACCACGGGGCAGGGCGAAGGCAAGGGGACGCCGTCCCCAAGCACCCCACCACAGCCACCCTAAACCCCCATAACCCCAGCAGCGCCCTTCCTTGGGGTCAGCACTGATTTCCAACAGCACCTGCAGTGCTCCAAGAGCCGTGGCACCGCGGCACAGCCCGGGGACATCCCCAGCTGCCCTGCTGCAGCCAGAGGCCTCCAGCCACCCCGGTGACACGCGGGTGCCTGGTTAAGCTCACGGCAGGGCCGTGCGCCCGGCACGCAGTTCCCTGCCCAGCACCAGCGCAGGATCCCTCCCCTCCCACCTCCCCCTGCTATTTCCAACAAACACCTCCGAGCGCTGGCCCCATAAACACCCTCGTGGCAACAAGTCCTCGTCCCCTGGCAGCGCGGTGGCTCGGGGCAGCAAAGCCGAGGGGACCATGTAAGGGAAGGCAGCGGAGAGCTGCCAGGACGCCGCGCAGCCGCCCCAACGGTGCTGAGCCTGCCCGGGATGGCCCCTGCCCCGGTGTCCCACCAGGAAGGTGGCAATAGGGGCAGGGAGGGTGGCAGCCCCAAGGGCTCCCGGTGGCGTGTCACTTGTCAGGCTGAGCCGGGAAGGGGACGCGCGGGAAAGTTGCGGGGCCTCCAACTCGGGCTGGTTTCCATTGAACCAAAATAGCTGGGTTTAACCCAAATAAGGGCAGCTCCTGGCTCCGAAGGGCTTCGAGCAATCGGCCCAGGGGTTGCAGCGGCCGGACTGGGAGAAGGAGGAGAAGCCGTGCCCTTGGACATTCTTGGGATGCAAAAGGGCTCTTTGGGGTCGGCAGCACGGCACGGGCACCTCGGCGTGCCCCAGAGCGGGGCCGGCCCTGCTCTGCCTCCTCCTGCGGGCGCCGGGCTCGGCACGGGGCCGGCCACGGGTAGGGCCGTGCTGTGCTCCAGCACCTAAAAAGGCAACGTTTCGGCACCGGCCGCCCCGCCAGGCCAGCGCCTGCCTGGCTGCGGCCCCAGCGCCCATCCCGTGGCCGCTCTCCCAGCCTGGCCACCACCCGTGGGTGCTGCCACCCGTGGGTGCTGCCACCCGTGGGCGCAGGGATGCCCGTCCCCAGGGTGCCACCTGCCCCGGAATGGGGACCCCGGATAGGAGCGGGGTCACTGCGCCCTGCTCCAGCCACCGGGGCGGGGGGATCTCAGGGCTCTCATCCCCCCCTGGGGACCCCGATCGGCCCCAGGGATCGACTGGGATGGAGAGGTCCTTGTGTGGGATTGGCCAGCGAGTGGATTCTTGCAGGGATTGGTCGGCGAGTGGATCCTCACTGTCGGCATGTGGATCCCCCCCCGTGGCATCGGTTGGATCCCCGATACTCAGATGGGATTGGCCAAGGCAGGGATCCCGGCACAGGATTGGTCGCTGAGTGGATCCCCACGTGGGACTGGCAGCGGGGGTACCCCCGGTCCCCGTGGGGCCGCGATCCCCGTGCCCAAACTGTCCCCTCCTGCGCCACCTGGGGGGCTCTGCCCCGCTCCTACAGGGGTGGCAGGGGGCTGAGGGGACACAGGCGCCACCGTTTTGGGGTGCCACGGGGACAGGGCGCACGAGGCTGGCCACGGGGCACAGCAAAGCCAGCGGGAGGGTGGCACCAGGCGAACCCTCTGGCTCTGCTCCCCCAAACAAACCGGGGTGCAAACAGAGCCACCGGCCCTCAGCGTTTGGGGTGAGGCCCCGGGTGAGGCTCAGGACCCCAAAACTCTGTGACACGGGCGAGCACAGCCCCGAGGAGCGGGGCCCCACGAAGCGTCACCGCCAGCCCTGCCCTTCCTGGCGCGGGGGCCCGCGGAGAGGCTGCCCTAGGGAGGCTCCAAAGCGGACACCGGGGGCTCGTGTCCCCCGGGGGTGTCACCACGGGGGTGGCATTGACCAGGGTGGCGTGGGACAAGCAGGGGGCCGCCGGCAGCGCCGTGCCCCAGCAGGGACAGCGCAGCCCTCTCCGTGTCACCGCGCTGCAGGGGCACGGGGCGCGTGCTCGGGTCCCCCCTGGCTCCCCAAAACGCGTCCCCAAACCCAAGCGCACCCCAGCACCCTCCACGAGCACCCTGGGGACGCAGCCACCGCCGCCCCCCTGCCGGCTCTGTCCCCACCACCCACAGCCGGGGGGGACACCCAGGGACGGACCCCGGCCCCCGCGGGGCTGCGCAGTTCTCCTTTTTTTTTTTTTGTTGTTTTCCCCTTAAAAACAAAACGGCTGATGCCTCGCTCGGCCGTTTCCTCTCCCAGGAACACAGCCCAAAAACATCTGCGCCGCCGGGACCTGCCCTGGCGAATTTAACCCTCTGCGTGCCCGGGCGGCGTCGGGGTGGGAAGGGGGGGCCAGGAGGCCACTGTGGTGTCCCCCCCCCCTCCCCAAGGCCCCTCACCACTCATTAACCCGGGGTTTAACCATTGACGGTCCCGCAGGAGGACGGGGAGGGGGATTAAACCCTGAGCTGCGGGGCTGTCCCCACACACACGCAGCCCACCCCGTGACCCCCCCGTGAGGGGACACGGCTGCCAGGCCCCCCCACTCCTGCGTCCGTGGAGAGGGGGCACGGGGTGTCCGGGATGGACCCCCCACACCCTGCACCCCCTCCCTGGCCCCCTCCCTTGACGCTGCTCCCCGCGTTGCCCCCTCCGAGCCCCCACCCCCTGCGGGACCCCCTCCGGGCACCGACCCCCAGCAGTGTCCCCAAACCTGGAGTGTGCAGGGGGGGCAGGAGGGGGTCCCCCAGCCACGCAGCACCCTCCCCGCACGGCTGTCACGCTTGGACCCCCCCACACACCCCCAGGAGATGCCGCCCCGCGCAGCGTTTGTCCCCCTAATGGGGTTTTGGGGGAGGAAGAGGGGGGGGCAAGGACCCCCGTGTGCCGTGGCACCCGGCTGTACCTGGTTCATGACGCTCCCGAAATCCATCCGGGGTCTCGCCTGCCTACATCCGAGGGGGACGGCAGCGCAGCCTCACCTGGCCGGGGGGCTCTGGGGGTGGCTGGGGGGGGGGGGTTTACCGGGGAGGGAGGGGGGGGCCGGGGGCAGGCGGGAGCCCAGCGTCGCCCGGGCGGGCAGGCGTGAAGGCGGACTGCAGGCAGAGCCCCCCTCCCTCCCCGGGACAAGCCCGGAGAAGGAAGGAAGGAAGGAGGGAGGGAGGAGGGAGGGGAGGGAAAAAGGGGGGGGAGAGCCCAAGGGTTTCGCTCCCCGCAGGCAGGACCCCGGCGATGGAGGGGAGCCGGGGGGGGGGTCCCTGCAGCCCCCCCCTCCTCGCCCCTCCGTACCCCCAAGGCTGCTGGGGGGGGCCCTGGGGCGCCGGCCCCCGGCCTTGGGGGGGACGGGGGGGTCCCGGGTGGCTTTTTTCCACCGCTCCCCTCCCTCCTCTCCCTTCTCCCTCTCTTTCTTCTCCTCTTCCCTCTCTCCGCGCGCTCCAAGTCGGACGCACACGCCCAGCCCCGCTCCCCTCGCCTCCCCCAAAAACGCCCTTAAAGGCAACCGGGAGCCGGGCCCCGGGGCGAGGGGCGCTGGCGAGGGGGGACACACCCCCCCAGACCCCCAAATCCAAATTTTGCCCCCCTCCCCGAGAGCCCAGCCCAGCGCCTCGCACGTCCCCGTGCCAAGGGGCCCCGGGCGGGTGGCGGGGTCGGGGCCTTATCGCCCCGCGTGACGCCGGCGGCGTCCCCGTGCCCTTGGCAGGGGGGTGGCAGGGGCACGGGCATGGGGCTCGGCTTGGGGCTTTTCTGTTTGGCCCCCCAAACAGGGGACAGCTCGGTCCCCCACCCTGCATGCCCGAAAAATGGCTCTTGGGTACCCCGCTGGTGCCGGAGCGGGGGCAGCGAAGCTTTGCCCCCAAAAAAGCCAAAAAAAGGATGGGGAAGCCCTGGCTGCGGCCTGTCCCGTGGCACATGACACCCTGCCAGCCCCCCCCACTGGCCTGTCCCAAAACCAGGGCACACCCAACGTCCCCCTGGCCTTCCTCCCACCTCCCTCCAGCCTCCTCCTCCTCCTCGGAGCTCAGCCCCAGCCCTGCCCGCGGGCACCGGCAGCGGCGTGCGAGCAAGTGGTCAGTGCCAGGACACCGGGGCGCAGAGGGGCCGTGGTGTAAGGAAACCCCGGCCGCAGCGGGGCCGGGGGCGAGCCCACAGAAAGGCAAACAAGCCGGGGGGGCCACGAGCCAGCCGCCGGGCCCGGCACTGTTGACATTTTCTCGCCCAACACCTCCCCGTTCCTGTTTGCGTTTCCGTCCTCGCGCCGCGGGCCCAGCCAAAAAAACTCCAGGGCTGGCTCTGCCTGGAGCCAGGGGGTGGGATGGGGTGGGATGGGGTGGGATGGCAGCGAGGGGCTCGCCCTCTCCTTCTCCCCCCGGGGCCAGTGGCGTGGGGCAGGAGCCAGCCCCAGCTTTCCACCTCCGACCCGAGCATCCCGCTGATCGCATCCCCTGCGCCACACCGGGGCCGCTCCTCCTCAGCCCCACGCAGCCGCTGCTGGCACCTGCACCGGTGCTCCTGGAAAGCGTGGAGCGAGCCCCCGGCACGTGAGGAAACCGAGGCACGGGGCGGCTGCGTGCCCTCGGAGGGCTCGGGGGGCTGGGGGCTTTCCAGCAGAAATGGGGCAGGGGAACAACGAACGCCCCCAGCCCAGGAGCTGGGCACGGAGCCGGAGCCGGCACAAATCTTGGCTCCCCAGGACACGGCCCCGGGGCAGCTCCCAGGCCCTGAGAAAGCCCAGTGTGGGAAGAGCTGGGGCCAGATGGGAAAGGATCGGCATCCCAGGGGTGAGCGGAGGGCACTGACAGCTCGTCCCTGTCCCCTCCTGCAGGAGCTGTCCCCAGGGAGGCGACGGAGCTGTCCCTTGGGGAGGTGACGCGTCCCCTCACAGGGCGCAGCCACTCGAGTCCTTAAAGTGTCGCTGAACTCAGACCCCCGCCAGCCACCAAAACATCAAAAACATCCCAGAGCCAACACGGGACAGGGGACGGGTCCAGCAGGAGGCCCAGTGTCTCCGGTGGCCTCGCGGACCCCCCCAGGGAAACCTGGGCCTGGTGATGGACCCCACCTGAACCAGCTCCTGCGCATCCCAAAACAGCCATCCCCATCCCAAACCAGCCATCCCCATCCCAAAACAGCCATCCCGGAGCGCACCCAGCCCGGGAGCCCCCCCCCTCTAAATAATTGGGGCCCCCCCTAAAAAAAATTGGGCCCCCCCCCTAAAGAAATTAGGATCTTGCCCTAAAAGGTGGGGAGACCCTAAAGGACTTGGGGTGCCCCTAAAGGAATTGGGGCGTGCCTAAAACTATTGGGACCCCCCCCTAAAGAAATTAGGATTCCCCCTAAAAGTTGGGGCCCGCCCTAAAGAAATTGGGACCCCCCCCCAAAAAAATGGGGTGTCCCTAAAATAATTGGGATGCCCTCTAAAGGAATTGGGGTGCACCTAAAGAAATTGGGACCCCCCCCTAAAGAAATTAGGATGCCCCTAAAAAAAATTGGGACCCCCCCCCCAAGAAATTAGGACCCACCCTAAAAGTTGGGGCCTGCCCTAAAGAAATTGGGACCCCCCCCCAAAAAAATGGGGTGTCCCTAAAATAATTGGGATGCCCTCTAAAGGAATTGGGGTGCACCTAAAGAAATTGGGACCCCCCCCTAAAGAAATTAGGATGCCCCTAAAAAAAATTGGGACCCCCCCCCCAAGAAATTAGGACCCACCCTAAAAGTTGGGGCCTGCCCTAAAGAAATTGGGACCCCCCCCAAAAAAAAATGGGGTGTCCCTAAAATAATTGAGAACCCCTCTAAAGGAATTGGGGTGCACCTAAAGAAATTGGGACCCCCCCCCCAAAAAAATTAGGACCCCCCCTAAAAACTGGGATGCCCCTAAAAAAAATTGGGACCCCCCCCCTAAAGAAATTGGGATGCCCCTAAAGAAATTGGGACCCCCCCCATAAAAAAAATTAGGACCCCCCTAAAAACTGGGATGCCCCTAAAAAGAATTGGGACCCCCCCCTAAAGAAATCGGGAGGCCCCTAAAGCAATTGGGACCCCCCCCTAAAGAAATTGGGCCCCCTAAAGAAATTGGGGTGCCCCTAAAGAAATTGGGACCCCCCCAGAGAAATTTGGATGCCCCTAAAGAAATTGGGATGCCCCTAAAACAATTGGGACCCCCCCTAAAAAATTGTGACCCCCCCAAAAAACAATTGGGCCCCCCCTAAAAAAATTAGGACCCCCCCAAAGAAATTGGGGTGCCCCTAAAGAAATTGGGACCCTCTCTAAAACAATTGGGACCCCCCCTAAAAAAAATTGGGACCCCCCTAAAACAATTGGCTCCTCCTAAAAAAATTGGGACCCCCCCTAAAAAAATTGGGACCCCCCCTAAAAAAATTAGGACCCCCCTAAAACAATTGGGACCCCCCCTAAAACAATTGGCACCCCCCAAAAAAATTGGGATCCCCCCCTAAAGAAATTGGGACCCCCCCTAAAAAAATTGGGACCTCCCTAAAGAAATTGGGACCCCCCCTAAAACAATTGGCACCCCCCAAAAAAATTGGGATCCCCCCCCAAAGAAATTGGGATGCCCCTAAAACAATTGGGACCACCCTAAAAAATTGGCATGCCCCTAAAGAAAAGTGGGACCCCCCCCCCCCAAAGAAATTGAGACCCCCCTAAAAAAATTGGGCCGCCCCTAAAAAAATTAGGACCCCCCTCTAAAGAAATTGGAGTGCCCCTAAAGAAATTGGGACCCCCCCCAAAGAAATTGGGACTCCTCTAAAAATTGGAATGCCCCTAAAAAAATGTTGGACCCCCCCTAAAAAAATTTGGACCCCCCCCCCGTGTTGAAGGGATTTGGGTAAAATGGGGTGATGGGGGGGCAGCGCGGGATTTTGGGGGGGGTGGGGGGGAAATCGCTGCTTGACCCCCCCCCAACCGGGGTGTTTTGGGGTGGGGGGGGGGCGCTGTGATGTCCCTGGGGTGCTTGGTGGGGAAACTGAGGCACGGGGAGGTTTGGGGGGGGGGGGATTTATGGGGGGGGGTCATGGATCCCAGTGCCCCCAGAGGACCCCTGGGCCCTTCTGGGGCTTTTGGGGGGGGCAAAACCCGGGGGGGGGGGGCGGGGCAAAGGGCCTCAAGCCCCGCCCCCAATGGCAGGCCCCGCCCACTGTCCCCCCCCGGGTAAATTTGGGGTCACCCCCCCCCAAGGAGTCCCCCCCCCACCCCCTATAGGGTCCCTAACCCTGGGGCGCAGGGGGGTTTTGTAGGGTCTCCACCAAAACACCGCCCCGGGGGCTCTTTGGGGTGCCCCCCCTGCTCGCTGTGACCCCTCCCCATTTACTGTGACCCCCCCCAATTTATTGTGCCCCCCCCCAGGTGCCCAGAGCCCCCCCGCCAGCAAGAAGCCGCGGGGCCGCAGCATCCTCCAGTCCCTCTTCTGCTGCCTGTGCCGCGATGAGGCCGAGCCCTTCTCCGTCAACAACAACGCCCCGCTGCTGGCCGAGGAGAACGGCGCCCTGCCCAAGGTAAATTCCCCCCCCCCCCCCAAAAAAAAAAAAAAAAAAAAAAAAAATGGGGACCCCCCCCCCAAAAAAAAAAAAATCGGACCCCAAAAAAAAATGGGACTCCGGAAAAAAATGGGGATGGCACCATGGGGGGTACCCGGCACCCTCCGCGTGCCAAAATTAAATTTAAAAAAAAAAAAAAAAAAAAAAGGGGGGGGGGAAAGGGGGGGGTGTCCTGCTCGCCCATGGGGTGGGGGGGTCCCTCCTGACCCCCCCCCCGCGTTGTGCCCCCCCCCAGGCTGCCGCCAAGCACCTCCTGCCCGAGCTGAAGCCTCAGGACGCCAGCAAGCTGTGCGTGGTCATCGACCTGGACGAGACGCTGGTGCACAGCTCCTTCAAGGTGGGTGTGTTGGGGGGGGGGGTCACGGTGTCGGGGGGGGGGCAGCGTTAAGGTTGGGACCCCCCCCAACAAAAATAAAATAAAATAAACCTGCGCTGACCCTGCTGTGCCCCCCCCCGCAGCCGGTGAACAACGCCGACTTCATCATTCCCGTGGAGATCGACGGCATCATGCACCAGGTACCTGGGGCGCACCGCTAGGAGAAAAGGAGGGGGGTCCCGGTGGGGTGCTGTGCCCCCCCCCCAAAAAAAAAATAAAAATCGTGTCCCCCCCCCCCTCCCAGAAGAGGCCGGCGCCGGGTTCAAGTAATCCAGGATAGGCTGTGTGCTGGCAGTCAGCCTGTTCTAGGTTACTTGGCTCCGGAGCCCGCCCGACGCTTCGCCGTGGAGGTGCCGGGGTCACCGCGCGTTCCCCACGTCCCCCCTCAGGCACTTGGGAGGGGGTCCCAAAACGGGGGGGTGGGCACGGTGTTTGGGGAGGGGGGGGGGCTTTTTGGGGCCCCCCCTCAGCTCCCCGTGCCCGCAGGTGTACGTGCTGAAGCGGCCGCACGTGGACGAGTTCCTGCAGCGCATGGGCGAGCTCTTCGAGTGCGTGCTCTTCACCGCCAGCCTGGCCAAGGTGGGTGACGCCCCCCCCCCAAAAAAAATATCTTTGCCCCCCCCCTCCTCGGGGGTGCCGGCCACCGCGGGACCCCCTCTTGGCCACCTCTCCACGGGTGCCACCAGATTGTGGCCACCACGGGTCCCGTGTTGGCCACCAACCCGTGGCCACCGCGGGTCCCCTTTGGGCACGCTGCGCTTTGGGCACCGCGGGTCCCCCTTGGAGACACCGCGGGTCCCCCTTTTGTGCCCCCCCCCTCCAAGCCCCATGGGTGTCCCCGATGACCCGTGTCCCCCCCCCGCAGTACGCCGACCCCGTAGCCGACCTGCTGGATAAATGGGGGGCATTTCGGGCCCGGCTGTTCCGCGAGTCGTGCGTCTTCCACCGCGGCAACTACGTCAAGGACCTGAGCCGCCTTGGGCGCGACCTGCGCCGCATCATCATCGTGGACAACTCGCCCGCATCCTACATCTTCCACCCCGACAACGCCGTACGTCACCCCCCCACGGGTTTGGGGTCGGTTTTTTTTTTTGGGGATGGGAGGGGGGCACCAAGGTCCTGATCCTGGTGTCCCCCCCCCGCAGGTGCCGGTGGCCTCGTGGTTCGACAACATGGCAGACACGGAGCTGCTGGACCTGCTGCCCTTCTTCGAGAGGCTCAGCAAGGTGGACGACGTTTACACAGTGCTCAAGAAGCAGCGGACTAACAGCTAGTGGCCCGCGGGACGTGCTGGTGGCACTTCGGGGGGGGGACAGGGTTTTTTTTATCCCCCCCCCCCTCCAGCCCCGCTCGCCCTCCCCGTCTCCCCTTTCGCTCGCCGCCGCCGCTGCGGTGACGGCCATCAGGAGCTGGGTGCTCCCTTTCCAAGCAGAAAGGGGGGGCCCTGGGGGGGGTCCTCTGCCGTGCTGTGCTGGGGATGTGCCGTGGGGGGGGGTCCGTCCGCCCCCCCCCGCCTCCCCTCTCCATCCCGTGCCCCCTCCCCGAAACGGTTCTCAGGTCCTGTTCTCCACCGTGGAGTGGGGAGGGGGGGGCAGCAGCTGCTGCTTTCCACTGCCTTGGTTTTTTTTTGGGGGGGGACTGTGCCCCCCCCCCATGGGGTCTGCCTGCCGGGGGGGGCTGGGTGAGGGTTAGCCCCCGACCCCCCCCCGATGTGGGTCCTGTTGGTGTTGGGGCGCGGGGCGGCCGCCATGCCCCCAGCCCTGCCCTGCGTGATCACCTGGGGGGGGGGGGACACGTCTCCACCCCCCCCCGTGCCTTCTGGTGCCCCCCCACCTCTTCGGGGGGGATTTTTAGGGGGGGCAGCCCGGCCTCTGGGCTGAGCCCCTGGCTGTAAGCGCCCCCCCCACGTGCCTTGGGACGCCAAGTCTCTGTGTGTCCCCCCCCCACCAGCAATATAGGGGTGCCTGCCTGGGGGGGGGCTCCTAAATCACCCCCTCCAACCTCAGTTTCTTCCCCTGGGGGGGTCTGTATGGCGACCTCCCCCCCCTCCCAGTTACGCTGCATCAATGGGAGCCCCTCTGGCCACCAGCGGGGGTGTCCCCTGCCTCGGGGGGGGGCCACGTGCCCCCCGTTCCCAAACGGCGCCCCCAAAGGCTGTGACTCCGGGGTTGGGGGGACCCCATCCAAGCCTTAGCGTGCCCCCCGGCCCCCCCCCCGGCCTTACACCAGCCTCGGGCCCCCCCTCACCCCAGCCTCGAGGGGCCAGGGGCTCTCAGGGAGGGGGTGTCTCTTTTTATTATTATTTTTTTTTTTGGAAAGGGGGGGGGTGCGGTTTTTTAGAGTCGCTATATGGACAATGTCTCGTCTATTTTTAGGGGGGAAAAAGCAACGGTTTCCCCAAAATTCAAGGGTGCCTTTTTACCGCTGTGCCAGGGCAAAAAGGGGGGGCCTTTTATATTTTATTTTTTTTTTTTTTGGGGGGGGGGGGGGATAAGGGATTTTTAACTCTCCGTTGCTGTCCGTCCGTCTGTCCCCCGCGGGTGCTGCCCCTCCCCAAATGCTGGGGGCCAAGGCGGGGAGGAGAGGGGGGGTCCCCATGGGTCTGCCCCCCCCCCTCGGCCCCCTGCCCGGGCCTGATCCTGCCCCCCCCCCCCCCCCGGTGAGCTCAGCACTTTATTAGACAAGTCAAACGGCACCGGCACCCGGGGGGGCACCCTTGGGTGTCCCTGGGGGGGGGTTGGAGGGGGGTGGGGGCGGCGTGTGGAGGTGGGAGCGGGGTGGGGGGGTGGGATGGGGGGGCTGGGGACCAGATCCAAGTGCCTTGGTGTGATTAAAGCTGTCCAAGCCTCCTGGGAAGGGGCCCGAGCTGCGGTGTGGGTGTGCATGCGCCGGTGGGGGGGGGGGCAAGGGGGAGGGTGCAAGCCCCTGGGGGTGCAAGGGGGGGTGCAAACCCGTGGGGGGTGCCCGGCTGCGTGCGCACACCCGTGTGCGCCCCAGGGCCCCCAACCCCTATCCATGACCCCTCGGTGTCCCTTGGGCAGGGGGGGCGCACTGGGGGGGGGGTTAAATTCCCCACGGGAGCTCAGAGCTCCCCCAATTTCCCCCCCCCCTCAGTGAGGTTTTGGGGCCCCCATAAGGCTTGGGGGGCAGCAGGGGGGGGGGGTTGCGTGGCTTGGCCCCACGCCTCTCCTCCTTAATGAGGTCTCTGTCCTCTCCGGTGGCTGCGCTAATTACTGGGTTCATTAGCGGCCCTGCCTGCGGGGCTGGCCGGGGGGGGCTCCAGGAGGGGGGTCCCCGCTGTTGTGTCCCCCCCCCTCACCCCTGTGCCACCAGCGGGCTCAGCCCCGCGACGCGGCCACCGAGCGGAGAGCGGCCACCAGGGTCCCCCCCCAAAAAAAACAGCCCCACACCCCAAAGGGGGGCTCTGCGCCCAGGTAAGGGGGACACAGCGTGGGGGGGGAGGTTGGGGGGTTGGGGGGGCACCCATTTTTTGGGGTTGGTCCCCCCCAGGGTGGCTGAACCCTCGCTGTCCCTTTGGGGCTCCCCGGGGCCACGCGGGCGCAGGATGCGGCACGGTGCTGGCTCAGCAGGGCGGGGGCGATAAGGCTGCGATAATCCTGCGATAAGCACGGGATGGGCGACGCCAGGGGCATGCCTGTCCCCGCTGTCAGCGTTATGGGGCCCCCCCCGCGTCCTCAAAGACACCCTTGGGCCACCGAGGTGGCAAAGGACCAAAGGATGGGGACAGCTCGGCCTCAGCGCATGGGTGGGTTGGAGTTGGGGAGGGGGCAGCAGGAGAGCCTCATCCTGGCACTGCTGGAGGGTCCCCAGCTGGGGGTGTCCCTGGGGTGTCCCCCCCCGGCCACATCCAGGGCTGGTGGCAGCTCCGGGTGCGTGCGAGGCCAGGGAGCCAAACGGGGAGCGAAAGAGAAAGCGAGCGGGGACGGGCAGGAGCCGCCCCGTTCCGGCAGCACCAAGCCTGGGTGAGGCTCATGGGGCATTTGGGGCGATTTCCAGCCCTCTGTGGGGTCTCACCCAGCCTGGGGGGGCTAAAAGGGGCTGCTCCATAGGGCTTGGCTGCTCCAGGATCCCCCACGGTGGGGTTTGGGAGCATCTCCGCGTCCCACTCGTTCCCCAGCTCCCTTGGGGACACATCCATGGGCACCGGCCTCGTCCCATCCCTGTGCCACCCAGGGCCTGGCAAGGCCCCGGGGGTGTCATTACCCCGTGGGTAACGGGGTTCCCGAGGCGCCCCAAAGCCTCGGAAGGATGCGGGGACCTTGACTCCGGGGTGTTCCTGCCCTTTTATGGTGAGCACGGGCAGGGACACTCGGGGACAAAGGTCTGCTCGCTGCTGGCACCCCGGCACTTCGCCCAGGGACGCGCACACCCTGTGCCCAGCTCCGCGGGGAAGGTGAGGGGATGGGGACAAGGGGACAAGGGGGACAGCACATCCCGGTGCCACCGCTGCTGATGGCACTGGGGTGGCGTGGGGACAACTTTTGGGGGGCAGGGGGTGCGCGCTGGGAGGTGTGGGGGGCGCTGCTGGAGGGGCTGCGCCCCGCTCGGTGCCCAAATCTCCAGGTCCCCCTCGCCTCCCGCAGCCCCGCAGGGGGGTTAGGGCTGTAGGGCAGCAGATGGCCCCTTAATGAGCCCAGCCCCTTAATGAGGCCCTACCGCTAACGAGGGTGCTGGCGGCGCCCCGCAGGTCCCCTTGCCTGCAGCAGCCAGCACCATGGTGGAGCTCAGCGCCCAGGTCACCAAGAAGCTGAACATCACCACGCCGGGCATCCAGATATGGAGAATCGAGGTGGGTCCCGGGGGCTTTTTTTTGGGGGGGGGGGCTGTGCGCTGTGTCAGGTCCCAAAGAGGAGGCAGGATGCCGGGAGGGGGGCGCAGCGTGGGCACCCACCTCCTGCGCATCCCCTGGGTGCCTCCAAAGGGGTCGGAGACCCCTAAGGGTGGGCAGTTTGGGGGGGGCAGAGGGAAGACCCCCCTCCCCGGACCCTTTGTATATGACCAGTGCTTGGTTTGGGGGTGTTGGTGCAGCACCCAGGGTCGGGTTTTGGGGCTGGGCACGGGGTTGGGGTGCCTGCGGGCTGCCCCCCCCCGTTCTGACACAGGCTCCCTTCGTCCCACAGAAAATGGAGATGGTGCCGGTGCCCACCAAGAGCTACGGCAACTTCTACGAGGGGGATTGCTACATCCTGCTCTCGGTAGGGTGCCGGGGAGGGGGGGGGGACACCGGGAGCGCTGCGGGGTGCCCCTGGCCGTGACAGCCTAGGGACACGGGGTCCCCTGTCCTGCAGACGCGCAAATCCGGGAGCAGCTTCAGCTACAACATCCACTACTGGCTGGGCAAGGAGTCGAGCCAGGACGAGCAGGGGGCGGCTGCCATCTACACCACGCAGATGGACGAGTACCTGGGCACCGTGGCCGTGCAGCACCGCGAGGTGCAGGGCCACGAGAGCGAGACCTTCCGTGCTTATTTCAAGCAGGGGCTCATGTACGTGGGGGGCTCAACGGGGTGGGGGGGCTCAAAAAGGGGGTGGTGGGGACGGGACCCCCCTGGGGATGCCTCCGCTCGCGGGTCTCGCTCGTGCCGCCGAGGGGGGTCCCGGTGCGCAGAGGCGTGAGGGGGACCCCAAGGGGATGGGAAATTGGGGTCCAGGGCTCACGGCACGTTCACCCCCCCCAGATATAAGAAAGGGGGGGTGGCCTCGGGCATGAAGCACGTGGAGACCAACAGCTACAACGTCCAGCGCCTGCTGCACGTCAAGGGCAAGAAGAACGTGGTGGCGGCGGAGGTGAGCGAGGGGAGCGAGGTCACCGCCCCAAAACCATCCCGTCGGGGTGCAGACACCTGCGAACGGGACAGGTGGAAGTGGGGGGACTCACAGTCCTGACCCCCTCCCCATCCCGCTGCAGGTGGAGATGAGCTGGAAAAGCTTCAACCGGGGCGACGTCTTCCTGCTGGACCTGGGCCAGCTCATCATCCAGTGGAACGGCCCCGAGAGCAACCGTGCCGAGAGGCTGAAGGTATCGGGGGATGGACACACAGCTGCCCCAAGCCCCTCAAAACCCGATTTTGGTCCCCCCCCCACGTCCAAGCCGTGCTGACCCTGTCCCCGGGGGCAGGCGATGACCCTGGCCAAGGATATTCGGGACCGCGAGCGCGGGGGGCGCGCCAAGGTCGGCGTGGTGGACGGGGAGAACGAGGGCGCCACGCCGGAGCTGGTGCAGGTCCTGCTGCAAGTGCTGGGCGAGAAGAGGGACATCAAGGCGGCCATCCCCGACAACCAGGTGGAGCAGATCCACAACAACTCCCTCAAGCTCTACCAGTGAGTGGCTGGGGACGGGCTGCCAGGTGCCCGGGGGGGCGCAGCACCCTGCATCCCCGGCACCGGGTCCCACGGGTGCCCATGGGGGTCCCTGGGTACCAGCTGGGACTGGGGGCGCAGTGGGGAAGGGGGCGGGGAAGGGGCCCCCAGCCCTGCCACCCCAATGTGGGGCTGGGGAGGGGGTTTCCCAGCCCTGTTCCTATCCCTCTCCTTCCTCTCTCTCGCCCCTCCAGCGTCTCCGATGCCAGCGGGAACCTGGTGATCCAGGAGATCGCCATTCGCCCCCTGACTCAAGACATGCTCCAGCACGAGGTGCGGCACCCGTGGGATGCTCAGGAGGGGTTGCCCCCCTCCCTGGCGGCTTAATGAGGACCTCGGCAGGTCTTAATTTCTGCCGCCGTCCCCTCTCCCAGGACTGCTACATCCTGGATTACGGAGGGCACAAGATCTTCGTGTGGAAGGGCAAGAACTCCACCAAGGAGGAGAAGCAGCAGGCGATGAGCAGGGCCCTGGTGAGTTTTTGGGGCCGGTGGGTTGGTTGATTTTGCCGCTCCCCGGGAGAAGCCAGGCACCCCAAACCCATCCGCTGGCTCTGGCTCCCCCCCCAGGGCTTCATCAAAGCCAAGAACTACCCGTCCAGCACCAGCGTGGAGACGGAGAACGACGGCTCCGAGTCAGCCGTCTTCAGGCAGCTCTTCCAAAAATGGACCGTCCCCTCGCAGACCAGCGGGCTGGGCAAGACCCACACCGTGGGCAAAGTGGGTGAGTGCCCCCGGGGACCCCCTCAGGATGCTCTGGTTCAGGCTGGGGATGCTCGAGGTGGGGAGGGGGCTCCCCACGCCCCAGGCTCAGCCCTCGCTGCTTCCCCGCAGCCAAGGTGGAGCAGGTGAAGTTCGACGCCACCTCGCTGCACGCCAAGCCCCAGATGGCTGCCCAGCAGAAGATGGTGGATGACTGGATCCGGGGAGGTGGAGGTGAGGCTGTGGGAAGGACGCGGGACCCCCTCGGGGCACCCCCAGGAGATGTTATGGGGCGCAGGGGCGGTGGGGCTGAGGGTGCACCAGCCCTAACCAACGCCATCCTCGCCCCCCCAGGTGTGGCGCGTGGAGAACCAGGAGCTGGTGCCCGTGGAGAAGCGGTGGCTGGGCCACTTCTACGGCGGGGACTGCTACCTGGTGCTCTACACCTACCACGTGGGGCCCAAGGTGAACCGCATCATCTACATCTGGCAGGTGAGAATCCAAGTCCCGGCGCCACCATCCCGTGGGACACAAAACCTGGGGGGGGCTCAGCTCCTCCGTGGGCCGTCCCCCTCCGCGTGGGTACCCCAATGATTTGGAATTTCCCTGCGCAGGGTCGCCAAGCCAGCACGGACGAGCTGGCCGCCTCGGCGTACCAGGCGGTCATCCTGGACCAGAAGTACAACAACGAGCCCGTGCAGGTCCGCGTCACCATGGGCAAGGAGCCGGCGCACATGATGGCCATGTTCAAGGGCAGGATGGTGGTCTACGCGGTGAGCGGGGTCCGGGGGAGCAGCGGGAGGGTTAGCCGTGGAGGGGACACACCGGGGGTGACATCCCAGCCCCGTGTCGTCCCCAGGGTGGCACCTCGCGGGCGGGCAGCACGGAGCCCGTGCCCTCCACCCGCCTCTTCCAAGTGCACGGCACCAACGAGTTCAACACCAAGGCCTTCGAGGTGCCCGTGCGCGCCTCCTCCCTCAACTCCAACGACGTCTTCGTGCTCAAGACCCCCAACTGCTGCTACCTCTGGTATGGGAAGGTGGGTACCGCCAGGCACCGGGGGGCTGCAGCCCCCCAGGAACACCTTCATCCCCTCCTCCTCCTCCTCCTCCTCCTCTTCCTCGAGGGGATGGGTTGGGGACGGGTGACAGGGTGGCCGTGCTCGCTCTGCAGGGCTGCAGCGGGGACGAGCGCGAGATGGCCAAGACGGTGGCCGACATCATCTCCAAGACGGAGAAGCCGGTGATCGCGGAGGGGCAGGAGCCCCCCGAGTTCTGGGTGGCCCTGGGGGGCAAGTCCCAGTACGCCAGCAACAAGAGGTACCGGCTCCCTGCCCCCGGCGCCCCGCGGCGCCCCCAAATCCCTTGGCCCCTTCCCAACGTCGCCGTGTGCCCCCCTCCAGGCTGCAGGAGGAGAACCCCTCCCTGCCCCCCCGGCTCTTCGAGTGCTCCAACAAAACGGGCAAGTTCCAGGCCACCGAGATCGTAGACTTCACGCAGGATGACCTGGACGAAAACGACGTTTACCTGCTGGACACCTTCGACCAGGTGCGCCGGGGGCAACGCAGGGGCTGGGGACGCTCTGATCCCCCGAGCTGACGTCCCCAAGGGGGTGGAGGACACCGGAGGTGGTGGGGTGGGAGCCTGGAAACCCCCTCCCCGCTGCTTTTATCCAGCCCCCTTGCTCCAGGGATGGCTGAGGGTGGGTGCCCGGTGCCCATCCCTGCGTGTCCCCAGCTGGGGGTCCCTTAGGGCCTCATCCCACCCCCGTGCTGGACACGGTGCCCCCACCACAGGTCTTCTTCTGGGTCGGGAAAGGGGCCAACGCCTCGGAGAAGGAGGCGGCGGCAGTGATGGCGCAGGAGTACCTGCGGAGCGACCCCAGCGGGCGCGACATGGACACCCCCATCATCGTGGTGAAGCAGGGCTGCGAGCCCCCCACCTTCACCGGCTGGTTCGTGGCCTGGGACCCTCTCTGCTGGAGCGTGAGTGACGACGGGGAACGGGGTTGGGGGTGGCAGCGGAGGTGGGGATCTGCCGGGATCTGGCCCCGGTGGGGGCACTGAGCGCTTCTGTCCCCCCCCTGCCAGGACAAGAAATCCTACGAGGAGCTCAAAGCCGAGCTGGGGGACACCAGCAACATGGGGCAGCTCGTGTCCGTGAGTGTCACGGGGAGGGGGGGACCGCCGGTGGCACGAGGAGCTGCAAGGGGACAGCAGCGCCCATCATGGGGTGCCCCTGTCCCCAACCTGCCCCCGTCCCCCCCTCCCCACTCCAGGGGCTCACTTCCAAGGAGGTCTTCACGGCCACCACCACCCTGACCCCCGCCAAGCTGGAGACCTTCCCCCTGCACGTGCTGGTGAACACGGCGGCCGAGGACCTGCCGCGGGGCGTGGACCCCAGCAGGAAGGAGGTGAGCGGGGTGGGGGGGCTCCGGGGGGGCCACACGGGTTTGGGGAGCCCCGCGGCTTGAGCTCAGCCTCGTCTCTTCCCCCAGCAACACCTCTCCGACCAGGATTTCCAGGCTGTTTTCGGCATGAACCGCAGCGCCTTCGGCAACCTGCCCGTGTGGAAACAGCAGAACCTGAAGAAGGAGAAAGGACTCTTCTAGGGCGGCAGCCCCGGGGTTTATTAGTGATATAATAAATGAGGTTGGAGCCGGGCTGCGTCTCCTCCCCCAAAGACCTTACCACGGACCAGTTCTGGGGCTGATTTGGTGAATAAAAGACACTGGGGGCACCTAAAGGCTGCAGCAGTTCTTGGTTCGGCACCGGGACAGCACGGGGACGGCCACCCTGCGCTCCCCAAAAGCCCCAGTTTGCTCAGAGGGGGGAACTGGTCTGGCCCCAGTGCCCCCCGCTCTGTCCCAGCCCTGCTGGGGCTCTTCTCCCTTCCCACCTCGGCACCTGCTCCGGGCTAAAGGTCTCGTATACAGCCCCAGCCGCTCCCTGCGTTATCAGCCAGCCCCTGCATAAAGCTGGGTAAATACCCGCGGTACCAAAGGTAAAAGCAGCGAGCCGGGCTCGGGGAGGCGTGGGGACAGCACCTGCTGGGGACAGCAGGCGCAGGGCAGCTCCTTGGGGCGAAGGGGAGGGCAGAGGCACGGAGGAGGTGCCCCGGGGTGCAGCCGTGGGTTTTGGGGTGCTCTCCAGGCTGCTGTTTGCTGTTTGCACACGCGGGCAGGATGGCACCAGGCACCGGAGCAAAGTCCCAGATAAGGGCGCACGCGGGGCAGAGGCGTGGGGTGCCCGGCGCCAGGCAAGAAGATCCCACACTGACAGAGAGAGGGTTAATAAAGAGGTTTTAATTTCACAAAAAAAAAAAAAAAAATCAATCTATCTACACATCGTTTAAAAGGGGGGGAAGGAGGGAACGAGAGCAAAAAACCGTCAAGAAGAAGAGAGGAACAGGTCTGCTAAAACACAGAGAAAAGTGCTGCTCCACATCAGCAGTGTAAAAAGGACCAGACCCCGAGCCTGTCACCACCGCAGGCGATGACAAGGGTAAGAGCTCCATGGAAAGGAGACAGAGGAGAGGAGTTACTCCTGGTTTAAGCAGTCAGAGGAGGAGGAGAGGGGAAGGGCAAGAGGGGGCAGCTCCTTGCGTTTCTGTGCCGAATCACCCCCGGACTAAGCTAAGCTGATTCAGGAGCGGGTCAATGTTTAACCACGGCTCTGTGCAACTGCGGAAAAGCCCAGGAGGGGTTGGTAACGTGCCAGACCTGTCAGGGTTTCACAGAGACCCATCCCCACTCCGCTGCCACCCGAGGAAATCTCCGCCCTTCAGCTGGCCTGGTGCGCACCTCGCAGCTGTGCAGCCCAGGAGTGTTTGCAGGGCTTTCATTACAGTAATTCACAGATGTTTGCAAATTCTTAGCGGCTAGGATATTAAACGAGAAGTTGGTTTGCACGGAACAAGGCCTGCTGGCTTCCAGCATCAGCTTTCTCACCTCCTTCCAGAGAACAACTGCTTTTAAACACAAGTTAGTGCACGGGAAAGTGGGGCAATGTTTGCTTTTATTATAAATTAGCTGGAGTGCAGCGCCTCGAAAACATCCCTGCCACCCAAAAAAGCAGGGCTGACTTCTGATACTGCAGCGATGCTGGTTCTGTACAGCACGAGCACAGTGTGCTTGGGGGAAACGGCTTTGCCCTCAGGACGGAGCAGTCCCTTTGTCACATTTCCAGGGGCAACCAGCTCAAAGGCCAGCTCCCGCATCACCTCCTCTTCTGACTGCCCCCCAGCTCTGCCAAAATCAGCATCGAGAATAGAAAAGGAAAATGCTTTGTAATAAATTAACACGTACACCACTTCGGCTGCATCTCGCCGGAGAAACGCTCCGGCATCTTCACAACCCGAGCTCGGAAACCAGAAAGATGTCACCCTGGCCAGGTCCAGCAGGACTGGGAGGAAGGCCAGTCGGTCTTTTCACCACCCCGGGGTCCCCAGAGGTCCCGGGGAGGACAGTGAGCGGCGGTGGCTGCTGCTCTTTGCTGCGCACAGAGGTGAGGAGAGGCCACTGAGGTAGCAAAACCCCGTGCCAGCCCGCTAGGAGAAGCCCTGGGGGAGATGTACCTGCTGGCTGTTCTACACCCATGGTTCTGTCCGCTTTGCTTCAGCTGATTTATTCCTGAGAAACTCGTAAAGAACAAAAAATACCAAACAGAAGCTATCTCGACAGCATTTTTTTTTGTTTTAAAGAAGTCTTTCACCTCTAAAACTCAAGCTGCAAAAATCAGAACTAGAGGCCAAAACAAGAGTAACTACTCTGCTTAATAGTGACAATTTCTCTGAAATGAGTAAATGCCAACGAAGGAAACATCTGCCCCTGCTAAATAAGTGCGAAGGTGCTAAAAAAATTAAGTCACTAGGCTTTTTTTTTTCCCCCCTGCTGAAACAAGCTATAAAATGAGCATCACGTCTCTAAATCCAATAAAACTCTTCTTTGTAACCGTGCTCTGTTAATGCTGAACACGAGCTTTCTGAAAGCTTTCCACCTGGTTTAGTTTCACAGTTTGAGCACTCTGTACTCCTCACCTGCAGACCTCACCTTTTCTCACCGTTTCCATCTCACGACGACCCAGGGCTGCACAGAAAGGGTAACGCTACAGCCTCCGAGGAGGCGAGACGGAAAAGTGGCTGTGGTTCACACCTCCTGCTCCAGCAGCTTCAATCAGAGCTGGGTGGAAGCAGCCCCAAGCACTATAACCGAAATGCTGCGCACCTCCAGGGAGCCCCCTCCTCTCCAAAGGGCCCCGAGGAGCAATGCCACGAAGGAAACGCAACCAAAGGATGGAGCGCGTGAAATAAAAGAAAAATCACAGGTATAATCTCATTGCTAAAGAAGGATGACAGTGAACGGTGTAAAAAAAAAGACAGAGCTGCCCACCAGGGATGCAATACATTCCACAGCACCGACAGTTTGTTTCCTGGAACCGCACGTGAAGAGCAGAGCACTCGCAAACCCATGGATGTCAGCACGCAGCAGCTCGAGGGATTCCGAAACGGCTGGCAAGAGCGGACTCGGTGATCTGGGTTTCCAGTGAAAATTACTAACACAACACACGCCAGGTTACAGAATCTATTGCTTAAATTGCTCTTGGAGGGGGGGGGAAAAAAAAAAAAAAAAAAAAAAAAAAGCCAAGTGATATGTAAATCTTCCCCACTCACATCTCGCGGGTGAATGGGCTTTTGAAGTTGAGTCTCTTTTTGCACTTCTTTGTTTTTAAATCAGTTTATGAGCAGCTGTAGTCTTGTGGCTTGATGCAACTCTTTAAGGCTCCATGCTGACAAAATCGTTTGAGGAACAATAAAAACTTCACCACAGGAGGATCGCTCTGGGATGTCAAGGTTTAAAAGTGTGGTTCGGGCCCAGGACTTGCACAGATGGTTCAGGAAACCGAGCGTCCCATATTTCTAACTTTTGTCTCTTGTTTTGGCCCTGAGCTGTTTGTTACTCCTGCGTGTCTGGCACAAGTTCAGAATCGTTCTTGCTCCTCAGGAGGAACAAGGTGTTTTACTCTTCACAGAGGCTGACGAATTGATCTTCCGACTTCCATGCTAAGTGGCTGTGCATTTTTCTCTGTTTCTAGTAACTCATCGAAGATATCCCTAGAACACAGGGAAAGAGCAAGAGTGAAATTACGTACAGCAGGAAGCTGCTACACAACACAGCCCTGAGGGAATCAGCAACTGGACTAAATCCACGAACCCAGCGTCACGGGCTCTGGCAGAGAAAGGTGTCTTATCTGGCGTTTCTAAGCAAGGCTCCCTGAATCCCCAAACACTCCTTTTCATTTATTACTATGACAAAGATCGCTGGTAAGCCCCGGAGAACAGTAACAAGAGAGAAAGTAAGTCCAGGGTAGTAACAGGATCTGAAGGAACACAAGACGCAGTCTGTAGATCAAGTAGCATCTTTTACCAGAACAATCAGGAACGACAGAAAAAGGGGACAAACTTTGAGGCACAAAGCCCTTCTTCAGTGGTGTGCCTGAAAAAGCATTACTTCTATCTACAAGCCTCATCTTGCTCGTGTCCTGAGATGGCAGAGCTGCAACAACACAACCACTGGCAGCCGGGAAAGGGAAAAAAAAAATAATCTCCACTGCGACTCTTGGTGCAAATAATGCTCAACTGAGACACCAAATCCCTTTTTTACAAGATGATTTAGTGCATCCTTTTAAAGCCTTATGCAGCCGTAACATGAAATTCTACGCCTCTGAACTCACAGCACTTTGATTTTGTAATTCTTGCATGTAATTCTGACTAGAATGTCTTCTGACCTATACACGGAGACACTCTGCATCCCACCAAAGGACATTCCCCAGGACACCTACTTGTGCATGTAGAAGAAGATGTAGCCACTTCGGTCTCTGTCGCACTGAACCGTGGTCTCCAGAGTTCTCGACACTTCCAGGTCGTTGTAGGTGAACCAGGACTGCTTCTTGATATCGTAGACATCGCTGATATAGTGACCTTGGGAACAGAGAACACACTTCTCTTTTCATGCTGATTTAAATGCAAAAACACCCGTAGGATCCTGGGGCCCTGTGCCCTTCCTGGCCAACGAGCTGGGGACAGGCTGAAGCAATGCCACAGATCCCCCAGGCAGCACTTTGCACATCACGGTGAGGTACCACAACATCCCCCTGCCAGCGAGCCATGAGGAAAGATCTGCTTTTGCTGCCCAAATTCTCTGCAAATAACCATGCTGTGCTAATTCTGTATCACGGGTTTTTAATCTCGATAGGTGACGGAGAATAAAATGCAGCAGCTTTTACCTGAAGATGATGTGCTTCCGATATGGCTGACGATGCTGATGAGACGATAGGAGTGAGGCAGCTCTCCTGTCTAAAAATAAAGTCCCATTACAGCTTTTAGGCATTCCCTTTTGTCCCACGTAGCTTATGGACAAGACAATTTATATCCAAGATAAGGGTTTTGGGCCTTAAAGATGAAACCCCAGCAAGGATGACAGAAACAGACACCTTGGTTCAGACCAGTGGAAGAGTTCTTCAGGTGCCAGATTTTGCTCCTGGGATGGGACAACCCCAGCTCTATGCACAGAGCAGGGGACAGGAGGCTGGGGAGCAGCCCCAGCACTGCTGGCAGCCAGGGGAAGGGACCACCCTGCTCTGCCCTGTGCTGCTGCGGCCTCACCACAGTGTAAGGAGGGCAGAAAATTATGGGGGAGAGGCCTCATGGCAGCCTGCAGCTCCCTCACGAGGGGAGCGGAGGGGCAGGCGCTGAGCTCTGCTCTCTGGGGACAGCGACAGGACCTGAGCATGGAGCTGGGACAGGGGAGGGTCAGGCTGGGGGTTGGGGACAGGTTCTGCACCCAGAGGGTGCTCAGGCACTGGGACAGGCTCCCCAGAGGTGTGGTCACAGCACCGAGCTGCTGGAGTTAAAGGAATGTTTGGACAACGCTCCCAGCCATGGTCTGATTTTTGGGTGGCCCTGTGCAGCCCCAGGGGATGGACTCAGTGATCCTCGTGGGTCCCTGCCAACTTGGGATATTCTGAAAAGTGGGAAAAAGTTCCTCATCATATTTTATCTTTCAGCAAGCCAATAAAAACGCAAAGAAGCCAGGCTGACCTCAGAACAGATGCCGGCATGAGCTCTACACTGCAAAGTTTTCCTAAACAACCACTTCCTGAGCAACTTCCACTGATGTCAGAATCAATCCACCAAATAAACACAGAGAAGCGAAACGGGAACAGCACACTTACTTCTGAAATATTAAAGATATACCCTTGATAATGGGATATAGATTTGACAGCTAATACCAAATACACGGCCCAGATTCTCTCATCCTGCACCTGTAATGTCAGCAGACAGTGCCCTCTTGGGATGCAGGAGATGTGCTCTGTCTATTCACTGGCAATAAACCTAAATGATGGTAATTGGCTTCTGAAAATCATTTCTGTATCTTCTTAGACCAGGAAACTTGATTGATATGATTAACTGACGATGCTCTTAAAAAGTAAATCTTGTTTTAAAAGAAAGAAAATTGGTAAAGAATTGTAAAAAATACATAAAAACAATTGGGTATTTTTCTGTCTTTCCATTTTTCATCACAAAGGAGCTTTCTAAGACTAAGCAAGTCCGTCTGCTCTTTAAAACTACCTCTAACACTGAGCTGATGGTGTAGAAGGGGGCATATTTCTGAGTTAAACTTTTGGAATCATAGGATCACACCTCTGCATTTCTTTTCAGCTCTTCTGCTTCAGCTTCTGAATACTCCATGTCAAGGACATCCTCGTTTCCAGAGTCTTCATCAGAACCAACGCTGTCCAGGAGAGAGCTGTTAAACTCTAAACAGCACAGAAACAACAACGTTGTGTGAGAACCCACAGCGCACACAGGAATTCACAACAGGTTGAGGTATATTTGCCTTCAGAAACAGGTACAATAAAACACTAGGGCTACCAGCTTCCTTTCCATGGAAAGCAGGAGATGTCGGAATTCCCAAATAAAAACAATCTCCCCCTTCCCCAGCTCGTGAAAGCATTAATTAAGGAAAGCGTCTTGGACTACAGAATTAATTTGGGCATAATCTCTCTAATGCTTTTCCAGAAGTGCACTAGGACGGGGACAGATGGGTGACAAAAGAGCAGCCAAACACCCAGCTCTCCAGAGCACTGGTGGTCTGCAGCCAGAGGCGACGTTAAAAGTGCAGCCAGTTTTGTCAGTGAACTCTAAGTTTACTGACGAGAAGCCACGAATTACACTTTGAAGCTATAAGTTGCATTAACAAAGTGCATTTTTCAATTCAAACTGGCATCAAATCGCTCCTGCTGGCAGCAGGCATCTTTGCATTGTTTTCCGTGCTAGGAGGGCTGCTCGCCACGGGAACTTCCAGCTTGCTTGGCTGAGCAAAATGCAAGCAAGAGCTCTGCAAAGAGCCGGAAGGCAGCGCTGCTCCCTGTACACGCTGTTCCAAACTTCCTGGGATTTTGCAGCCACCCGACTCATTTAAGATTTTGTACAGTGCTCATTAGGAGAAGCGGCTGCGCTCTCACCACCTAAATTAAAGCTATGAAGTCCTGGGTGGATGAGAAGTTGTGATGAACAGGACACTGCTCAGGATTGATTTACCTTCTTGTTTTTTTTTTTGTTTTGTTTTTTTTAAGGCACTACCATGCCAGTCGTGATGGAAACGTTTTGCCAAAGAGACTCTGCTTTCACTGTTACACCACGAGACTCCGGATTAGTATAATCTGCTGCCAAGTTCATAGATTAATCCCTTTAACTGAGAGTATTTCGCTGCTGGTTTCCACACGCTTCATTCAGGCTGTGTAAGCCAGACTGCTGCCCCTGCCAAACACAGCCAGGCAGGCAGGTCTCCAGAGCATTTGCCACAGGTATTGCCAGGCCCCCCTTTCACCAGTTCCTGAATGAAATTTGTTCCTGGATGACCAGCGGGTCTGTGATGGCAGCACCACTGTGAACCCAAGGCAAATTCTGCCAGCTCCATGCTCAAGATTATCAGCATCTCCTTCAACAACTGCTGGCTGAGGCTTTACCAATGACACAGTAGCCAGCTGAGAAGCACAAGGCAATGCTCATCAGTAAGCCAAGCGACTGCAAATCCAAAGGACGACCGATTTCTAGCCTTACATTCCTCCAGGCCACCTGACGTGGGTTTGCACAGTGTTCAGCTTGCTGTTCCTCAGAAGCAGACACAGGTTCATTCAGCAACAGCTGAGGGCCTTTAAAGGTGCTTAAGAAACTAAGAGCACCTTAAGCACAATCCTTCATTACCACTCCCTCTCCCATTCTAGAGCACAAAGTTTCTCTCTGTTACGCTTTGCTCTGCCAGTTTGTATGAAATCACTCGCATGAATGCTGAACAGTGCCTGAGGCTCAGCACACTGTCCAGATTCGGAAAGGACAGTGTATTTTGTGTGCTCCCCCCACTCCACAACTGCTACACCTTGCAATGAGGTCCATCTCCCTCCCATTCTGTCAGACAGATCGGGCACTTACTCATTTTCTTGGGCAAGGACAGTGCATTAATGAGCACTAAAATACCAATTCAAGCATGAAATGATGCTTAAGTTGTGACTAGAGCCATTAGCGTGCTGGCTTCTGCTGGGAATGCAGAATTTCAAGGTCCATTCAGCTATGTATTTAATATATAAAAACTCAGAGAATTAAATAGGTCAGTTTTTATACAAAGTTTTTTTTTTTCAGGCATTTGCTTCCACAATGGAGAGCGAGGAGAGCTGACCCAACCTAAGCCAAATACAATTGAGCCTACACCAAAAGGGCACAAAATCCCAGCTGTCGTACAGACACGCAGGAGCTGTACTCACACACGCAGACCTATTTTCCCCTCAAAAGCAACACGCTGGAATAAGTTAAATAAGCTTCACCTTGCAGACTTAATTCCGTGGCTCGTTTAAGGTCATCATCCTCTTTTTGTTCTCGTGCCTCCTGATGGGAAGAGAAGAGAACTTAGCTCAATGAGACAGTTCACTGTTTAAAATTCTTGTGGTGCTCTTTTTCCATTGAAACTGTGCTGCTCTGGTTTCTACAACAAACCTGACATTGTAAATTAAAGGTTCTGTGTAAAGGAATGTTTGCAACCAGCGAGAGTCCAATGTTCCCGTCCAACAGAACCTGGGACAAACCTTCATTAAGGCTTGTCAAAGCTCCTGAAGTTTGGTATGCAGCAGAGCAAGTCTCTAGTAACACCGAACACTTTCTCTGGATCATTAATTTGAAAAGCATCAGAATGAATTTGTAACCTCCGCTGAGGAAAGCTGTCACTTACACACAAAGCTCCTCGCACTTCAGCAAATTTTAGACTTCTGCCCAAAGCCAACTGTAGACAGAGTCATTAAACTCTGACAGATTTTATTATTTTTAGCCGTTTGAAATGTTCTATGTAACAGCTGTAATTCGCAGAGACGCGATGGAGAAAAAAAAAAGACACCACTAAACAAAAGGGTATTAAAAATATTACCATTAACAAGTAGAAAAGAAACCTTGAGTCTGTCAACAAACCCTTCTAATTTTTGGGGGTAGTATTATGCTCGTGTTCCTTCCACCACTCTTGAAAGCTACAGCAAGCCAGTGGGTAATATTTAATGTGCTGGCTTGATTCAGAGCTTGAACGCTTTCTGTGCACCTGAACGCAAAGCCCTAACTACATAATTCAAATCAAGATAACCACAGCCACCACATTTTCATGCCTGAATCATCAATAGGAGATTTTCGTTTCAGAACTGTAGCACACCACCACTCAAAAGGCAGTTTTACATTATTAGCAGGAGGCCTTTTATCTCACAGTTTCTAAAGTGCTGGGGAAGCTTTGTTCAACTACTTAGCATTGCTGAATCAAAGCTACATCTGGCGTGGAACATACCAACCAGCACCTCGTAATGAGCAATGGGAGAGAAAATCCAAGAGCCATGGAAACACCAGATCTCATAAGGAAAACCACGACAGCTTTAGTATTAATAGAGAGCAGACAAGGGCATCTATTTAAAGAAAGACCTGGCTGAGAGTCTGCTTCACTCTGAGGGGCAGAGTGAAACTTGTAGAAATCACTCACGGGCCTTGTAAATCAAGTGGAACACGGATGGTTAGCAGGCAGCCCGAGATCCCAATTCTTTTCAAGTCCAATTTAAAGGACTGTTTTTAGACCAAATTATTCAAGATCCTTTTTCTAACATGGAAGTGTCATGTCATTGCTCCTTTTCAATACCCTTCACTAAGCATCTCCTGCTGGTGACTACCAGAAACAAGGTCCTAGCACTAGGCAGATCTTTAACTTGACCCGGTACAGCTATTCCTAGCATTTGCTTTGAAACTGGTTTCTTCCCCTTTGATTCTTGGCAGGACCTGCTGCTGGTCCTTCAGGCAAGAAGCAGCTGCCAGGGAAGCTAAGGGTGAGCATGTCAGTTCTAGATGACAGCTACCAAGAGCTTAGTTTATCATAATTTCCATTTATCATAATTTTTACATAATGTTACAGGCCAGCGTATAAATGTGCACAGAAGCTTTGAGGAATCTGCGAGTTTGTACTTTCCAAAGTACATACAAAACGCACCCAAATCTATCCAGTGCTGTCACTGCACAGTGGAGCTAGAACATCTGCTTCTCTCAGAGCAGCAGCAGAATCCTTTTGCAGCTGTCTGAACACAAGGTTTTCTTCAGCTATCAGGTTTCCGCTGCTGGGGGAGACAAGTCAAGGAAGCAAACTTTATCTCTTACTTGTTCTTGAAGGCTTTGAGCCAGTGCCTGCTGAAGTTCTTGTTCTTCCCTCTCTCTCTCCATATCGTACTGCTGCAGCCAGTCAACCTCTCCCTGGGAGCCTTCCGGAGTTTTGTTTTCCTTATTCTCATCAAAATCTTTAGTTATCTCAGTGAAATTGGCAGGACCTAAAGAATTAGAAAGTACAGTTATATTTTTCTGGGTCTTCTGTTTGTTACTAGCTCAATCCTCTGTAACCACAATCCTAGCAGCACAGTGACATCTATTGACAAGGAGATATCAGCCATAAAAAATAAAAATAAACAAAACCAAAAAAGCCAAATGGGAAAAGCTCAAAAGGGGACTCTTATTTTAAGAGGTGTATGATGAATCATTTAATGCCTGAACTAGTCATCTTCTTAGTCTTTTATATTCACTCAAACAGAGACTTCAACTAAAGGAAGATGTCACACACCACTAGGCTTCTGCAGCCACGAAGCTGACACTTGAATTTCTCTAGAAAGAACCGCGGATTAAAAAAATACATTTGCATTGCATATTATACCTCAAAGTACTACAGGCAAAGCTACAATTAAAGCCAAATCATTTGTAAGCACAACTCTCAAGCCTTGTTTCAGTCTCTCAGCTTTTTTGCTTCAGGTAAGAGTTCAATCTTGTGAATGCTACCTGTATCCTTAAAAGTGCACGAAGATTAAAACCTCATAGTCAATCTTTAAAGTGAACACTGTGTCTGAAGATTTTGGGGGGAGGTATTTGGCTTGTTCCAACTTCTGGAACAAATGCTCATTCAACTACTGCGCACATCTCCTCTAGTTGTAGGACACTTTCATTCTTCTATTTGCTTGCAGCTGAAAAGGAGTCAAGACCTGCTCCAAGAGCTATCATGCAGCAACATGTGAAACTTTGCAGTTTTGCCCTGTGCAAACTTCAACATCTGCTCATTAGTTACTGGCAAGGATTACACACGGCAGAGTCTCAGTATCTATGACCTCTTAAACATAAGACCACCAGAACCATAATCCATCAGTCTAATCCTCTTCAGATGAATAACAAAGCAGAATTTATTACATGATCTGCGCAGACTGTGTTTCTACTGTAAGAAACACTCAACTCACAAAACTTTTATTTGAGGGTCTTGTATAAGAGAGATCATCTGTCATACATGTATGTAAAGTAGTCAGGGTCTTACTTTCTACCTTTTTGGAAAGTACCACAAATAATTCAATGTTAAAAAAAAAATAAATTACTAGTGATAAGAATCGGACCAAGTTAAATCTTTCATGTTTAGAATCACCTTGCCTGATATAACAAAGCATCCTTTGCAATTAAGCTCCCTTTAAATAAAACATAGGACTGTGAACTCAATAGGTCTTACATTTGACTGCCATATCTGGCAACTCAACATACATAGATACATATCTTATCTGAACAACAAACAATATGCTTTGAATAGCAATTGTTTTATTGGCCATTCAGCAATACAGAAAGCTGAAGACACTGCTGAGTGTTTAACCAAATTCTTAATCAGAAATCATAGAAACTTCTATTAAACATCTACTTTTTACTTAAATGTCACACTACAGCCCCCAAATAATTGCATCATACCTTTTAAAAGGAACCTGAAGAGACACATTTCTGCAGCCACGCTTTCACAGCTCTTTCACACAACCGTAAGTAACAGCATGTATGAAGGAGAGCTCAAGCAAGGCTGACCCACGAAACTTCCAACACGAAAGCTGTCAAGAGTCATCCAGTGAAATGACTTTTTTTTTTTTGTAACGCAGTAGATTTCTTTTTTGTGTTTATTAATATTTAACCTCCTGTCTCTCATACGAGAAGGAAAGCATGTTGTTTCCCTGTTTTTCCAGACTAGTGGAATTAAAAATCTGAGTGCAAGCATGTAGCATACAACAAGTGATAAACACTTAAATTTCCTTCAGCCAATTAAGACACACAATTTCCCTATACCAAGATCAAACAGTCTCCTCATACTTAACTATGTATCTGGGTCAGAGGCCATGATTTGCATGCTGAGTCTCTTATGCTCACTACTCTCAAATGAAAAAGAAGTATTAGAAAAAAACAGAGATGGAGTTAAATTCATTATTAAATAATGAAAAAATAACTACATTCTTGAAAGAATTCTAGACTTACACACCCCAGACCTCACTCTTACACACCAGCAATCTGAACATTGCCACCACGCTGCTCAGGCTGCAGCAGCTACAGAAACGCAACCACCTTCTGATTATGGAGGATTAAGTTCCAGACATTGCCAAATCTTAGTAATTTAAATTGTCTGGTAAGACAATGAGTGGTAGCACGTGTTGATCAGGAGAGAAAACAACAGCAATGAACTCTGAAGACAACCTACCTTTATCAGAGAGGTGACAGACATACAAGAAAATACATTTTTCCAGTTCAATGAATTAAGTGCTCTAGGTATTGGGAAACTGTGAGAAAACTCTTAAATCAGGCAGTTTCAGCAGTGCGCTTGCATCCAGCTTCTGCCACCAAATGTTACTAACCTGCTGCTATCAGTAACCCGCTTTAGCTCACTATAGTCCAGTTTAAGATGGTTACTTCACCTTACCTGATTCTAATGCTGCTTTGGGTTTTTCCATCTCCATAGTTTCCAGGTTTTCTGGCAATTCCTGAATTTCATCATCTCCAAAACCAGTGTCTGGGCTGCTTGTGGGCTTATCTTCGTCATGGTTCAGAGACAGAGAAGCTTCCCTTTTGCTAATCTCTAAGACAGCTGCTAGCAGTTCATCTTCACTCATCCCATCAAAACCAGCATTACCCAGCTCAGGTTTATCACCCTCCATTTTGCTTCTTTTTGAACCCTAGAGATGAATGGAGTTATGATTAAATGCTTGAATGAACAGGTATATAACATCACATTTACATTTCTGTGGAGAGTTTTTTTGTTGCTGTTGCTGATTAACCCCAGGGAGTGGGAGTTTGGCTCTGCCAACATTAAACAGATAGTTATGAGAGACTCAATGGAGTCAAAACCTTTGTAGCTACATTCACTCCAAGGAACGATATTTAAATATAAACTACAACCAGTTTTTACAGGCCCTGTGGCTTAACACAGACAAGCCAACTCTTCCCGTCTCCTTCAGTACATGTGTTCCACCTTTGGGCTCTGATGAATCCTCAAGCCTCTGGCAAGTCGGTGCGAGAATACTGAGGCACAAGGAGCAAAATTTCACGTTTAACAACAAAGCAGGCTGAAATGGCAACTGAAGACCGTAACTGAACTTGAACGCGAGGATGGAAGAACAGGAACTGAAATCGGGCTGGTATGAAGAGGAATTAATACTAGATCTGGTGCCACAGACCTGAAATAAGATATTGTGGGAGTAAGGAACACAACACAGGGCTAGGCAAATAGGGTGAGAAAACAGTTAATCCAAGAGGTAGGGGCAGGGGGAAGTTATTATTTCCTAAGGAGAAAAGAATGGCTTTAAATTGGAAGAAAGGAAACACACTAAAACACTGGTCTTGGTCTGAGGTTTTCCTTTATTTTTTTTCACCCATCATTTTGATCTTAACTGTTTATCAGGAGTTAACCTCCATGAATACATATTTAAACAATTATACTACTTACCATATGTTTATTTTTTTCATTTCTATATTACACATTTTTTTGTTGTTGCTTTGTTTTTCTTTTCTATTAATGTGTGTATCCAGGTCTTACTGCAAACAGCATTTGGCTGCTTCTCAGAATTTTGTTAAAATGAACAAAAATACATTTTTACTGATGCTTTTTATTTACATACAATAAGCTTTTGATAAATAAGACCTTAAGTTTTATACAGCAAGCATTTTGCATTAAAACTGGCTTATCAAAAGATTATGCAATGAATTTCCCAATTTCAATGTTTGTGTCTAATCATCAGTCTCCAAGAATCAGAACTGACAAATTTAAATCACTTTTTAAGCAATAAATCCTCACATTTACTCAGGCACTGAATAAGGAAAGCAGAGGACCTGCTTTTTAAGCTTTCTGATTTCGCCCTGCACCTGTAGCCTACTGCTCTCAGAACTGGCTTAGCCCTTCGAGTAAACTCCACTTCCAGGCGCGCTGCCAACAACTACCACTAAATTCAGCGGCTGGACTTTAAAGACTTGGCAGCAGTCTTGAACACAACTTTTCTATGAGATATTATTTGCATAGCCTTGAAGCAGCTCAGGCTCTAGCACAGGCTGCTTTAAATAAGTGGATCGGAAAAGTAGTTAGCGCAGGGCAGCAGCAGTAATGCCGCGATGAGGCCTAGGCCCAGGCCTCGGCCCTCCCGGGACAACATGGAGGATCTGGTTAATGAGAAGGGATGGCTGGTTGAGGAATGGCCAACGTGCATTACCACCACTGTCTCATTCCCACAGCAGGCTGGAAAGCCCATCGTTTATTTGCTATTCAAATTAAAACGCTTTATTCCCACGGTTTTTGCACTCCCGGAGCCCCTGTGATAGAGGCTACCTATACTTCCTCACAAACAAAACTTGAGGAAGAATCACTTAGAATAGTTTGGAATGCTTTTTCTTTATAGAAGAAGGACTTCAAAGGCAAGCCGGTGTAATTCCCCCACCCACAGCTACCACAGCTGTGTCAGTGCAAGACAGTGGTTGCCTCCCCTGCTCCCAAGACCTTCAGCAAAGGTTTGTTTCTACTTTCTCCCAAAGCAATCCAGTCCGTCACTTCATATCCTGCATATCAGGAAGCTTTCCCTAATATTTAGTCTAAAAATTTCTGCCTGCAATTTCACAGAACCACAGCATATCCAGAGTTGGAAGGGACCCATGAGGATCATCGAGTCCAGCTCCTTTCAGTCTATTGCTTCTTGTTCTATCAACTATGGACACAGAAAACAGCTGAAGTATTTCCCTTTGCTTCTTTCCTTTTCTTGAAGATACACACCCTGTTTAGGCTTCTCCTTACACTAAGGGACCGAAGTTCACTTGCCTGTACTTTCCCCGACAAATCTTCCTTTCCACACCTCTGCCCATTCATATTTCTCTCCTCTGGCCCCTCTCCAATTAATCTCTAACTCTTTTGAAGTCTGGAGCTCAAAGCTGGATACGGCACTCCAGCTAGAGCTCAACGCTGAGAAAAAAATTAAGCATTACTGTACATAACCTGCAGGCTATGCCTCTGTCTATACATTTGCCTTTTCAGTCAGCTTGACATTGTGACCGACTGTCACCCTTTGCTCTGCTCCAGAGGCTCACTGCTTTCCCAGCTGGTCCCATCCTGCATTTACAGTTAATTAGTCCTGCTAAGATTAGCACCTTTAGCGTGTTCCTACTGAACCACCCCTCCTATTTTTAGGCAATTTCTCAGATTTATCAAGATCATTCTAACTGTAGCCCTGAACTTCAACACACTTGCATTCTTTAACAGCTCAGCCTCTTCTGGAAATTTAGAGTTCATCATTTATTTCATTATTTATTAAATAAAAAATGGATCAGGATCCTCCCTTGGTTTGATTTTTCCCATCAGATCAGAAACTTTAAGTACCTACCTCTCCACAAAGTGTTATTCAGCCAGCTTTACACCCAACCTTACATGTCATAATCAAGTACACATTTTTCTGCTTGCTTAAAATAACCCCATAAACACTGTCAAAAGCTTTCAAGAAGCTGAGATGCAGGACACTTGTTCTAAGCACTAGACCTGCAACCCCCTAATAGAACAAAGTGGTACTGCAAGATAAACCTCTAAGTTTCCGGCTTGCCCTTCTGCATCATCATTTTTTCCCCAGACAATTCACCTACCTGCTAATACATTGCCCTGGTAGAGGCAAAAATATCTTAAAATATTAACACCAGTCACAACGAAGACCTCAAAGGCTATCTGAAGTTTACTGTGCCTTTACACCAAGGAGCTCAATCTCTACACACTTCTGTGTGTCTACCTCCAAGGACTAATGGCTTTAGTGTCCAAAAAGGTTTTAATAAAGCTGTATTCAGAAGGAGACACAGATCAGATGTGGAAGACATTTTCTCAATTGAGTATTTTGCCTAGGCCAATTTGTACTAGCTCTAATTTAATCAAGGGCTTTACTACATAATTTTATTATTGACAGCCCATTTTATTTCAGTCTGGAAACATCCTTAATGACAGTTGCCCAAAGGACTGACAGAACTGCTAAGCAGCTGGCACACAGAACCCAACAAGTTAAGTGCAGTTACAACACAATTACCTCTGTTCCCAGTGGGAACCCAATGCAATTGTACAGAGAGGTCAATTAGCTGACATAGGAAAACACTGCCTTCCAGCAACACAGCGCTAATTAGGAGAAAAAAAATATCTTGCATCAGTTTTACTCACAGTCTATGCAAACAAAAGCACAAGCCAACCACGAGCACATATCGGATCTATGCAGACAAAAGTTGATATTTCTTCCCCTTACCTTTTCTTGCTCTTCTTGCAGTTGTTGCTGATCTCTAGTCTGTATGTTGCACAACCTTTGACTATGGGCAACAGAGCGTTTCAATGGCTCATCATCACTGTCCGAATCTACATAGAGTGCTGTAGGGCTCTTTGACTTGAAAGTGTATTTTCTGTGAATTAGAAATATGGCTATAAAACTTCATAGCATTATACAAATCTGTTTTACAGTAACCATTGAAGAACTGTTACGCCAAATGTTCAGATTGTTGGGCAGTACAATTTAGGGAACAAACAGCAACTGTTGAAAATGAAAATTTATTAATGTAGGAAGCGGGGTTTTCAGAAAAGGTATCTTTCACTAGTTTAATTGGCATACCTTCTTCAAGTCTGCAATAGCAACTGACATTTTAAAAGCAGGAACCACACACTTAATGGTTTACCTGCCACACTACCAAGCATTACTTTTTTTTTTTTTTCTTTCGCAGGGTATTAAGATGTAGCAGAATTGAGTTCACAAAACAAGATTCTGCACTTTATTACCAAGCAACCCTGGAGAGGTAGCATAGGATCATTTCGGTTGGAAAGGACCTCTAAGATCATCAAGTCCAACCGTTAACCTACTCATCTGAGTTGAGTACAGTGACAGGTAGAACTCAGCATGAATCATTTATTTGACTTATGAAATTGATTAAGCTGGACTCAGGACTTCCCACATCATCACTAGGATATAAAGTTGCAAGTCTGCACAAACAATTTTTTTTCCCCCCATTTTTCCCATTTGCTCTTTCACTGGGATAAACTGTTTCTTTAGAGCAGAAGACAAGGGACTTCAGTGAAGTTTGGGATATCTGGTCAATCAGGAAATCTGTTCCAAGTGTATTCCACAGTGCAAAACCACTCAGAGCAATATCACATTTCCAACAGTGTCAAAAACTGTCCTTTCAAAATAGCCTATGAAAATAATGCCCCCTCATCTTTACAAATAAGTCTAAGGAACAAAGCACCTGTTTGCAATACTCATGTTGTGGCTCCATATATACTGTTGGAAAAAAGCTAGATTGCAGAACTAGAAACCACTTTGCTTCTTATATACATAGCCTGCAATGATGAATAGAAGGTAGTTTAAGATACCTGGCACTGATAAATCATCTGTGTAAACTAAATCTCTCTCATTGAGCCTTCTGCATGAAAAAAAAATAATAAAATCTTTACTTGCTTACGAGCTCCCAAAGGTTCTCAAGAGAAATGCTAAAAGGATTGTGTCAACTAGGCAAATTGCACCATTAATGCTAATTTCATCTAACATGCAACACCAATAAAGCTCAGATATGGAAAAAAAGAGTAGCCAAAACAATTTATTAAAAGAGGAAAAATTAAACTAAAAAAGTAAGTAGAAAGAATAAAAAGAAGAATTATAAAATTCTAAAATGCCTTGAACACTATCCCATAAAATGCCAGGCAACGGGCATTTCAGAGCTATAACTCACCTACAAGGTGTGGAAGTGCTTATAGTACAGGAATTCACCATTTGGGAGGCTTTCAATGGACGGGAACTATTAAAAAAGCAAAGTATTTATTGCAGCAGTTACAGTCTTTAAAAAGTAAGTGTTTACTCGTCTGCTGTGCATGCAAATCCATGTTCAAAGAAGCATGTAGAACAACATCATGTACTTGCTAATTGCTTACATTTAGAGTAGTATCTCTACGATGCCATAAATATACAACAGCTGTTCAAAACCATATGTAATCCTTTAGATTTGATTCACTTCTTAGTGATGCACCCTTAGGGACAAGCTCATAAATTAAAGGCTTTGGGATCCCATGTCAAGACAACTCTTTCTTTTTTTTTTTTAATTTTATTTTATTCCCACCATCACTAGAGTTCCTGCTCTCAAAACCACAGTCTCCTGTTGCTGTCTGGATCAGCCGGTTTTCTGGCATGTCCCATGCCTCTATTTCTCCTTCCTTACCTAAATCCTTCTAAACAAACCTCCTGGTCCCCTTGATCCTTTCACAGGCTCCTCAAAGCCCATTGCTATCACACATCTACCAAACAGCTGCCAATGCAGAAATCTTTTTCAATCTTCCCCCTCAAACCAAGGTTGCTTCTCTCCATCTTACTCACCCTTTCACTTTCTGGTAAGCCATAATGGTTTCAATGACTAAAAAAAAAAGTCACTGAAAGGCTGTTTTAAATATATTTTAAAGTACGTCTCCATTGGTAAGCTTACGCTGTTCATTATGTTTAAGAGGTAAAGATTTTTATTGTTACAGCAAACTTTTGGAAAACTGCCGCATAACTCTCAAATTCCTCTAAACATTCAGCATGAGAAACGTGCTGGCCAGTACTGCTGAACATACACACCAGATGTGTCCTATCTCACCACAGTTACCGTGGTTATGTCAGCAGGCAGGGACCACAAGAGACCTAAGGGTATCTTTTCCTTATTCTGCCACAAACTTCCTCTGTGACAACTGGGCCAGTTTAATCTCTGTGTCTCAGGACAAGCAGCTGTACAGAAATAACTGTCAGAGGGAAAAGGAGAGAGTATTTTCGGCCTGTGAAGCGTTCAAATACTATAGTGGCACAGTAAAGAATGAAAAATGAATGACAGTACAAGATGTGCAAGTGGGAATTAGCAGAAAAAGAGACGATGCTGTATCTCCTAAGCAGAGGGAAGTGTGCTGTGAACAAAAGGTAATCTAGATTTTGGACTGGGAGGCATAAATTATATGAATTACTCACAGAAGTTTTTCTAAAAAGGATATAAATCTGTTTTCAAGAACAGTGAAGAATTCTATCTTGCCAAATTTCCCTGGATTATATCCCACCAAGTCTTCCTACTGCTTCTATCATGCTTCCTTGCCATGAGAACATGCCGTGTCCTCACGACGACATTACAAATTAGCACAGTGCACTAAATAGGCTATATTAGATATCTCGCTTCTGAAACCACATGATTTTAGCGTTTCTTTATCCAGACATTGTCCAGAGAAGACCTGACAATGCCTACCTCATCGAATGCACTACACAGGGCACAGGTCAATCACGAGCTGTACACTTACATTGCGGAATGGGCGCTCCATCCCAGCGTCAGCGGCAGCCTGGTGCTTTCTGTGCAGTGTGAAAGCAGGGTTAAGTATCTCGGAATAACCACCTGCTGCCCAACTTTGTGGTTGAGAGACAAGGCTACATTGAAGCTGTATCGTTTCAGATGGAGAATCAAGACCCTGAAAGTCGAGAAAGAAATAGAAATGGCACGGTTAATCTCAAGACAGAAAATGGAAAGCAAAAAAAATCCAAGAATAATCCCTACCACCAAACACTTCTACTCAAGTCATGAACTAAACTACTGCGCGTGCCATTAACTCTCAAAGTGTTCCCATTCTTCCTTGAAGCACTCTGCTTACTGAGAGATAACAGGGATCAATGCAGGAAGAAGTGACCAAAGCAAAACCTTCGAAGATAACTTCTGGTAGGAATGTCTCCAACTCCGTCTCACCCACTGAGCACAGAATATCAAGCTTATAAAATATATTTACTGTTCTCACGCTACCAAAATTCCAGTGAAAGCAGGAAGGGAAAACTCATGTCTCCTTGTGCAGTGACAGGGAGGAAGAAGTGTTGCTGAGGGTGCTCAGCACACAGAAGCTTTTCGGAGGGAAACTGAAGAACAGCACGAAGAAACTACTGCCTGCACGTGCATCTTTCTTACATGCTGACCACCACACAAGGTGTCCCATCCATTATTCCAGCTTTAATCTGAGGGGTTTTTGCAACACATTTCCAAGAAAGAAAGGAACAGATGCCAACAGTTACCTGGGAAGCCTATTGAACTTGTGTGTGACAACAGCTGACTTTCCATTGCACTTCTCACAGGAATACTCAATTTCCTCTGCCTGCGTGAGAACAGAAAAATGAGTAGTGGAAGAAAAGATGCATCAAATAGATCTCAGCAGAAAGGACTTCGCTTTCAGCTCTCATAGAAGCTCTTCAAGACAGCAGCCACGCTAAAAATTATATTCACCTTCAGCATGATCTAACAAGAGGGCATCCAATAGGAGCTCAGGTAATAAAGCTCACCGTTTGACAATACATCCACTGATACAGGAGGAAAGGGGAGGAATATTTTTCCCACAAACCTATAGCACAGATCACTGAAATAACCTCAGTTGAGACAAACTAACCTTCAAAGAGAGAAGATGATCTTGCAAGGCTTGCTGTTTTCTCTAACATATACAGCTGTTTGGTTTTTTTCCCAATCGCTTTTGGCTGATGATAATTTACCATCAAGTCCTCTCTCTTGTTCACAACCTCAGCTTTGTTCCTCAAAAGCTATCCTCATCTAACCTTGTCAGGGATGTGCTGCAGCTGAGTAGCTGAACAGGCATGAAAAGGAGAACTATCGCTGACGCTGATGTTACATGACTCAGCCAACAAACATTTTTACAGATGTTTTCTGTGCGAAAATGAATGACGCAACAATAATCTTAATAATCTTTTTGGGGTTAGTTTTGTTTTTTTTTTTTAAATCATAAGCATAAGACCTCCACTAGCTGTTAGAAAAACAAGCACATCAATTATTCAATCTGTCAAAAACACCATCTCTAAATGGGACTAGGAGAAAAAACACGAGCCTCCCTCAAGATACGATAAAACACAACGCAATCACATAGGTAAGGCTCATTTTTAGCTTTCAGAAACCTTGTCTTGCAAGTCCACTTACAAGATGAGCATGCATAATAGTTTTGTTTGTTTGTTTTAATAGATCTGTGCAATGACGCTCTTCCATGCCAGTTTAGATCAGTGCACAAACTGTTGAAGCATCTTAGCCAGGAAGAGGAAGCAGCAATTTCTGAGTGATTACTTCAATCTGACAATCTCCCTTCTTTTGTTTGCTTTCATTTGTGCCTCAACACCTCCAGCATGTAACGGGGAAATTCACTTATTTCACAGCAGCATTATAAAAATTCATTAAGTATTGCATAGCATTTTACCATAAGAATTCCTGTATAATCTTAATGTCCCAACCTCAGAAGAACGCAACATTATTTATTTCACATATCTTCAATCACTGCCACAGAAACTAATAATCAGCTATGCAATCAAAATTTCCATATGGTACAGAATCTGCACATACTCCACGGTGAATTTAAAAAAAAAAGCACAAACTATGTACCCGAAAAAAGAGGTCAAGGGAATCCTGGATTGATCGCGATGGAAGCAATTTCTTTCTTCGAGGAAGGTCAATGGAGAGGTCATTAAACTGTTCTCGTTTGGTGACTGTTTCGCCACACCTAAAAAAGAAACATGCTTATGAAAGCGACGAAAAATAAACTTGAAATTAATGACAACGTACATATTTTTAGGCTAAAGTAACTTCCCAGTAAATATATGCATCTCTCTTAACCTCTTAACCTATTTTTACCCGTATTAAAATGAAAGTGTTTGATGCTTATGACAAAGCTGAGATTTGGGATTTCACTTTGATGTTTCAGAAACTGAAAGCAACTTCTGTTGAGGAGAAAGAACAAAAAAAACTTGGTCTGTGAAAACTGCTTTGGAGAGGCCAAGTGATCAAGTATATGACAAACCAAAGTGACTGCCATGTAGCTGAACAAGCAGTCTCCCTTCAACATTGTTAGGAGAAAAAAGAGACCAGCCCCAGAAAAATGGAAAGCCCCAAAATACTTTGTAACTCTTTCAAAACAAAGTAGTAAGAGTCCATATGCCTAAAACAAGACCTTATTTATTTATTTTTAAGGATCCTGTAGTCATTTATCTTCAATAATTATTATCTGCATGCAATTTACTTTTAGTTATTTTAGGGAACTAATGCACTACACTCTGAAAGTAATATTCCCAAGCATCCGTGTTAATGAGAATTCTGTGGAATACAAGCATCCAGTATGTGAATCTCCTGCACAGGTCATAAACAACAAATGGCAAGAGATACCGGTTTATAACTGCAATAATCTGCAGAAACAAAGAAAACACCATTCCTTGGAAGCCTGTAGAAAGAACAAGAAAAATACAGCTTCCCGTTTTGTAGAAGACATTGCTTGGCTGGAACCCTCTTCTCCCTATTCTCATGCAAGCCAGTAGACAAAAAAGAAAAGCACAACAGCTTTCCAATGGATATGTAATGAAGCACTAAATGGTAAGAGACTATTTAAAGAAGGTCTGCAACAGCAGTGTGGTGTGAGGTTTACGTTATTTCTAGACTGCAGAATATTTTATAAATATCTAGCTTTGGGAAAAAAAACGTACTACTAGTTAGTTCTAGTTATAGTATGCAGATAAAGTCCTAGAAAATGCAAACTGTTCCCAATCATTTAAATAAGTGTGAGAAAGGTTCTGAAGCATACTTACATTTTACAAATGATAGAATGCTGAACCTCAAACTCTAAGTTACTGATAACCGGACAAGTATAAACTTTGGTGGCTGAGAGGTCATCAGAAGCCCGTCCAGGTGAGTTGTCATCATTAGGGACTGGCTCGCTCTTCCAAGTTTTGTTTAATTTTTCCATGTCCTCCTTCAGCTGGTCCAGACACTGGCTCAAGAACTCATGTGCATCCTAGAAACAGGGTATGCTCAACAAGTTATTTTCTACGACTCCATTCAGTGCCTCTCACACATGCAGATGAGAGAAGTTACATTTCTATCTACTGCATTCAGCACTTCTAAGACAATTCTCCCTTAACAAACAGCAGGCAAAGGCTGTCACTCAATCAAAAGCTCAAGTCACTGTCAAACAGAGATGAAGCCTGACAATGCAGTCCAAACAATGAACAACATACACAATTGTTTCTAATGCTATGATACTTACATTCTGCATATACCCAGAAAATCTCTCTGCGGTAGCTGAAATGGCACTTTTCACCTTCTTGAGCAGCTCTTTCTTAACCTCAGGGCTGCAGACGTCCTTTTTAGCAAGCAGATGGGCAAAACGCCTGCAGAAGTCAATGCGATGAAACATTGATTGGTTGTCCACAACTTCAGGGAAATGCAATAATAAAACTCATGATATCTGATTTTAAGAGTTCCTAAAAGCTTTTACCCTGTGATAAGCGGTGCAGGGATTTTGTATGAAAATATTTCAGAAAATGGAAAATAGCCTTTTACATTTCAAGTATTTTGAATTCTAACTTGAGATCACCATTGGCACAGGACCCAAAAAAAAAAACAAAAGAATTCCAGATTTTTCCTAAGATAAAGAGAAGAGCCTTATCAAGCTCTATAAACTTACTTCTGCAATACCTTTTACAATGAGATAAAAAGCAATGCTTTTTGAAAACTGAAATACTGATAGGAGATATTAAATCAAGTGGCACCAAATAAGCAACACATAGATCATTAAATTCAAGTTTTACAGGCAAAGATTTTGTGTGTTTGTTTAAAAGATTTCCACTCTACTCAGTTTAAAGCCATATGTCCTTTGGCAGTGAAACATTATAACAGGATAGAACAAAAGCTGTAATAAAAAGAGCCAGGAGGAGTTCCTTGATTCAAACTACACAGTGTAACCAAAAACCATGTTAAAAGGCACTGCTGAAATCGGCTTTACCTGCCTCTCAGTCAGTGCAATTTAGTTATCTTTTTTAACTGCTTGGCAATTTCACAGGAATACACACTGGTACATTCCATATGCAACAGTTTATGTCATGGTACATACACTGGAAGATGATGGGAAGATGTTCCATGGTGTTCCATGACAAACCAAAAAATAAGATGGAAAGAAAGACCCGTGCAATGCCCTCCCGCTCCAAACCAACACCTAGTACTCAGTTACCAAAAGTATCTGATCCATTCCTCGCAGCTCAACAAGTTCCTACTGTTTTGCTGAGCTACAGCAAAAGTCTGTGCCTCTACACCTGCTAAGGGAAGCCTATTAGGGAACACCTTTTTCACCACAAAACAGCCGACAGGGAGTTGTTAACCCAAGTAACATTTACCATGTTAGATTAAGTGCCCATACCCAAAGCAGTAGACACCAAACTAGAGACTACCAACTCTGAGCTGTTGTACTTGAGCCAGGATCACACATTGCCTTCCATCAGATGTACTCCAACACTAGCTCTACCCACAGTTTGCCTTTAGGCAGATGAGGCAAAAGCTTCAAAAGTGTTTTTTACAAAATTTAGGAAAAGGACATTTCAAAAAGGCACATGGAACAGCCTCCGATTCCAAGCAGTGGGGGAAGAGCTCAAGAAGATACAGCAAAAATCAAAATGACCCCAAACAATATAAAGGGCGATGAAATGGAAACAGGAATGGTTCTGGTATCCTGAATCTTTTTCGTTTAGTGAAGGAAAAGAAAAGGAGGTACACAAAAGCACATATAATAAAAATCCTGAATGGCAGAGAGCACAGTGCATATGCAAATGGCAGTCTGTCTTTTTGATAGACACACAACAGAATCTGAATGGCAAATGAATTCAAAATTTCAAAGAGAAAAGAGTGCTTTACATATTTCAGAAACCTCTGGAGTTTCTTGACATGAGGTTTGTCTGAACCGAGCGTTCATCTGAATTTAGAAAAAAAATTAAATTGGCAGAACACAAACACTCTCCACAGCTACTAGACAAAGCAGATTTTCCAAAAAAAAGGCGTAAACCCTCACGTAGCAAGTAGTTAGTGATCAGCTTAAACACTAGCTGATAACGTTTCAAGAAGCTATTCTGCAACTACTACGAAGTTTTTTGCACTTCTAAAGCATTTTACTCTACCACTAGAAATACAGTAGAACACATAAAGGACTACTCTACATTGCAAATCCTAAAAGCCTACTTCCTATTTCTAAAGTAAAGCTCCAGGATACAGAGAGGTCTAGGACTTAACTTTTCTAAGAGCAAAAAAAAATAAAAAATGGATTGACAATCCCCTATATTTTATCCAGAGTTTAAGGAAAGCACAATCAGCTCACACATCTACGGACACATGCACATCACCCTCTACAAAGGTGCTTCAGGACTGGGAATGCTAGCTTCTCAGTAACCAAAGAGAAAATATCCTTTTCAGAAAGTGAATTTTACCTGATAAGTGCATTGAGTGGAATTTTTTTCCACGGGATACCCTGCTTGAGCAAATCATTAGCAAAAGACTGGATTGAAAACAAGGACTGTAAAATGGCATTCATATAGCAGGTGTTTCCTAAGTTTGAAAACCTGAAAAACAGAAAATTAAACATGGCATGTATGTAAATGTGTAAACGTGCCAGTGTTAAACACGGCACTGCTATCATGTAGGACATTCAACACCCCAGACACTCCCCAGGCAGTTTTAATTGGAGCTGTCCTTCTGCCGTTCAGACTAAATTGAAAACTCATAGGAGGCAGCAACTGTCAGGAAAGCATCCATGAGTTTCTACAATCAAAATATTAAAATGTGTGTGTACATACACGAGATATAAAAATGAACCATGGAAGCATATGAAAGGAATGTCAATTACCTGAAGTTATTATATATCTAAAATTTCGAGGAAGTCAATTTCAGAATACATATTTTCCAAACTAGGAAATGTGCTCCCTGTCTCAGTGTTCATTGATTTCAGGATTTTTTTTTTCCCATGAAACAATTATAACAAGAATACGCATGTTCTAATGATAAAAGCATGCATGATAGATAAAGAAAATTATACTTACCCTTGTAATTGTTGTTGAGGGTGGGTGGAAAGGGGCACTCGGGGTTTGTTCCACCCTGTGTAATCTTGATTAGATCTCATCTTTTTAACAGAAAGAGGAGCAGGCTGAGAAAGAAATCCCAGGCTCCTTTTGGATGAAGGATTCTGGCTGGACACACCAGACCTATAAGCATTAAAGAGTAAGAAGTGTAAGATTTCTAATGCTCTGCCTTCAATAGCAGTAGTTCATGACACTGAAACTGTTTCACTACAGATGACAAGGACTGGTAAAGTCACATGAGACAAGTGGCACATATCAAAGCTGAAGTTGTATGAAATGGCAAACTTCTACCCAGAACACAAAACACTTTCTCTGGTTAGATTTCTTTACATCTACAGGTGTGTAACCAGGTCTTTGGTTTTTAAGACATTCCGCCAATTCACCATGCTGTGTGAAGGAGAGGAAGAACAACAGTGTAGCACGAGATCCTAAGTCATAAGATATGCTTAAAATTCACATCTAGGCTCGGGTCTTCATTTTCAGCCTCATGGTCTTGTAACCTAATCGCTCTGGCTCTAGCTCCTCACGTGTAAAGCGTGGATAATGCTTCTTTTCTTCCTTGATCTTGGATCTTACCTATCTAGGGCAGAGGCCGACAGTCTGATTACACAGCATCTACCACAGAAGAATCCCAGCCTCAGAGGGATTCAGTATTTTATGCATAAAAGCCACACAGCATGTGATGGATGCACAGGAAACCGAAGAGCCTAATTCCAGGGAAAGGACTGTCATTTACAGTTCACACCAGTGAATCAGTCCTACCTGTCCAGGGTGGAACTGCCAGTAGAGTACTCTTTTGGCGAGGACCTACTACCATAAAAGGATGATGACTGTAGTGGTAAAATGCCTAAAAAACAAAAACAGAGAGGTAGGTCACTTTGTTCCAGGTAACTCGGCTATTTATGCAAGACACAAATGGTTTAAAAGTATTTATTAAAAAGGTTTCTAAATCTTCAAATACTATCTTCAAGATTTGTTTGAGACAGTACAAATGCACCCACTTAGAAGTACTAAGGCAAATGTTAATAATATGTACGTAAAGACACCCTGGAGTTTAAATTGTGTTTGACACCATAATCCCTATCATACCCAAATTGTAACATATAACACTTGAAAATAATTAACTATCATCAATTATTAACTTTTAAAAGGCCTTAACTATTTGAAAGATAACAATTACCACCTTTTCTTCAAATATATAAGATATGCAAAACAGAAACCTCGCTTATAATTCCCTATACAGTTCTCTCAAAATTCAAAGTCAATATGCAGAATTGAAACCAGCTTCTCTTCCCGCTTCAAAATCCACAGCAAATTATTGTACACTTGTTGCAAAATATGATTGTTTCATCGTTCTTAAAATCATTGTGTCAGATCCTGAGATTCTAACACCTCGGATAGTGCTGCATAAAAACATGCTCTCAAGTGTCAAAAAACAAAAAAACAAAAAACATCTATTGAGGTGAATCACAGCATATGTTAGGCTGGATAATAAATGAATGTTTACTTCTATCTGAGCTTGGAATGGTGGAAGCTGTGCAACATTCAAAAATATAAAGGAAAGGAGGTTCTCAATACCACCCTTTGAACTTGCAGGTATACACTGACAGAGCCTGACTTTGACTTTAAGGAGCAAACCAAATTTTCATTCAGAGATAAACATTGACACTATTTGCTCCTCCCCTAGCAATAGTATTTGTGCCATCAGAGCTGCAGCAAAAAAAAAAAAAAAAAAAGAATGCATTCAGCAATGTTCTCCGTAAAAGCAAAGCCTTCAATGCATTCCTCTTTATGGGGAACGAGACTCAGGACTAAGAAGTAAAATCAAAGAGCTGTGATCACTACCAGCTTACGTACGCTCTGTCCATATTACTATACTTGCCTATAAGCCCTTGTCACACATCAGCATCCACCTGAATTCTGGTACAAACAGAACGAAAATCCTAGCCCCATAAAGCTCCCCCTCTAAATTCTGGGGAAGAGGTAGGGAGTAAAAGCAAACAGTGTGCATTTTCAGTACAAAAAAAAATTATCCTACAATTTGTGTGGGCATTAATAGCAAAGAAGAGCTTTAAAGACGAACAAGAGTGAGAGGAATCATGAGATAAACATAGGAATCCCCTCCCACGGGGAAGGGCAACTTGGAGCAAAGTGTGAGGCTGCTTGTTGACAAGCAAACACACTAGTTGGCCTTGGCAGCCAAGTACAGGGTTCAGGGTCACACTAATCAACAGTGACAGATAAGCCAGGATAGGCTTTGAAAACAAAGGCAAGATGCTAGCATCTCAGATATGGCTCTGTAGGAAGCAAGAAAGTTAGTGGAACAAGAAAAGCAGATTAGGAAACAACATCTGCAGCAACTTTCTGAGCTAACAGCAACAGAGGAAAAAACAGGTATCACCCAGCTTTACTTTTATTTTTTTTACCTGATGTCCTATTTTCCTCTGCTTGCTTCAGATTCAACTGTTTCTCTCTGCTACTGTTTAAGTACTTCCACGCCGGATCACTCAAGGCTTTATTATTCCTGCAGTTATACAGCATTCAAAGTCAGAACTCAGAGCAAATGCAGTATACTCCCGGCTGACAATTTACAACTTATTTTAAAGCATTTATGTCCTATCACCTTTAATACTTGACTATGGAACAGGTAAACTTTGCTGACAAATGAGTTCAACCAATTCATTTACACAAGACTTCTAACTTAGGATTAAATGTCGATGTGCACACAGACATCACTTTACAAACAACAATTTCCCTTTGTGAATTTCGTCTTGAAAAAACAAAACAAGTGCAAGAAAGAAGCAACCTGTTGCTATGTGCATACAGCACGTGGGACCACCCAGATTAAGCTGACAGAAGGAAGGCGACACAAACTTCGCATGTGCCATCCTCCCATAAATCAGTCGTTATATCAGATTGCTTTTCCCTCATTAACCCTGAATGCAAACCCCATTTCAAGCGTTCAGGGTGTTCAGAAGTAGACGAGTGGCTGGCCTGTAACACTGCCATGACAGAGAAGACCCAGGCACTCTTTTCAGAAAAAATGACCTTTACAAACCATCAGCGTTTACATCAGAAACTAGAAACAACAGTCACTTACGTTGAAGAATCATTCTCTTTGGGATAATCTTCACTAATTTCTGATCCGGGAGGCTGTGCTCTTTTCCTCTTTTCACTAATGACAGAAAAATTTTGCAGGGGTCATTCTTTCAGGAAGGCTAGGTAAACGAGCCTCTTCCAACTGCAGGTAACTTCTTAACGCTTTCTACGCGTTTTTCCCTTACCTTCCGCAATTTTCACTTTGATAACAGGCTAACACTTACCGATTCTCCAGCAAGCCTGTTCTGTGAGGGGTGGACGAGGCAGGAGACGCTGTGACATTCACCCTGTTGCTAGGTGCTCCAGTTCCAGCAGAGTTCTTAACGGGTGCTCTGGCCGGGGTACCCAGCACCTTGCGGAATGGATTTTCATCCTTACTTTCCACGGTCACTCGTTTGGGGGGAGGCTGCAAAACCCAAGTGGAAAGGGGCAGGGAGACAATCAAAACGGTGAAAAACACAACTACCAGGAGGCTAAACTTGCATTTACACCACTGCTGGAGCTGACACAGCGTAATACCCAACAGCAGAAAAACGTTACTCGAATAAGGTTCAGCACTAACTGGATGGATGCAAACTTTTCACTCTATCAGCACAAGTCAGAAGCACGAAACTATCGCAGTACCCAACTTCCCTTTCCATCTCCCAATGTTAAATCAGTTGGACTTTTGTATTTAAAATCCCCTTTGCGTGCTCTCAGATTTAAGCACCCAAGGCGCAACTCCTAACCACCCTCAGATCAATCCTGGGTGGTATTAAAGAAAAAAAAAAAAAAAGCCATATTAAAAACCACACAATTAGAACAGTGCCCTGACAGCCTAGGGCCAACGCAATGAAAAGAGCTAATAGCTGGCTGACTAAGGAATGTTGGTCAACTTTAGACTTGAAAACTAAACATGTCTAATCTTACCACTGTATACACAGCTTTCGAGTTTTTACTGCGAGATTGCCTCTAAGCAAGATGTAAAATTTGTTTTGGGACAATGTCAAAAATACTCGCCCTCAGGGCCGTAATAAAAATATATTCAGAGAGATAACAATGTAAATTAAAGCTGGGAGATACACCATGAAATCTGCCTTATGGAGGCAGAAAAGGAAGAACAAAAGGCTTTTGAAGGAAAACCACTTCCAGGTAAAAGCTTGCAAAATCCACACACAGAAAAACGAGCACAATGGCACAAATTCGGGATCTCTACTCTGACACAAAAATTCGACCATCAGCTTTTCAAGATACACATTTGGCTGAAGTCTACTAAAGTCAGTCAGACCTCTGCTGATCACACCGTGTTCAGCTGCCGTGGATTTAAGGTGTTCAGTGCAAACAAGGATATTCAGAAAATCAAGTCTCAACCACGTGCTTTTCCTCTCTTGCTGCTTTTTGCCTGACGGAGAGCTCAGCACACAGAACAAACTCAGCCTTCTGCAGGCAGCTGCTGAGCTCCTGAACGCGTACAGGGGACGAGTCTCCTCACGAGCAGGATGCACCACTGCCAACCATCCCCTGCATGCCCAGCACAAGCCCTCTGGATTACAAAGACTTTGGATGCAAACCAGGTATTTAAGCGCTTTTACAACATGCAACGAGAGAGGAGGAAATGAAGGAAATAAAATTAGAGAAGAGGAAAAACGCGAAGTTTAACAAACCTGATTCTCTATGTAAGAGAACTGCCTGTTAGCTTCCTTCTGTGTGGTCCTGCTGCCCAGCACACCTCCAAAGCTGCCAGATCCCTGAGAGGCTTTCCCAGCTGAGAGGAAAAGCACACAACGTTTGATTTGATGGTCACTTAACTGATCGGCATTCCTACACAAGATGTCATTTTACAGTTGATTTTGGAAGAGACACAAGAGATTTCTTGCCAACAGACAGAGCAATATTCTGAGCGCACAGACATAAGCAAGTGTTTATGGATATCCCTTACGCTGGTCATTTACTTAGGGTGCCGTAAAATTCCTATCCTTAAAAAAAAAAAACAAAAAAAAAATCTAAGATGAAAAATGAAAAGGAAAAAGACTACACAGGTGTGATAAACAGACAAGGTTTTCCAAATATCAACACGCTAACAACAGAAACAACTCCTGCACGTTTTATCTCCTGCTGTTCAGCACGACACAGGCACATTGTGAGAAAAGCACATAACAAAAACTGGGGTTTGAGGACAGCAAGAAGAGTTTACGTAAATATAGCACGCACAGAAAGCCACACACGGAGGACAAAGTGGCTAAAGGTGAAAAAAGAAAACACAGCGCTGACCTGCCTCTAAGCTGTCATTAACGTGACTTTCAGCAGTCGCACTTACCAGTGTGAACCCTGTCTTGGTGGACCGCATCCAAATACATCCGCATTTCATTCGCATCCTTAAACGGCACCTTATCAATCGTCAGGAAGCTGGTGTCCTTTAGTGTCAGCATCAGGCAGCACAGCTTTCTACCATTTGGTCGTAAGGTCACAGTTTTAATGTTATGGCTTAGCTGAAAACAAAGGACATGAGTATAAACATCAACCCACTTTAGAAAGGCCAAAATACTTACAAATTCAAACAAAACACTTCAGATGGAGAGGGTAAGAGGCACTTAGACAGAAACACCTCCCCCCAGCTCCGCTCTGAGCAAACAGTAAGCCTCGTGGCATTACTGCACTCAGTGATGCTGGGAGCTGACACGACTGAAAGGACGGTGCCACCCGACAGTCCCCAAATGCCCGGGTAAGCTCTGAAACTTGCTGTGCTGCTGAGTGACATTTCTGAACTAAGGGAATAAAGATCTTCACACGGTTTAGCCGTCTGAAACTTCTACATCAAGTTTGAAATGTACATTTTAAGAAGGGGAAAGTGTAAAAGATCTGAGCTTTAAATGTTAGGTACAAACTTCCATTCCCTTGGCAATTCTCTCCCAGGGAAGGCAGCCTTGACACAGCTTAAAAATTTTTGCCGGGCAGTAGGTCATTAAGAAACATGCTTAGCCTAAATACAACATCATAACAATTCAATGGTGTCTGAAGTTTCAGGGTTATGGTCAAGCACAAGAATACTTTTAATAAGAGCTCGTGCTCGCTAATAATGCCCCTGCTGCTTTATTATGCCATTACATAATTGCGGCTTCCTGCTAAGTCACCTACACGGGGCAGCCGTTCAGTAAAGGCTCTGCTGGCCACTCCTAAAGCAGAGGAAGCACAAGAGCACCTCACATCTGCAGGGTTTGTGGAAGTTCGACACTTGGTTTGCGAAGCACATTCTTATTTTCTACTTCCTCGTCATTTTTCACTTACTTTCTCGCTTTGCTGCTTCTTTAGCTTTGCCTACGGATCAGGCACTAGCTACACACGGACCTCCACGCCAGGGGATTGCCATACTGCAAGACTGGAAACCACAGCCAAGGCCGAGCCTGCCCATCAGATTGGAGCCTCCTCCTAATTTGGCCTGACCTGCGGATTGCCACACCACTGATCTAAGCGATGCCGCTGATTTAATAGACACCAACGCTAATTATAACGTAACACCAAAATTTCACTACACAGTTCTCTACAAGCTGTTTCATCTCCTTCGAATTATACACAAGTTAAAAAAAAAATAAAGACTCCTCCACATCATATTCGTCAATAAGATTTCGGGTTTTTTTCCCTACAGATCTTTAGCTTCTTTGAAAGATGATCTAGGTGTAACAGCAGCCTATGAGAGGATGGAAAACTGCCTCAATCTAAGGGTATATTTTGCTGGGAAAACTCCATTTCTGTAATAGCTTGCGCTCAATCCTTCTTTTTTATCTTTCCTTTAATGCTGATGAAAAATGTCCTCAAAAATAAATCGAGGAATTAAAAAGCGCGCTCCGAGTTTTCCGTCTTCTCTTCAAACACCGCGGTGGGTGCGAAAGGCACGCAGACAGCCCAGCAGCTCGGTGCAAATCCAGACCTTTCACTTCACGATGCCGACGTGAGAGGGCTCCACACGGGCTCCTCTCGGTGCACCTGCTCCCATCCGGGCGGCGTTACGGCGTCTGGAGAGGTGGGGGGCAAAGAAATATCCCCAGCAGGACGCAGGTGGTGTGTGGCACAACTCCGTCAAGAGTTTGTAACATCAATAAAGGAATATTATCTATGTATGAGATGTGACGACGCGCTAGGTGCTGTAGAAATATAATATAATATAATATATCCCAGGATTACCCAAATATCACAACCAAACAGCAGAAGCGTTGGGCCTGGTGCTCGCGGCCTCCTCCTCGCCGCCCTCTCCGCTAGGCCTCGCGGGCTCGGTTCCAGCACGAAGCCTCCTCCGAGCCCACGGAGAGCACCCCACGAGCGCCAGAGCCCGCGGATGTGAGGGGCAGGGAGCACAACCTGCCCCTCCAGGCCGTGCTTGGGCATCCCGGGCCTTCCACACCCCGATTTCCAGCGGCGAGGAGCGCCCGGGGAAGACAAGAGGCGAAAATCCAGGCCTCTCAGCGAGGGCAATTTTCGGGTTTTCAAGCAGCGGGACGTGTCCGGGGCTGACGACTTCCTCACGCCCCGATTCCAAGGCTGTCAGCTTCGTTCCTGAGAGTTTTCGGGCGGCGAAACTTCACCTTTCAAACCCAAAGCCAACTTTTCGCTGGCAGGAATAAACAGCTCAGGGAAAGGCTTGGGGGGTACCACAGGGAAACAGCCATGGAGTGAAACAGAAGCAGCCGTTACGACACCGCCCGGCCATACAGCAATTAGGATTATTTTTAATTGCAGCTGGAGATCTCTCACAGAAAAATCTTCCCTCGTGCTCTCGGCATTTGGGGCTTTTTGAGTGAAAAGGTCCTACAAAGGCTAACCTGAAAGTTAGCACAAATGGAAACAAAGCGATTTGAGGTGGGTGTTGGGGGTCTGGTGGGGCTTCAGCTCCAGGCTCTGCAGCCCTACCAGAGATGTCCCAATAACAGAGGGGTTATCCCAAAAACGCCAGGATTTTGCACACGGGGCACGGCTTCGGTGATTTTTCCCCCGCTTTTTGGCTCTCCCCATCCACCACCATCCCCACCGCCAGGAGACCCTCTAGCAACAAACCTGAGTCATTTACAGGGCTGGGGGGGGGGGAATTTACAGGGGCCGCGACGCCGGGCTACCTGAAACGTCTTGGGGATGCCCCCGACGTTGTAGTGTACCACCAGGCTGACTTTGTTGTCCTTCTCCACGATCTCGAAGCTGCCCTCCTTCCACTTGGTGATGCCCGTCTGCATGCTGCGCATCCGCACCGGCCCGTGCACCTTCAGCGGGGCCATGCCCGCCGCCCCGCCGCCTGCGGGGACAGGGGGGTCGTACCGGGGTGGGGATAAAGGGGGGGTCCCCGGGCTGGGATGCAAGGCTGGGGGGGGATAATGTAAAGAGTAAGCGGTAGGAAGTGATAAAAAGTAATATAAAGGGGTTAAATTATAAAAAATGATAATAATAATAATAAATAATAATAAAGATAATAAAAATAATAAATAATAAAAACAATAATAGAAAATAACAATAATAAACAATGATAAACAATAATAAAAAATAATAAAATAATAATAATAAAATAATAAAATAATAAAGAATAATAAAAAGTAATAAAAATAATTAAAAGTTTAAATTAAAAAGAATTGGAAGCAATGAGGAAGGAATGGGGAGTAATGGGGAGTAATGGGAAGTAATGGAAAATAATGGAAAGTAATAAGGGGAAATAATAGGAAGTATTGAAAGATAATAGGAAATAAAAGGTAAGAGAAAATTAAAGGTAAGAGAAAATTAAAGGTAAGAGAAAATTACGGGAAATAAAAGGAAATAATGAAAAATAATAGAAAATAATAAACAATAATAGAAAATAATGGAAAATAATAGAAATAATAGGAAATAAAGAAAATAATGGGAAATAATAGAAAAAAATGGGAAATAATAGGAAATAATGGGAAATAATAGGAAATAATAAACAATAATGGGAAATGCTAAACGCTAATAGAAAATCGAACTAAAAGCCAATAGGAAATACCCGAAACCACCACAAATAACTAAAAACCCATCAGGAATGACTGCCAAAGCCCCGAGAAGCGGCCAAAAAGCCCCGGCCACATAAAGGAGCCCGAGCGGCGGCGGTCCCGGGAGGGGGCGGGGGGGGGGCACAGGGACCCTGCGGGGGTCCCTGCACCGGGAGGGGGGAGGGGGGAGGGGGGGGAGCGGGGGCGGGGCCGAGCCCCGGTACCTGCGGGTCCGCGGGGGGGGGGGGGGGCGGATGGCGGGAACCGGCTGGCGGCGCGGGACGGCGCGCGACGCTGGGCACGCAGGCGCGCGCGCGCGCCCCGTGACGTCAGCAGCGGCGGATAGGGCGGCGGCGCCCCCGCGCGGAGCGCGCGTGCGCGCAGCGAGGCCCCGCCCTCTTTTCCCAGCAGCCTTCGCGGGGAGGGCGGAGGGAGGAGAGGGAGGAGAGGGAGGAGAGGGAGGAGAGGGAGGGAGGGGAGGGCGCGGCCCTGCCTCAGGGGGGGGATGGCGGCGGCCTGAGCCTGAGGCACGGCCCGGCCCCGCTCCGCCATGCACAGCCTGGCCACGGCCGCGGTGAGAGCCTCCTGGTGGTGTGGGAAGGGGCTCCCGGGGTTTAGGGGGAGGGGTCGGGGATCGCTGCGCCACGGCCTATCGCGATAAAGGGGGCCTGTCGCGATAAAAGGGGTCGGTCGCGCGGGGGTTGTCGCGATAAGGGCGTCGCGCGGTGTGTCGTGGCATCGCGGGGTGGAGCTGGTGTTAAGCTCCGAGCATGCAGGGTGCAAAATGGGGATGCAGGCTGAAGGAGAGGCCAAAATGTATAAAATGTGGCCTTAAAATATACTTAAAATATGTAAAAATCTCTCTGTGTGAGTATATCTGTATATTTAAACTCTGTGCGTAAGTATAAATGCATCTTAAACTAAATATAAACGTGTCTTTAAAGCAGCCATAGCCATCAGCCTGCTATTCAGAGCCCCAACCGGTTAATCCGTTGCTGTTGAAGTTTGGGTTTGGAGGTGCTGAATCCTCCAAAATTGCTTAAAAAGGACTTAAAAAGGAGCCGGGTGGTGGGCGTGCTGCTCCCCTTGGTCAGCGCCTCCAGCACCGGCCTCGGGGTCCCCCAGAATTTTAGGCTGGGAGGTGGGAAACGCCGACAAAACAAGGAAAAATCCTGATTTACAATTTAAACTGGAATGAGAGGAGCAACTGCAGGGCCTGTGGGCAGCAGCTGGTTCTTGCTAAGACAAATACAGGGCATAAAAAAACTTAATCGTGTGGAAAATCTGCTTAGAGTTCTCTGGGGATCACGGCCACGTGATTGTGCTTTTAAAGGGCTGCTGTGTTTAAGCTTGCAGGAGCTGGAACTTCACAGCGAGCCTAGAAAAATAGATGGGGGCTTCAGATAATGTGGTTATAACAGCATCACTGCTTGTCCCTCCGCCATCCCAAATAGAAACGACCGGGCTCTGCTCGTCCGTCGTGTCTGTTCCAGGCCAGAACAAATTTATTTAAATTTATTTTTATTATATATTATTTTTATGTAAATAAAATGGAGTAGGTGAGAAAAAGGGGGTAGGATGAAAGCTGAGCAGTTATGAGTTTGTGAGCCCTGAAATGTAGGGACTGATAACAGCGCATAACCTTGTGTATGGACTAAGTTACAGGGAGAGAAATTCGAGCTTCAGCCCAACATAAATCCCCCAACTGAGGAGGAATCTGTAGGACAGGGCCGTGGCTGTGCTGAGGAGGGAAACCTTTACAGAAACAGCAAGCTCTGGAGGCGTCTCCCTCCAGCAGCCCTGGGAGCCTGGCTCTGACAGACGCTTTCAGTTTTGGTTCCGGTTGCTTTCGTTTCCCAAATTCTCTGGTTTTCTTGTAGCAGCGTTGCTGTCGGCATGGTGCAAGCGGTGCTCGTGCCTGTTGCCATAAGCACATGGAGCAGAGGCACGAGGCGGACTCGCTGAGAGGCTCGCTCCTTGCCCTTCTTTTCCTCGTGTTTGCGTGAATGTTTCTCAAATGTACATTGTGGGATGGTTTTGGGTGAGACTTGGATGGAATAGTCATAACGGGAGTGTTCTTGTCTCCTTCCCAGCCCGTGCCAACAGCGCTGGCTCAGGTAGACCGCGAGAAGATCTACCAGTGGATCAATGAGCTGTCCAGCCCCGAGACGAGGGAGAATGCGCTGCTGGAGCTCAGCAAGAAGCGCGAGTCCGTGCCCGACCTGGCCCCCATGCTGTGGCACTCGTTTGGCACGATCGCGGCGCTCCTTCAGGTGGGTAGGGCCAACGTTTTTACTCCTAAAGATCTCTGGTAGTGATTTTTTTGGTTGGTTGGTTGGTTTGGGGTTTTTCTTTGCGTGAGCTTGAGCGTTGCTTGGTCAAAAGGTTGCCCCTAAAGAGAGCCTGCAGGAAAGGCAGCGTGGGAGTGCTGCTCCCTCCTCTAGAGAGCCCTGGGAAGGAAAGTGTCCCGCGTTGCTCCACAAACTGAGTGGCTCAGCTGATGACTGCCCATCTCTGTGGTGGATCTAGGTCATCTCCTTCAAAGAAGGAAGGAAAGTCATGCAGGACAGGCAGTGCCAAACTGTTCCAGAGTGGCTCTGAAACAACTGAAGATTATAAGGGGGCTGTAGTTGGAAGCAGGCAGACTTCCTGAGCTGGATTTCCCCCCCTTCGCTGCTTCCCTTGTATTCGGTTAGAAGAGCACCAGCAGCTATGGTATGAGCGGGGTAGGTGTGCTCTGCCTCTAGGCACAGGAACAACATTCCTGTTTGCTCTGGGAGTTCAAAACAAAGCAGTCCCCACATCCGCAAAGAGCCAGGAAATTGAATGAACCCTTTTTTTTGTTTGTTTGTTTTTAACTGAAATTAAATTTTGACTATGTCCCTGTGGCTCCTTGTCAAACTGGCTCTGACGTAGCTCTGCCCTTCTCTTCGTAGCACGGGGGCTGCCACAGAACTTCAGGCTGACGTCTCTTGACAGCATCACTCCTTGCTGGGCAAAAGCTCTTGTGCATCTGGATGGTTTTCTCCCTTAACTTTTCTTCACCTGTTTAATTTTTAGGAAATTGTAAATATCTACCCATCCATCAACCCTCCGACTTTGACGGCCCATCAGTCCAACAGAGTCTGCAATGCTTTAGCTCTGCTACAGTGTGTCGCATCTCACCCTGAAACCAGGTGAGTGTTTCCGAGTACGTGAGTTTGCTGGGATGTTGGTGCTGACAGCTCGGCCAGTTTCACTCTGGAAGCACGTAAGCTCCTTTCTGCTCTTGTACCGAGAGAAGTGGAGCAGTGGAGAGAGCTGGAAGATAATCAGCTGCTGGCTGCTTTCACTTGTTTGCACGGATTACCAGGATGACAGCTTTATGGTGGTCCTGAATGCAGTGGCATTCCTTGAATCGTCCTGACATCCTGCAAATTCCCAAACTGCTGGCTTGTGGCAGCCCCTGGGAGCTCAGCCAGAGACAAGGGTGCCTTTGTGCTGAGCGTTGTACGCGGGATCCCTGTTTTCATGAGCTTATGGTTGTTTAGACCAGCTGTGCAGAGAGTGGAATGAGCAGGGCTGCCTTTCCCTGAGACCGTGTGTGGCAAGGGAGCAGTATCAGAGCCACGCCTGCGGTCCCCAGCCAGCGCCTGAATTCAGCGTTTCTCAGTCTCTGTCCAGCACATGTCAGCAAGGGAAAAGCCGATGTTGGTTCAGCCAAAATCAGTAGCTAATACTCAGAAAACTATCCTGAGAGCCATGATCTCATGCTTCTGTTCCTGCTGAGGGAAGCAGTAGGTAGCTGAATTTGTTTTCCAGCTGCCGCAAAGTAGCGTTAAACAACAACCCTTCCCGAGATCATATCCGAAGAAATAGGGTAGTTTTACACCACGTGCTTTTACAATTAAAGCTTGAAAACTGAAAACCGATGAAGAATGTTGGGTGATTGTGCAAGAGAGCTCCCCTCCCGGCTAGCAGAGCGATCTCCAGGTTTCTCCCTGCAGGCTGTGTTCTTCAGAGTTGTCAGAAGGCAGTTTGTGGGCTCCTGGGGAAAAGTGGCCCAGCACAGGATTTACCTCGCACCTTCCCATCAGGGAATCAACTGTTCCCACTTTTGAGGAGCAGCAGCAATGTTGTCCCTCAGGAATAATCAGAGGCTGTGCGTGATAATACTGGGTTTGTGCTCGCTTTGTTTTCCTTGTCTCTCACGGGTGTTCTCCCTTTCCTACAGGTCAGCTTTTTTGGCAGCTCACATCCCTCTCTTCCTCTACCCCTTCTTGCACACAGTTAGCAAGACGCGTCCGTTTGAGTACCTGCGGCTCACGAGCCTCGGAGTGATTGGTAAGCAGTGAGATTGATGCTTGAGTTTAATTGCCCTGTCATCTCCACATGCTTTTTACCGTCTTTTCTGCCCAAAACACTTCTCAGTGTATAAAGTAAGAGGGTCTAGAAGTGCATGTCTTCTTCCCAGAGGTCGATGTCAAGAGGTTGTCAGCCTCTTGGGTTTGTATTACCACGGCGGGGAGAGCCAAGAATGAATCCCTTGCTGAAAAACAAACAGCCCCCAAACCCAGCTTCATTACATTTGTTACCAAAACGAGCTCTTCTCCAGCCATGTGCTGCAACATGTTTGGGATGGCAGCTGCTCTGTCAGACCCAGTGATTCCTGGGCAGGACACAATACAGGCCGTCTTTGAAAGGCGAGTTTTGTTTTTAATGTATCACTTACTGATTTGGGTTTCTGTTTTTCCTTCAAGGGGCCTTGGTGAAAACCGATGAGCAAGAAGTGATAAATTTCTTACTGACAACAGAAATTATCCCCCTGTGCTTACGCATTATGGAGTCTGGCAGTGAACTCTCTAAGACGGTATCTACATTTTTTTTCTTAATTAAGACTTTTTTGTTGATTATATCCAAATGACCAGGCAGTCAGTAACCTGCAGAGTTGGTTTGTTTCCTGTTGTAAATGCTGGGGCAGCTCTGGGTGGAGTTTTACCTCCACCCATCCTCAGAAGCAAACAAAACCACCACCAAACTGAGCTGAGAGATTCTGAGTCTGGTAGTTCTGCTGGGAAAGGCCTTGCTGTTTTCAGCAGACATCATGCTCCTTTGTAGCCCAGCAGAGTAACTTCCAGGGCTGAGCTGGATTAATCTTCTTTGGCCTGAGAGAAGAGATGCTGCAACTACACTAGCACAGAGGTTGTGCAGTCGGTGGTGGTGGTTATGGGGATGTTCACTGCATCAGGCCTACTGTGTAGCCATAATCTTGAGGCTGTCCCATGCAGCCTGGCAGTAATTGCTGCCTCCTTCAGCCTGCATCCAGTCATCTTGTGTGCACTGCTTCGTCTCCACTTCTTTTCTTTAGCCAAAGATGCCAACCGTTGGGTTTTGTCCTGCGTTTTCTTATGGCTTTAAACTTTAAATCAAGTACAGCGTTTGCTGAAACGCCTTTCAGCACTGCTGAAAGAAAAAGAGCTGCCATGAAAAGAGTACAGCACAAAGACTCTTCTTTTTTTGGGGGTAGATGTTTATATTCTCTCTTTTCTGATTTCTCCCTGTTCGAGGTTGCTACATTTATCCTTCAGAAAATCCTCCTGGATGACACGGGACTGGCATACATCTGTCAGACTTACGAGCGGTTCTCCCATGTTGCCATGATACTGGTAAGATTATTTGTTTCTTCTGCCTATAAAAAGTTAAATGTTTTCTCTAGCAGCCAGCACCTTCAGCAGCTATTTTAGTGCTCTCTGGCTGTCCCCTGTGTAGGAGAGGTTTGGGTACCTGTATTTTGTTCATCCCAGGAGTAACAGCCCAGCTCGGACACTTTTAGCTCGCTAAGGGGAATACATCTGCCCTGGAATAGCCATTACCCTGCTTTTATGTATTTGTGTTTGCTTTTTAAAGAGCCAGTCTCAGGAGAAGAAAATGCAGCATTAAGTTAAGCATTTTGCAGCCCTGGTTCTGTGCCTAAATGTTGATGCTTTCACTGGGAATATTTGTGGGTCTGTTTTCCCAGATGTAAAGAAAACGCTTTCCTAACTCTCATGTGAACAGCAAAATATGAATGCTTGTGAGCTGATGTCCAAAATAACCAATGTGATAGGATTTTCCTGGTCGAGAAAGGGATCAGCTCTGGCTGAAGTACATCTGGCTCGGGCAAAGTCAAGCAAGCAGTTAGAAACAGAAACCCTGGAGCAGGGGAGGGAAGGAGACCAAGGAAGAATGCAGTGGGGAAGGGTATGGACATGGAAGAACGCGGGTGGGTTAAGCTATGACAGTGTGGCAGAAATCCTGGTTGTTCACCACTGGGTGAAGCACTGACACGCTGAATATTCCACAGCACTAAGATGAAAATGTTCATAGACGTTCCTGTATTTCAAAAATTCGGATAATGCACTCCTGTCTCATGAGAGTGATGGTTTGCTTCCTAGTCCGCTGATGAGTGAGTGAGATGTTCTGCAAGAATTAGAGGCTTTTAAAAGAGCAAGTTAGCAATGTCTGTCCAGGAGCTGTCTGAGAAGCTCTCTGACCTGTTGTTCCTTATTTTGAAGAAATCTTGGTGTCCAGGGGATAGCTGAGAACAGGAAGCTTGCAAAAGGGCAGGTGAGGTGGCCCCACTAATTGCTGGCTGACTAAATATCCAAATACAGGTGAATTTAGCTAATGGGGAAAATGGTCAGTGCTAGCCAATATAGTTTCACTGGGCGGGGGGGAGGGAAATCTTGCTGAGCAGATCTGATTCGATGCCCAAACATGACTCGGGGCAGGTGCATGAAGGCATCCATACAGTTTCCTAAGCTGGGAGCTTTCAGGCTGCAGCCATGTGCAAGGTCCTACGTGTTGTGATTTAATGGTCTGTGCCAGGCTCTGCTGGCTGTGAAGCTGTCCCCACAGACGCTTTAACTGGTGACACTGGCCTCTGTCAAACAGGGTAAAATGGTCCTGCAGCTTTCCAAGGAGCCCTCAGCACGGCTGCTGAAGCACGTCGTCCGCTGTTACCTTCGCCTTTCCGATAACCCCAGGTAAACATTTAAGGAGTGTGGGCAGGGGCTTCTCCCACCCGCTTGGAAATTCAGCTCCCCTTGCCAGTGCCCGCTTGGAGCCAGGGTTATTCATCTGCCTCTACATCAGCCTTAGCTCAGTGTGAAAAATGCTTGTTTTTTTTTATTGCTGGCCCCAGAAGCTTTTACGATAGATGGCAGAAACTGGTTCTTTGGAGTTTGGAGATTCAAGCCGTGCAGGTTCCAGCTGCCTGAGCTCGAATGTTGCTTGGGCTGGGTGTGAGGGAAGGCCTGAGTCGGAAGCTGTGCTGTGCTCTCGCTCTTCTGCATCGTGCGGGCTGTTAGCAGTAAAAGTCAATCGATGAAATTCAGCGTGAAATCAGCTTGTACTTCCCCAAGCTGCCGTGTATGTGTTTGTTGTGTCTGCCTCTTCTGGCACGGCGCTGCTCTTGACCGAAGGCTATCAGGACACGGGGCTTTGCTCAGTGGGATCTCCCGTGAGGGATGGGAGCCGTGCTGCTGCTCCGTGCTTTCCTTGGCTGGCCCCGCCGGGGAGACCCCCAGGCAAACGAGCGTTGACGTCCCCAGTGGGGTTTGCTCCCCTCTTGCCCCTGTGAGTTTATTTGTTGGGCCCCGTTTCTTGTCTCTTGATGTAGGGCACGTGAAGCTCTCAGGCAGTGCCTTCCTGACCAACTGAAGGACACCACCTTCGCCCAGGTCCTGAAGGACGACACCACCACCAAGCGCTGGCTGGCTCAGCTCGTCAAGAACCTGCAGGAGGGTCAAGTCACTGACCCGCGGGGCATCCCCCTTCCTCCGCAGTGACTGCTGGGGGGGGCGGGGGGCTGGGGAAGAAACAGCTCAGGTTTACAAAGACCCAGGAACCGCTGACCTCTTCTGCAACAAACCGGGCGCGCCGGCCGCCTTTCGGTCCGCCAGCTCGTCGGACCCTTCCATCGGGCCAAAGGGCTGCTCTGTAGCAATGCAGCATGCCTCTGGAGATCATAACACCAGCAGATGCTGATACTACAGCTTAAAAAAAAAAAAAATCAATAAAAAACCTATCTGTAAAGATCCCATCTCTCCAGGAGGCCTGGCTGGCAGCTGTCCCTGCACCCACAGGCGGGGTGGTGCGGGTGCGCGCTCCTGCAGCTAGCTCGGTCTCCGTGCAGGCGCTGTGTGGCACGGTGCGGTGTGCCACAGCCCTCCACTTCCTTGTCACTCCTTGTTTACACCTCTGTTTCGATGAGCGAGCTGAGTAGAAGCTGATCCTGTTGTTCTCTCCCCTGTTCAGAGCTGCAGGTAGCGTGGGGACAGCTTCCCTGCGAGCACCTCCTCGCTCCTGGCTGGCACGGCGAGCTGCTCTTCCTTTCTTTTTGGCACAGAGGCCGTGGCTGGAGCTGGGCCACCCCGGTGCTCGCCCCGAGAGGAGGGGGGATGGCTCGCCGTGCCCCCGTGCGTCAGCAGCCTGCTTCCCGGGGCTCTGGGGGAGGAGAAGGCAGCGGGGCTGCGGCTCTTGTGCAGCCGTTTCAGTTCTCAAACCTTCCTCGGTGTGTTTCTGCTTCGGCCCCAGCACGATTAAACTGCTGGCAGCCCCTTCCCCGCACACAGGGCTTGCTGTGGCTGCGGCGGGGCGGGCTGCTGGGCTGTGCTGCATGCAGCAGGCAGCTCCGCTGGCACCCAGCTGCACGCAGGCCTGGGCAGCTTCTCGTCCCCCCTTTCCAGCAGCCCATTTTGCTGATCATCCGCAGCCTTGTGCCAACGGTGTCTTAAACCCCATCTGCTTTCCCCTCCCTCCTCCCAGCGCAGCCTTGCGTAAGGAGGGCAGAGCGCAGCCTCCTCCCTGCCCCGGGGTCCCGTTTTATAACCCTTGCCTCCTTCTTTCCTCTCCCCGGCCCCTGACCTTGACAGGGTGTGAAAATGCTTCTGATTTTTTTTTTTTTCATAAGTTCGGATGAATAAATAATAAAACCCCAGGCAGCACAGCTTGCTCCCGGCCTGCTCTCTCGGGAAGGGCTCGGTGCAGGTGAGGGGAAGGCGAGCTGTGGGTGCTGCCTGGGTGCCACCCGGAGGGGTTGGGGGCTCTCCAGCACTCCCCGAGGGTGCCGAAATTGGGCTGCAGGGTGTTTGCAGCTGCTCTGGCACCCGCTGCCACCCCGGCCCCACAGCAGGAGCCTGCCAGAGGCTGTGCTGCCCTTTTTGGCTGGCAGGGGAGGGATGCGCGGGGCTGGCTCAGGACCTGGGGAGCCCCTGGGGGGGGGGACACAGGTCAGCGCTGCGGTTTTGGGCTGCCTCAGCCCTTTCGCACGGCCAAGTGGCAATTCCCGAGGAATTACCGGGATCCCCGCTCCTCTGCTGCCAAACCCCGGCCCCAAAACCAGCGCTGCGGGGGGGTCCCGCTCTTTATCCTCCCTTAAATCCCCCAGGGCTCCGGCACCCCCCCCCGGCAGCGGCGGCACCGGTGACCTTAATCCGCTCCGACCTTGCGGTGCCTGGGGACGTGCGGGACCGGGAGGGGAGAACCGGGGAAGGTTTTGGGGGGGTGGTTGGGGGGGGGGGGGACCAGGGGGCCGGGCTCGCCGCCCCGCCGCTGCCAAGGGGCGGGCAGCCCGGGCTGCCCCGGCCCCGTGCGGCCGCAGTCGGCGGAGCACCGGAGGCGCAGAGCGGTACCGGAGAGCTGGTACGGGACCGGGGGACTTTGGGGGGGTCCGGAGGGGGCTGAGCCACCCCAGCGGGGGCAGCAAGGTGGGGGGAGAAGTGGCGGCGTGCCCCCCCTGCTTTGGGTTAAGGGGCGCCCCCCGACCCCGGCAGCGTGTGCGTGCAAACCGGGGCAGCAGCAGGGTGGGGGTGCCCGGGGGGGCTCAGCCCTCCCTGCGTGGCCACGGGGGCTTTGAAATCTCCCGGGGGGAGATTGAAAATCGCCTGGTGTGCCCCCCCCAACCAGCCCAGCCTGGGGGCTGTCACCTCCGGGTGAGGAGCTGAGGGTGGGCACGGCCGCCTGCGGCCCCAAAATTCAGGGTGGGAAGGGGAGAAGGGGACGCAGCCCCCCCTGGAAGGAGGCAGCGGCTCTTCGGGAAGCCCTCGGGTTGGGTTTCCAGCAGGAGGGCTCTGGCTGCAGCCCCTGGCTCCCAGCCCACTCTCCTCGAGAGAGGAGCGAGGGGCAGAGCTCTCCAGGGCCGGGGGGGCTGCACGGGCTCGGGGCTGGGGTGCTGGGGGCACTGCCCCTGTGCCTGGGGGGCTGCCCCAAGGTGGAAGGGGTCCTCTCTGCTGCTTGGGGCAGGGCTGGGTGCCTTTGGGACGTGTCTGCACGGAGAAGGGGCTGGCACTGCGGGACATCAGTTAGTCGGTCCCCAAAATCTCCGCTCTGTTCCCCGAGCAGCCCCCCTTGCACGCTGCCTCTTGGCACAGACGCGTGGCAGGGCGCAGAGCACAGCAGGGACTGGCCGGTCCCAGTCTCCTTGACACTTCTCCTTCCAGCCTGGCTTTCCCCAAATCCTCCCAGCCCTCTGGGAGCTGCTGCTGAGCGAGGACGGGGGGGCACAGGGCAGCCTGGGTGCCTGCAAGGGTCTGGCAGCCAGGCTTGGCAGCTGCCTGCAGGCTGACGGCACCGGCTATTCCCAGCCCCGCAGCGCCGGTGCCGTGCTGAGTCAGGGGCCTGGGGCACGGCCGGCACCCCTACACCGAGCCCCTCACCCCAAAGGGGACCCCATGCAGCGATGTGCCCCTCCCCGTCCCCAAAACGCAGCCTGCCAGCTGCGCTATGCAGCCCTCGAGGGCTGCTCCAGCATCCGGGCGACTGGCACGTCCCAGCGATTTCTCATCAGCCTAATTAAAGTCTTGACAGCCTAATCAAGGACCCATTGTAAGTCCCGTTGCATTTATAGTCCCACTCGTCCCCGCGCGCTGCTGTCCCTGGGGTGCAGGGAGAAGGTGCTGGCACTCGGCTTTGTCACCGTCACCCCCAAATTTGGGGCCGCTGCCAGGCGGTGGGGGGCTCTCCCCGGCAGTTTTGCCAGCTCCCAGGGTTAGCCCCCTCCTAGCAGCAGGGCTCTGCTCCCCTCCCGGCTCTGGGGGGCCGCTCTGGCGAGTTTTTCCATTTTCCCCCCAACACCTTTGGAGCGCTGGCTTCCCGGTAATGCCATCAATATTTCATGGGCACGCCGAGCCGAACTTGACACTTCACGAAAGCGCTGACCTGGGAGGAGGCAGGCGCAGGTGCTCTCGCCTGCACCGTGCCCGGCCCCGCTCCCCATCCACTCCTTCTCTTCCCTCCCCAGCAGTGCCGGCGAGGAGGAGGCCGAGCCATGGCATCGCTGCCGTGCAACGCCCGTGAGTGCTCTCCATCAGGGGGGATGTTTTGGGCAGGGTGCTGGGGGATCCTGATTTACACCAGGGCATCAGGGTGGGGGCTGGCAGCTCCGAAACGCAGGGTGAAGGCTTCTGAGGGTCCGTGGGGAATCCCTGCGTGTCCTTCTTGTGGCAAAGGGAGCTTGTTTGGGGTCCTGCCTCCTCCATCCCAAACCGAGGGCTTGTGCGGGGTGCCCAGGGTGCAGGGAGCGCTGTCCCCGTGACGCAGCCCCCGCTGCCCCCCAGGCATCCAGCTGACGGACACGCTGGAGCAGATGCAGCAAGGGGCGTTGATGCGCAAGGTGAAGTCCAAGGGCTGGAAGAAGCAGCGCTACTTCAAGCTGCAGGACGACTGCATGACCATCTGGTACCAGTCCAAGAGGACGGGCAAAACCGAGTCCGCCTGTGAGTCCCTGCTGGGGTGTGGCCGGGGAGGGGGACATCAGTAGGGTTCAGAGTGAACGTGGCTGGGAACGCGCGAAGTCCTGAAGCTGGGTTTGCTCCGGATGGGAACGTGGAGCAGCGCGGTCCCCGTCCCCGTGGACAGAGCTCCCCTCCCTCTGCCCCAGTCTCCATCAGCGACGTGGAGACGGTGCGGGAAGGGCACCAGTCGGAGGTGCTGCAGAGCCTGGCCGAGGAGTTCCCCGCCGAGCGCTGCTTCACCATCGTCTTCTACGGCCGCCGGGGCAACCTGGACCTCATCGCCGGCTCGGCGGAGGAGGCGCAGTGCTGGGTGCAGGGCCTGCGCCAGCTGATCGAGGTGGCCACCAGCATGGACCAGAGGGAGAGGATAGACCAATATCCTTCCCGCGGGCACCGCGCTGCGTTCCCTCCGTCCCCAGCTCAGTCTTTAGGGGTCTCACCCGTCAGCATCGGGCCGGGGACAGCCCCCAGTAAAAGGGGAAGGTTTGGTGCTCCCCGGTGCCGTCTCCCTTTAGCCGTGGTCCTTTCCCTTAACGCCTGCCCCGGCTTCTCGCACGTGGATCCGGGACTGGTTCCAGAAGGCCGACAAGAACAAGGACGGGCGCATGAACTTCAAGGAGGTGCAGCGCCTGCTCAAGATGATGAACGTGGACATGAACGAGGACCATGCCCTGCGGCTCTTCCAGGTACACGCAGCGCGCCTGCGGGGCTGGGGCAGGCTGCACAACCTCCCCGCGGCAGGGCTTCCTCCCTTCCTTCCCTCCTCGATCCATCCCAAATCTGGGATGGGGCACGAGGTGACCCTGGCGCTGAGCGAGCCCCCCCGCAGGCTGCCGACAAGTCGGAGTCGGGGACGCTGGAAGGGGAAGAGTTCGTGCTCTTCTACAAAGCCCTGACGGAGCGCGAGGAGGTGCTGAGCCTCTTCCAGGCTTTCTCGGAGGACGGGAAGAAGCTGACGCTGCTGGAGCTGGTGGATTTCCTGCGGCAGGAGCAGCTGGAGGACGAGGGCACGGAGGAGCTCGCCATGGAGCTCATCGACAAGTACGAGCCGTCGGAGACGGGTGAGAGCCCGGAGCTGCGCCCTGCGCTGGGGAAGGGGAGCGCTGAGACACCCCCTGCCCCTCCTGCCCCTCTTTTTTGGGTCTGTTTTACCTCCCGGGGGAGGTTGGCCAGCCTTAGGGTGCCTGCTCCGGCTTTGGCACCCACTGCCTGCCCCCCCCAAGGCTGCTGCCTCGGGCACCCCCGTGGCTCCTCGTGCCCCAGCCTGCTGCGGGGTGCCACCAGCAGCCCCGTTTGCCCCGGCCCCGTTCCCCCTGGGTCTCCCATCTCCTCTCCTCCCATCTGCCTGCAGCCAGGGCTCGCCACGCGCTGAGTGCCGACGGGTTCCTCATGTACCTCTGCTCCCCGGAGGGCTCCATCTTCAACCCCCGGCACCGGGGGCTGTGGCAGGACATGACGCAGCCGCTCTGCCACTACTTCATCTCCTCCTCTCACAACACCTACCTGATCGAGGACCAGATCCGGGGCCAGAGCAGCATCGAGGGCTACATCAGGTAACGGGCTGCTCCCTCCCCAAAATCCCCGGGACCCCCGGCACCGTGCCCCGGGCAGCTCCACGGGGGGAAAATGCAGCAGGAGGAGAAGCTCCTTGGGCTGAGAGCTGCCCCTGGGCGTGGGGCAGCGGGGATATTGCCCCGAGGGCTGTTTGCCAGCCTCCTTCATCCTCTGGTTGTGCAGGGGGGACACCCCCAGCGGAGGGAGGGCAGGGTTTGGTTTGGTGCCGGGCTGATTGCCCCCCCGCAGGGCTCTGAAACGGGGCTGCCGCTGCCTGGAGGTGGACTGCTGGGACGGGCCCAACGGGGAGCCCATGGTGTACCACGGCCACACCTTCACCTCCAAGATCCCCTTCAGGGAGGTGGTGAGCACCCTGGGCAAGTACGCCTTCCAGGTAGGGCCTTGGAGGGGCTGGGGGGCGGCAAGGGGGCTCGGTGGGGGCTGCTTTCCCCCTGTCCCCCCACGCTGCTGCTGCTCGGGACAGTGTTGGTGGCACCTTGCTCCCCAGACCTCCCCGTACCCGGTGATCCTGTCCCTGGAGAACCACTGCAGCATGGAGCAGCAGGAGGTGCTGGCCCAGCAGCTCCGGGACATCCTGGGGGAGCAGCTCCTCACCGCCACCATCGACGGGCGCGTCCCCACCCAGCTGCCGTCCCCGGAGGTTAGGGGCAGAGGGAACCCACCCCGAGCCTCTCCTGGGTGCTGCTGGCACCGCTCCCTGACACCCAGGGGATGGTGCTGAGCCCCGCGGAGCCCAGCACCCCAAGGTCCCCCCCGTTCCACCCCTGCAGGAGCTGAAGCACAAGATCCTGCTGAAGGGGAAGAAGATCGGGCGGCTGGAGGACGTGCTGGATGGGCCGGGGGACGAGGCACCTGACGTGTCCGATGATGACAACGGGGCGGAGGCAGAGGAGGAGAGGAGGAGGATGAAGGTGGGTGGCCCGGGATGGGGACCGGGTGGCGCTGAGCCCCCGGACACGGCTGTGGGACACCACCAGGAAGGGAGGGGGGGGATGTTTCTGGGCCACGCCAGCCCCCTTTTGGCACCACCGTGATGGGGACCCCCTGCCTGCTCCGTTCCCGCGGGGCTGGGGGTCCTGACAGGGCTCTGCCTGGCAGAAGGACAAGGAGAGCCTGGCCCAGGCGTTGTCCGACTGCGTCGTCTACTGCAAGAGCGTGTCCTTCAGGGGCTTCCAGGAGGCACGCAGCCATTCCCGGCCCTCCGAGATCTCCTCCCTCGCCGAGGCCAAGGCCAGGAAGCTCATCCGGGATGCGGGTGAGGTTTGGGGTCCAGGCTGGAGGTGGGGTGTAGGGTGAGGGCCTCCAGGCACCGGGCATCCTCCCTGTCCGGGAGAAAGATGTCCCAGCAGGGCTGGAACTGGGGTGCTCGGCTCTGGGGGGTGAGCGGGGTTGGCTGGGTGCCTTGGGGAAAAGGGAATGGATGGATGGATGGATGGATGGATGGATGGATGGATGGATGGATGGATGGTGGATGGCTCAGCACATGGTCAGGGTGGCGGTGCAGACCAAGCGATGTCCTCACGAGCAGCCCTCCCCTCTCCACCCCCAGGGAACGACTTTGTCCGGCACAACGCCTGGCAGCTGACCCGCATCTACCCCAGCGGGATGCGCACCGACTCCTCCAACTACAGCCCGCAGGAGATGTGGAACGCAGGGTGCCAGATCGGTACGGCCCGGGGCTGTGAGGGGGGTCCGTGGGGCTGCCCCGTGCCACCCCGACCCATCTCCCTGCCTGCCTGCCTTCCCCCCAGTGGCCCTAAATTTCCAGACGGCCGGCACGGAGATGGACCTGTGCGATGGGCTCTTCAGCCAGAACGGCCGCTGTGGCTACGTGCTCAAACCGCCCTTCATGAGGGACGAGGGGACCCTCTTCAACCCCACTGAGCCCGGCACCCGCGAGGGCCCCGGCCCCGTTACGCTGACGATCCAGGTAGGGGCAGAGGAGGGACCCCGGGGAGCCGTGCGGGGGGTCCTGTTGCTCTCAGCTGGGTGCAAACTCCATCCTGGGGGGGGTCCTGCCCTTCCTCGCAGGTGATCAGCGGGCAGCAGCTGCCCAAAGTGGCCAACAGCAAGGACGGGGCCATCATCGACCCGCTGGTGCGCGTGGAGATCCATGGGGTGCCCGCGGACCAGGCGCACCAGGAGACCAAGTACATCGAGAACAACGGTGAGCAGGGGGCTCCCGGGGACCCGTCCCTGCCCGTCCCTGCCCCCTGCCACCCCCCAGCACCCCCTCTCCCTCCCCAGGGTTTAATCCCCGCTGGGACGAGACCCTCCAGTTCCAGCTCCACGTGCCCGAGCTGGCCCTCGTCCGCTTCGTGGTGGAGGATTACGACAAGACGTCCAGGAACGACTTCGTGGGGCAGTTCACCCTGGCCTTCGCCAACATCAAACCCGGTGAGAGGTCGCTGCCCGGTGCTGTAGGGTGCTGGGGAAGGGGTTTGGTGGGGTGCTCAGCCACAGCCTTGCTGTCCCCCCCCTGCAGGCTACCGCCACATCCACCTCCTCTCCAAGGACGGCACCAGCATCCCGCCCTCCTCGCTCTTCGTTCACATCCGCATCACCGAGCCGCCCGGCCCCGAGCAGGACTGACCCACGGGGCCTATGGGATCGGGATAGAAGCCATAGGGCCGGCCCGGTTCTGGCCCCATAGAGCTGGGGCCATGGGGCTGAGCACACCACCCCCTCGTCGCTCCGTTTGTGTCGTCCCTGTGTCGTCGTCGCTGCTGTGCCCGTGTTTGCAGTGGCCTCTGGGGGCTGGGGACAGGCACTGGTGTCTCCAGTGGTGGTTTGGGATCTCTCCCACCTGGCAGGGCTCAGCCACGGGGAGGAGGAGAGCTGGGGCACGGCGCCCAGGCTCTGCCGGGGGCTGGTCCCCCTCCCCACCCAGGGGAAGCGAGGCTGGAGCCAAGCAAACCCCGGGGCTGGGCAGAGCTGGGAGAGGAGCCGCTGCTCACTGCCCCCATCCTGCAGCGCCCTCAGAGCCCCCGGCCCCCACAGCCCCAGGGATGCTCCTGGCCAGCACCACGTTATTAACCCTGGCCGTGTCCTCTCGATGTCAGCACCCTAATAAAGTGTTCAGTGGCAGGCAGGCACGGGTCTGGGTGCGGTGGTGTTGCTCAGGGTTTCGGGGACACTCTGCCCCTGCCAGCATCCTTCGGAGAGGATTTCAGGTTCAGCACAAACCCCAGGGGCTGCTCCTAGCCTGATTCTGGGGTCCTGGGCACAAGGAGGGGCTTCCAGCTGGAGCTGCCCCATAGCCCACAACCCCTCCATCCCAGCGCAGCCAGCAGGACCCCAACTAGCCCCGAACAAGAGCACTACAAGGAGCCGAGAGATCCCTTTTATACAGCCATATCCTACATCCCATATACACAGATGCCTATACACACACCTCCACCTCCCCCTCACACTAAGGCGCCATCCTTCCCGGGGGGGCACCCCTCTTCCCGCTCCGTCTCGGGGCGCCCCGCTGCCGGGCTGTCCCTCTGCACGGCGTGGAGGTGGACGGTGGGGGTGCTGGGGTCCTTGCCCACCCCCTCGGCGGCCCCGCGCTCGGGGTGGTGCCGCTGGATGTGTTTGATGACCTGGAACTTCTGCTTGGCCTTGTAGGGGCAGTAGCGGCAGAAGAAGGGGTGCTGGTCAGTGTGGGTGAGGTAGTGGTGGCGCAGCCCGGCCGCCCAGCGGAAGGCTCGCCCGCAGGCGTTGCAGACGTAGGGCTTCTCCTCGCTGTGCTTCTTCAGGTGGGTCTTGAGGAGGAAGCGGGTCTTGAAGGCCTTGCCGCACTGCTCGCAGATGAAGGAGCGCGCCTCGCGGTGCCGCGTCTCCTGGTGCACCCGCAGCGCGTCCGCACGGTTGGTGCGGTACTCGCACTCGTCGCAGCGGTACGGCTTCAGCCCTGCGGAGATGGGGACAACGGCTCCATCCCAGCACCTCCGCGGGGCTCTCTGTCCCCAGGAACCCTCCCCACACCCCCTCCTTGGCTCTGGGGAGGTGCAGCCTCCAGCGCGTTGTCCCCAACCCTCCGGCACCCAGGGACGTGCTCTGCAGGGTGTCCCCACGCCCCCCCCTCCTTGCCAGGAGTGCTGGCGGTGCCCCGTGGCCACACTCACCCGTGTGCTTCGTCATGTGGTACTTGAGCTGATTCACCCACTTGCACTTGTAGCCGCAGTCCGGGCAGAGGTATTTGCGCTCCTCCTTGTGGATCCGCATGTGGTACTGGGCAGAGGGACACGGGGCACGGTCAGGGGGAGGCCATGCCGCCTGCCCCGGGGGCATGCAGGGCTTGTTCTGTCCCAGCCCGTGGAGGCCACAGGCTTTTCTTCCTACGTTTGGCATTTAGGACTAAGTCCAGGTTTAGAAAGAGCCCGGCAGAGCAGAGTGCATCACGGCAGCCTTGCCCAGGAGGCCCTCGAGGGCTCCGGCACAGCCTGGCCATTAAAAAAGTCGATACTTCTTTTAGCAAAGACAGCCCATTTTCCTTCCATTACCCCACGCCCGGCTCCCTTGTTCTAGGAAAGGCCCTTTACTGCGTGGGAGGGTGATCATCCCCTACAAAGCTGAGCAGAAAGAGCATGCAGACACCGTCCCCTAGCGCCACGCTGCCCTGAACGGGCACCTCCTCCAGAAACGAAGGGGGCACGGCCACGAGCACTCAGAGCTGCCAGCAGGGAGAGAAATGAACTCAGCCAGCTGCTCAAGTCTCGCTTTGCCACCCCCTTCATTTGCAGCAGCAGGGTGTAGGTCAGAACCCCATCCATCCTTCCCCAAACCACCGGGTCTGCGCCCCCCAGCCCTCGCAGGGCGCTCACCTTGAGGCGCGAGGGGTCGGCGCAGGCGTACTTGCAGAGGTGGCACTTGTAGGGCTTCTCCCCGGTGTGGATGCGGATGTGCCAGGTGATCTTCTGCCGGTTCTTGGTGCTGTAGGCGCAGTCCGAGCACTTGTAGACGCGGGTGCCGCCGTGGCCCTTGACGTGCTGGTCGAAGACGAGCTGGTGACGGCAGGCGAAGTCGCAGAAGGGGCAGCGCAGGGGCTTGTCCTGGGGGGCGGCGGGCTCGTGGCTCTCCACGTAGTGCCGCACCAGCTGCTGCCGCTCCTTGGCGGCGAAGCTGCAGAGCTCGCAGCGGTGCCCGAAGTGCTGCCGCTTGTGCTCCTCCAGCGCCTCCCGGCTGGGGAAGGTCTCCTTGCAGGTGCCGCACTCCAGGTGCGGGTGCTGCTTCTGCAGGTGGCACTTGAGCGTGGCCTCGCTGTGGCACACGAAGCCGCACCGCGGGCAGCCGTAGGCCACCTTCTCCTCGTGCCGCCGCAGGACGTGCTGCTTGAGGGCGGTCTCGGAGCTGAAGCGAGCCTCGCAGCGGGCGCAGCCGAAGTTGAGCTCGCCGCGGTGGCAGCTGTTGACGTGGCGGGTGATGTCGTTCTGCAGGTAGCTGCCGTAGTCGCAGAGCGGGCAGAAGTGGGTGGGTGTCTTCTCGTGCACCCGCAGGCGGTGGATGCGCAGCTTGGAGTTGGTGCCGAAGGTCTGGCTGCAGCTGCCGCAGGCGATGCGCCCCACGCCGGTGTGCAGGGACTGGTGGGCCTCCAGGCGGTAGCGCCGCGTGGTGCTGAACTCGCAGAAGCGGCACTGGTGGGGCTTCACCCCCTCGTGCTTGATGCGCACGTGCTGCCGCAGGCAGCGGGCTTGCTTGCAGGTGAACTCGCACTGGCGGCACTGCAGCTGCGGCCGCGTGCCGTAGTGCTGGCGGTGCAGCCGGCGGTGCAGCCGCAAGGCTTTGGCCGCCTGGGAGGTGAAGGGGCAGGAGGCGCAGCGGAACTCGCCCAGCGCCACGCAGCCCCGCTGCTTGTGCGTCCTCATGGCCCGCTCCTGCTGGCAGGTGAAGGGGCAGCTGGGGCAGGACAGGCGCCTCCGCTTTGGGCAGCGGGGCTTTTGGGGAGGCTGCGCCCGCTGGGGGCTCGCCGTTGGCCGAGTCTCCCCCCGGGATTGGGGTGCTTTGGGGTCCGTCCTGTTCGGGAGGCGCGAGGTGCTTCTCGGCACGGTGGCTCTTCAGGGCCCGCTGGGAGCGAAAGGCCTCGGGGCACTGCGAGCACCAGAACTGCTCCAGGCGCCGGCAGCCGTCCTCCACGTGGGAGGTGATGGTGGAGACGCGGGAGCACACGAAGGAGCAGGCGTTGCAGCGCAGCTTGCCCCCCTCCAGCCGGTATTTCTCGGAGGGCTTCCCAGGCTGGGGGGGACAAGCGGCTCCGCTGGGCTCAGCCCCGTCCCCTCGCTGCCAAAGCTCTTCGGGCACCTCCCTGCTGTCACCTGGGAGGGACTGCTGCGGGGAAGGACAGCCCGGAGCCTGCTCCCCAGCCGAGGGACTGTCCGGTGCCTGCGTTTCATCAGCCAGCACTCCTGCTGCCCAGGGGGGGTCAGGATGTCCTGACTCCTCTGTGCCCACCGCGTCGCTCTCTGCTGTTCCTGTGCCATTGTCACCCAGCTGGTGCGAGCCAGGTGGCTCCTGAGCTTGAGGCTTGAGGATCTTGTTCTTCTTCTTCAGGAGGACGGGGCACTTTTTGAGGAGGTGGGTGTTGAGCCCCCTTTGCTGCTTAAAGGTGGCGCCGCACTCGCAGCAGACGAGCGGGGCGCGGCGGCTCTGGCAGCTGGCTTTGGAGTGCAGGGACAGGGACTTCTCCCTCCGGGTTATGTAGGAGCATTTCTCACACCTGAAGATCTGGCTGCTCTCCGACTGCACCACCAGCATCTGCACTCTGCCCTCCAGCACCAGCGTCTCCGCCTGCTCCTTGTCCTGCTTCCGCAGCGCCTTCAGCACCGACTCCGAGCCGCTCCTGGCATCGTCGCTGGAGGCGGCCGCAGCGCTCGGGCCGAGTGGGGGGCTCTGCTCAGGGGTCCTCAGCACGCTGAGCCAGGCCTCTGGCAACTCAGCTGGGCTGGTTTCTCTCAGCTCCGCGTCTGGGACCAGCTTGCAGGGGGCTGAAGGAGCGCCCTGGAGGTTCCCCATGGCCTCCCTGATGGGGTTTTTGTCCTGGCCGGCACCCGGTGCTACGCTGTCCTCCTGCCTCACCTCCTCGTCCTCATGGACATCTGCCTCCTCTTCCTTGTAGCCCGGGATGTCTCCAAGAGCACCGTCGCTGTCCTCCAAGCCGAGGTGATCCCGGGAGCCCAGCACCTGGTAGGCTGCAGGAGGCTCCTTGCAGGTCAGCGTTTCCACGCTCTGGGGCTGCGCCGTGCAGGCTCCTCCAGCCAGGTGCTCCAGGATGGGGTCAGAGGAGACGTTCAGCGTCTCTAGGTGCAACGTGCAGCTCTCTGCCTCTTCCCCCGCAGCAGCAAGCTCAGCAGAGCCCGCGGCAGCACCACTCTGCATGCAGGCATCTCCCAGGGCGTCACTGGTGACCGGGCAGCTCCGCTCCCCCTCGCCCGTAGCTCTCTGCACCTTGCTGCTGTCCCCTGGCAGTGCTGTGTCCTGCCCAAGAAGGGGCACCACGAACACTTGCTGGTAGCCCTCATCCCCCTGGGGCTCCAGCTGGGCTGGCTTTGCCTTCGCCCACTGCTCCTTGCCAGAGAGAGGGGAGCTGGCGTCCACACGCAGGGCCACACCGAGCTCAGAGCCGAGCAGTGCCTCGGAGGAGGAGGAGATCTCCAGCTCCTTGCTGGCGTAGTTTTCCAGCCAGTCCTTGTCACCGGGCACGTAGCCGTGCACCTTGCGCTTGTGGAAGAAGAGGCTGGTGTTGCTGAAGGTGCAGTAAGAGCAGAGGGCGCAGCGGAACTCCTTCTGCTTGGTGTGCTTGCAGTTCTCATGGTTGAGCAGCGCCTGCTTGTACTTGGTCTGGTAGGCGCAGTAGCGGCACTGGAAGGTGGGCACCTGGTAGTTCTGCGAGTGCTTGGCCTGCACGTGCTTCTGCAGCTCGTACTTGCGCTTGCAGGCGAAGCCGCACGCCTCGCAGACCAGGCTCTTGCCCTGGTGCCGCAGCTTGTGGCTGCTCAGCTGGTCGGCACGGTGGCAGCGGTACGAGCACTGGTTGCACTGGTACCTGTGGGGAGAGCAGAATCGGTCAGGAGGAGCGGGGAACTGTGATCCGGGCAGCTCTAACCACAAGCAGTTCCTCCCCGTGGCACCGCTGGTGCTCCACATCCCCAGCCCGGGGACAGGAGTCCCTGGGCACCCCAGCAAGCAGCTGGGCCAAAGCACAGCGAGGTGGCAACGCAGGAGTAAAGCCACGTTTTTGGCAGAGCCCTGCACCAACCCAAGCTGCCCTTGGCCCACGAACATCAGCAGAGTGCGCGAGGCCGAGCTCAGAACTGCAGCAACGTGGTGGCGGTGCCGAGACACCAGAATTTTGCCTGCACAGCACCCACGAGCTCAGACCGCATTTACCACGGGCCACACAGAGCAGGCAGCAGCCGCTGCCGGGAAGGGGGGAGGCTGGCACCCAACGCAGCTCCCGGAGCAGGATTTGGGGAGCCCTCACGCTGCTGCCAAGCCGGGCAGCCCGGGGGCAGTACCGGAGATCCCCGGTGTGCTTGCGCATGTGGACGTTGAGGTAGTGCTTCCACTTGGTGACGTAGCCGCACTCGCTGCACATGAAGTTCTTGTCGTCGGAGTGGGTCAGCATGTGCTTGGACAGGTAGCTGACGTCGCGGCAGGTGAAGTCGCACAGCTCGCACTTGTGGGGCTTCTCTCCTGCGGGGGGGACACGAGCAGACTGGGTGCCGCGGCAGGACGAGGCAGCAGAGCGGGGAAAATCAGCTCAGGAGGTTGGGGTAACGATAGGGATGGGGACGGAAACCTGAAAACCCAGAAACCCTGCCCCAAGCCCTCCCCGACCTCCAGGCTTGCCGCAGCCACCCACCCGTGTGCAGCAGCATGTGGCGGATGAGCACGCGCTTGTGCGCGGTGGCGAAGGCGCACTGGGTGCACTTGTGGACCTTCTCGTTGGCGTGCATCTTGCCCACGTGGTCGTGGAACTCCACGGGGTTGAAGGTGGCGTAGGGGCAGAAGCCGCAGCGCAGCTGCTCGCTGCCCGGGTGCCCCTGCTTCTTGTGCTTGCGGAAGAGGTGCTTGTTGGAGCAGATGAAGTCGCACTGCTGGCAGTGGAAGGCGTAGTGGGTTTTGCGGTGAGCCTCCATGGCCTCGGCCGTGCCGAAGAGCAGCGAGCAGGCGTGGTGCCGGCACTCCACCGCCTTGACCCCGTGGGCGTCCTTCAGGTGGCGGATAAACTCCCGGCGGTCCTCGGCGCAGTAGTCGCAGCCCCCCTGGAAGCAGCTCAGCCTCTTGGGCTCGGCTTTGTGGCTCTTCAGGTGCTCCTTGAGGGCCTGGCTGAGGCGGAATTTCTCCTCGCAGACCGGGCAGGAGTAGACGTCGGAGTAGAAGTTGGAGCTGTCCTCGTGCATGCTGGCCATGTGGCGGTTGAGGGCGTTCCTCTCCACCGAGCTGTAGCGGCAGAGCGGGCAGCGGTGGGCTTTCTGGCCCGCCTCGCGCAGCAGGTGGATCTTCAGCTTGCTCTTGCTGGTGAAGAACTTGCGGCAGTTGGGGCACTGCAGGCTGGGGTCGGGGAAGTGCAGGTGGAGGTGCTCCACCAGGTGGGTCCGCTTCTTGAAGCACCGCTTGCACTCGGGGCACATGTGGGTCTTGTAGAGGGCCTCGCAGCCCTCCGCCACGTCCCCTGCGAGCAAGGAGAGGGAGAGGGTGAGATATTTCCCTCCTGACCTTGTAGAAGACGAGGACCCAGAGGGGCTGTCCCCACCCTGAGCCACCACCGGGGTTGGGGGGGCCCAGCACAGCCTAAATCAGAGCCAGGCAGCCCCCACCTAGCCAAAAATCCCTGCTCCTTCATAAACAAAATGACCCCGGCAGCTCAAAGCATGCTCTTACCTCTGAAACGCTGCGCCCGGGGCACCTCGGCTTCCTCAGGAGCCTCCTTCCCATCCTGCTTGCCCTCGCCCTCGTGGGGGCTCTCCCCGTTCTCCCCCAGGGCCCCCTCCGGGTCGCTGCCGGCTGTAGGGGGGCTTCCCGTGGCCCCCGCTGCCCGTCCCGGGGCGGGCAGGAGCAGCTCGGGGCAGGGGGCATCCAGCTCCTCGCCCCCAGCCCCGGGGGTGGGCGTTTTTTCGGTGCTCATGGCCCCTCAGCTGCTGCTGGCACCGGCAAGGGGGGGCTCCGGAGCTGGAAAAAGGAACAGGACAATAAGGGGAGGGGGGCCCGGGGAGGGGGTGGCTCTGTGAGGGGTCCGCACCTGGCCCCAAATGCCTGGGAGCACCCAGCGGGGGCTCGGCCCCAGCCCCCATCCCGTGCCCCCCAGTACATCTCGGTGCCCCCCAGTGCCCTCCCAATATCCCAGTGCCCCCCAGTACCCTCCCAGTATCCCAGTGTCCCCCAGTGCCCTTCTGATACCACAGTGCTCCCCAGTACATCCCAGTGCTCCCCAGTACCCTCCCAGTATCCCAGTGCCCCCCAGTTCTCCCCCAATGCCCCAGTGCCCCCAGTACCTCCCAATGCCCCCCAGTTCCACCCAGTATATCCCAGTGCCCCTCAACACCCCAGTACCCCCTGTTCCTCCCCAACACTACAGTGTCCCCCAGTACATCCCAGTATCCCCCAGTACCCTCCCAATATCCCAGTATCCCCCAGTACATCCCAGTGCCCCCCCAACACCCCAGTGCTCCCCAGTACATCCCAGTGCCCCCCAGTTCCTCCCAGTATCCCAGTGTGCCCCAGTACATCCCAGTGTCCCCCAGCGCCCTCCAGTGCCCCCCCAATACCCCAGTGCTCCCCAGTACATCTCAGTGCCCCCCAGTTCCTCCCAGTATCCCAGTGCCCCCCAGTACCCTCCCAGTATCCCCCGGAACCTCCCAGTGCCCCCCAGTTTTCCCCAACACCCCAGTGCCTCCCAGTTCCCCCAGTACCTCCCAGTGCCCTCCAGCTCTCCCCCAACGTCCCAGTGCCGTCCCAGTGCCCCCCAGTTCCCTCCCAGTGCTCCCAGTCCCCCACCCCCCAGCGCCACCTGCGGGCCCGGCCGGCCTCATCTCTATGGTCTCGCCCCGCGGCCTAGAGCGCCGCCCTTTGTTGCGGGGCCGCTCTACCCCCCCCCAAACCTCCCGGCTCCGCTCTATGGTGCGCGCCGCGAGCCGGCCGGAAGCGGCGGCACCGGAAGTCGGGGGGTGAGGGGGGAACCAGAGAGAGCGGCGCGAGGGTGAGGGGCGGCGGCGGGGCGGTGCTTCGGGGGGGTGAATTTGGGGATAAATTGGGATAAATTGAGATAATGGCGGTGTTGGGTGGGTTATAAGGGGTTTAGGAGAAGCGGGGTGAGGATTGAGGAGCTGAGGGGGCGGTGGGTGCGCCCTGGGGGCCTCCCCCCGCCTGGGGCCTGCTCTGAGCCCCCAGGCCCGGGGGCGCCTCACCGGGACGGGCCCGGGGCTGCCCCCCCCCTCCCCCTGCTGCCCCCCCCCCCCCACCTCGCTGTTTCTCCTCTGTCCCTGCCCGCACAGGTCTGCTCGCAAGCCTCCGGGGCGATGCTGTGGGAGGCAGCCCCCTAGCCCCCCGCCATGCCGTTCTCCGACTTCGTCGTGGCCCTGAAGGACAACCCCTACTTCGGGGCCGGCTTCGGGCTGGTGGGGGTGGGCACGGCCCTGGCCCTGGCGAGGAAAGGGGCTCAGTTCGGCCTGGTGGCCTTCAGGCGTCATTATATGATCACGCTGGAGGTGCCCAGCAAGGATAAGAGCTACCACTGGCTGCTGAACTGGATCTCACACCACGCCAAGCACACGCAGCACCTGAGCGTGGAGACGTCGTACCTGCAGCATGAGAGCGGGCGCGTCAGCACCAAGTTTGACTTTGTCCCCAGCCCCGGGAACCATTTCATCTGGTAAGGGGGAGCAAGGGGAGAGGGAAAAGCAGGTTGGGGACTCGCCAGCGTGGGCTCTGTCCCCCAGCCCCGTCCTCTTGCCCCAGGTATCAGAGGAAGTGGATTCGCATCGAGCGCAGCCGGGAGAAGCAGATGATCGACCTGCACACGGGAACCCCCTGGGAGTCCGTCACCTTCACGGCGCTGGGCACCGACCGGGAGATCTTCTTCAACATCCTGCAGGAAGGTCTGTAGGAGGCTTCCCGGAGGCGCTTCACGAGGGAGCCTGCTCCCTGCCAGCTCTGCCCTCTGCCTCTCTCCGCAGCCCGGGAGCTGGCTCTGCAGCAGCAGGAGGGGAGGACGATCATGTACACGGCCATGGGGGCGGAGTGGCGGCAGTTCGGCTTCCCCCGCCGCCGCCGGCCCCTCAGCTCCGTGGTGCTGGAGGAAGGCGTGTCAGAGAGGCTGGTGCAGGACGTGAAGGAGTTCATCGACAACCCCAAGTGGTACAGCGAGAGAGGCAAGGCTCCCTTTCTTACCCTCTGCAGGCACGGCTGGGGGCTGCGAAGCCCCTTGGGACAGCTGCAGAGAGCCCTGCTGCTTCTTGCATCCCCTGTGTGTGCTCAGCCCGGCCCCGTGGCTCTGAGGTAGAGGGCTCGGAGCAACCCAGCAGGTTCCTAAAAGGCTTCTGTCTCCCTAGGGATCCCGTACCGAAGGGGCTACCTGCTGTACGGCCCTCCCGGCTGCGGGAAGAGCAGCTTCATGTGAGTATCTGCCCGCTGCCTCCTCTGAGGTGCAGCAGCCTCTGGTGGGTGGGCTGGGGGTTGAAATGCAGCGGGACAGGAGCAGGTTTTGCCTCCTGCATTGTGCCAGGAGCGAGCATTCACCCTGCTGCAGGTCAGGTGCTGTTTCTGCTCCCCGTTGGGGAGGAAGCCAGCGGGCAGGGAGTGCCCGTTCCACAGCCTGCCCTGCCTCCCCCTGCTCCGGGCGCTCTCGCTGTGATTCACCGCCTCGTTTTGTGTCCCTCCCAGCACAGCCCTGGCCGGGGAGCTGCAGTACAGCATCTGCCTGCTCAGCCTCAGCGACCGCAGCCTCTCCGATGACCGCCTCAACCATCTCCTGAGCGTGGCGCCGCAGCAGAGCATCATCCTCCTGGAGGACGTGGACGCTGCCTTCGTCAGCCGGGACCTCGCTGCTGAGAGTGAGCGGCAGCCCTGTTCCTGGGGCAAACAGCGGGGGGAGATTGGCCCCAGCAGGGACTGGGGTGGTGCAGCCCCAAGCTGGAGCTCACCCCCTTTTGGCTGGGCTGAGAGAAAGGAGCACTGGGTGCGTTATTCTGGGCAAAGACACTTGTCCTGCCCAGCGTGAGGAAGGAGGCGGCCTTCCCCCGTTCTCCTTTCGGGTTCAGAGGGTCTGCGTGAGGGAGGGAGGGAGCAGGGAGCTTGGTTTCAGCCTCACGCTGTGCAGGTGGGTGTTAGCTCAGCCCTCTCTGTCCCCAGACCCCGCCGTGTACCAAGGCATGGGGCGCCTGACCTTCAGCGGCCTCCTCAACGCCCTGGATGGCGTGGCCTCCACGGAGGCCAGGATCGTCTTCATGACCACCAACTACGTGGACAGGTCAGAGCTGCCCCCCTGGGAGGGAGGACGCGGGTAAAACCATCCTTCTGCTGGCCTTTTTTGCTGACCCAGCAGGAATTTTTTTTTTCTGGGGGGTTCGTTTCACTTCTTAGACCCCAGGGACAGAGCTGCTCCCCGTATTTATGGCGCTGCGGAGCCCCTGGGGTCTGGTTTTTGAGGCAGCCCCGTGTTTCTCGGCAGGTTGGACCCAGCCCTGGTGCGGCCGGGCCGCGTGGACCTGAAGCAGTACGTGGGGCACTGCTCCCCCCGGCAGCTCGCCCGCATGTTCCTGCGCTTCTACCCCCAGCAGCCCCCCGCCGCGGCCGAGCGCTTCGCCCAGCGGGCGCTGGGGGTGTGCGAGCAGCTGAGCGCCGCGCAGGTGCAGGGGCACTTCATGCTCTACAAGGAGGACCCCGAGGGAGCCGTCGAGAACGTGGGCTCCATGCTGCTGTGAGCCCTGCCACAAGGACCAGATCCTCATGGGGACACCTCTGCCTCGGTGTTTTATTAACCCGGAGCTGCCCCAGGGCACGTTTGGGTGCTACCCCGCTCGCCTCCCTCGTGCTGGGACTGTGCGGGGCTGCTGGAGGTGGAGCCGGGACACATCCACCCCACAAAGGGGGTGAGAGCCCTAAGGGGAACATCCCCAGGGCAGGACGTGGAGGTGATGTGCTGCTGGACAGAGCTGCTGCTCTCTGACAGGACAGCAGCTCCTGGAGCTGTGAATATTCTCAGTGAAACGTAAAACACAGCTCCTGGCTCTCCCGTCCCTTCTGTGTGCGTGCTGCTGAGGGTCAGCGTTGTCCCTTTACCTGTTGCTGGCCCCGACCCCAAGAGCACAGGCAGTGACACATCACTCTGCTTGCTTTTAATGGGGTTAGCGCCACAGCCCCCGCGCACTGCCTTTCTCCCACGTGAGCCCCACAACAGCCCCTGTGAGGTAGGGCAGTGCCAGCAGGAGCAGGGATGCTGGCAGACACCCAGCAAGGAGCCTCGGTGCAGGCTCCACTCCTCCCCCATCCCAAATAACCCCCCGAAAAACCCAATGCTGGCTGCTGCTCACAGCTGGCTCAGACCCACAGCACCCCAAAATCCCTTGGCTGGGCTCCAGGAGTTCCTCCCATCCTTCCCAGCACAGCCTCGGCAGCTTGTAACTGCAGCCACTGAAGCTTTTTCTGAATTTTTATTCAACTCAAATCAATTTCCACACACTGGTGCAAAATTTCCTCTGCTCCAGGCTAACAGCAGCGAGTCAGAAACGTGAGAGCCCTTCCTCAGGGCCTGCTCCCAGGAGCAAAACTCCCCTCTGCCAAGCCCCACGGGACAGCGTGAGGGTGCAGGAGACCTCAAACAGCTTTCTGTGGTTGAGTTCCCGTGCTCCGAACACGCCTCGAGTGCTTTCTGACTGAGGAGAGAAAAAATCTGACTCGCTGGAGGAAGCCAAGGAGCTTCAGTGAGAGCTCTGCGAGGGGCAGGGATCTTACATCGCTTTCTGCTCTGGGAGCACAGCAGCCTGACAAGGCAGAGAGCAGCACAACCAGCATCGAATTCAGTGTACAACTTTTCACCCAAATGCAGACGGGCCCCTCACCCAAAAACTGCCTGGAATGAGGACTGAGCAAGTGCTGAAGAGAAATTAGGGCATGCTCCGGGGAGCGTTCAGTGCTTGTCCCCTCCAGGGCTGGTTTTCAGCTCCCCGAGCCCAGGACAAGCAGCAGAGGCTCAGGCCAGAGCAAAGAATGCCTGGTAGAGCACGAGAGTGCTGGAAAATCTAAGCAAGGGTCTTCAAAACACAAAAAACAGCAGCGGGTTAAACCAAAACCACGAGGATAAGAGAGTGGGGAGCAGAGCAGCGGGTGCCAGGCAGGTTAAGGCTTTTCTACGCCGCTCATGTGAGAAGGGATAGAGCAGGCGCCCTCCCCGCAGCACACAGCTCCTGCTTTCCTAGGGATCTCGCCCAAAGCTCCATCCAGTCCCTGAGAGCACGGTGGTTTTTGCTCCCAGGAGCCTGCCCCTGGGTGCTGGGAGGGAACACCAAGGATGGACGCTGCTCGGAACGGCAACGGGCAGGCAGAGAAAACAAAGAGCTCCAGAGAAGGCCAAAGGAATTGGTTTAATAGCAGCATCCTGCTTCGGAGGCTCAGGGTCTCGTCACGTCTCTGCAGGGGGACGCGGTCTAAATCTTGAAGTGGCAGCAGAAGGACGGGGTGGGAGCTGCAGCTAAATTCAAGCTTCCTGGGGGGGGAAGAGGAGCCAGCGCAAAGCCTCAATGCCTGGACAGTCCCAACCTGGTGAAGGACCTGTTGGAGCTGAATTTTGTTCTGGCCGGAGCTGGGAGATGTCCAGCAGCTGCCCCCACGGCTCTGGGGCACCACGCGGGGCTCGCTGTTTGTCCTCCTGGCTCACACAAAGGGGTGCTGGGTGCTGCTCCCTGCTCCAGGCTTCCTCTAACACTGCAGCTGCTGCGACCCACCAGAAATCAGCTCCTCCACGGGTGGTGCCCGCCAGCTGCTCACCCCAGGCTGCTTCGCTCCACACAACCCCTGGAGACTCCTGTTCCAAGCCGTGCCACACGCCAACTGCCTCTTCCATCCAAGCTGTACGGTGCCTCCTTGCTGCTGCTCTCCCCGCATCCCAGCCCCTCGGCACAGCTGCTAGGAGCCGCTCTCCTTCTCCAGGAGCTGGGCTTCTCGGCGCCCGCTGGGCCTGAGCGCCCCTCGGCCTCTCGGCGCTCTGGGGTAGGATCCACGCTCCTGCGCCCTGGACCTCTCCCACCTCCCGCAGTCCCAGGGCCGGTGGTGGCCCTGCCAGCGGTGGTCGCTGCAGCTGAAGGCCAGGTTCTCCTTCTCCCCGCCCTGGGTCTCAGCACCCTGCTCCGGGGTCCATCTCTCCGCATCGCGCCGCTCCTCCTTCAAATCCGCCGCCTCCGTTTCTGGTGAGGGGTCTTCAGGGCACAGCTCCTTTCTCTCGGCCAAGGCAGCGGCCCTGCTTCTGTTGGGATGTTTCGGAGCCTCCTGGCTGTGCCTCCCGCCCGGCCTCCTCTCAGGTCTCCGACTGAAGCCCCTGGGTGCTCTGGAGCCGTGGAGCTGCTGACAGGCTTCCTCAGCTGCCTCCTGGGACCCGCTGCACGTCTGCCTGCCCGGGCCTTTGGGGCCTGGCCTCTCCCCTCTGTGCCTTTCCCTCCTGCTCTGGGGCTCCCCGGGCACCGCAGGCCTTTCAGGCTGCGCAGGCGCTGCCCTGGCTGGCTCTGGGGCCAAGGCTTGGCAGGGTGCCTGGGGCGCGTCCACGGCGCTCGCGCTCACCAGCTCGGAGGCAGCGGCTGCCTGGCCTGGATCAGCGGTAGCTGGAGGCTGAAAGAAAGAAGCAGAGATCTCAGAAAAGGGAGAGGAGGGTCCCGAAGCAGGCGCCGCTTGGCCCTGCAGCTCAGCAGATCCCTGCCCTCGGTGCCCTACCGCCTGGAGGCTGATGAAGTAGCGGTTCCTCTCTGCTTCGGGGTCGATGATGCCCCCTTTCTCTTGCTGCCTCTTGAAAATTAAGCGCAGTTCTTCTTGGTGCTGCAGCGTCTTGGCATCCGGCCTGTATGGCTCCTGAGCGGCAGAGGACAGAGGGGTTAAGGGTTCTCTCAGCACTACGAGCAATTCCCCAAGCCCTGCTTTGATCACGCAGCACCCTGGCAACCTGCTTGCAGCATTTGGTTCCCCAGGCTTACAGACCCCCGCGCACTGCCTGGGTGGAAAGGGAACACGCTGCCACAGAGCTGCTGTTCCCTGCAGTAACTGCCTTGGGACCTCCTGCTTCAGCGTGAGATGCAGAGCGGCTAAAATCAGGAAGCACAGAGCTCTGCTGTGAGCTAGGATCACTTGCATCACCCTGAGTACATCCCAGTGGGCACAGGGAGGTATTTAAGGAGAGCTACAGTAATTCTCTTAGAGCAGAAAAAACACAGAGATTCCATGCAGGCGTTCCCTGTCCCTTGACAGAATCTCCTCTCCCCTACCACATCTGCTCAGGGCCGTTGGGATGACACCACCACACCTTCTTGCCCCTTCCTCACGAGACAGCCAAGGTCCTTTGCTTCCCTCTGACCTATCACCCTCAAAGCTGGATCCTCCAGGGCAAGCCCCCCCTTCCCAGGGCAGAGGAGCTGCAAAGATCCCTTCTGAAAAGCACACGGGATGGAAATGGCACAGCTGGGCAGATCCACCTCTTACCAGCGTGTGCTGCGGGGGCGGCGCTGCCTTCAGGGCACAGAGGTCGTAGACCAGGGTTTCCCTGCAGACAGGGCACTGCACGCCGGCGTCCTGCAGGGAGGACAAGAGGTGACACCAAGCCCGGGCAGCCCCCCAGCCCACGCGCTGCCAGAGCATCCCCAGGCTGGGAGTGCAACAGGGCAGCCCGCTTCAGCTGACCACAAACACTCTCCTGCCAGAGCAGGGAGGCTCCAGCAGCACAAAAATGTCCAGATCTCACCGACTGCTACAGAAAAAGTGTCTCCCAGTACCTGTTTGGGAGAAGGAGCCAGGTGCTGCTCTCTCTCTTCCTGCTGCGTAAGGATCTCCTCCTCCATGTGCTGGGCATAGCGGGCCAGGCAGTGGGAGTGGAAGTAGTGGTAGCACTGGGTCTTTGTGAAGGCTTCCCTCTCCTGTGGAGAGGAAAGGGCAGCTTTAAAGGGTTTCTGAGCACAGCGTGGTGTAACCTTCCCAGCTAAGGCAGGTTTTCATGCCAGTGTCAGCACTGGCAGCCGGGAGCTAGTGTTATTGATGGTAGAGGCACGGAACTTTTTCCACTGGGCCCCATCTCTGCTTTCTCAGCTCTTACTGGGACACCAGCCCTTGCTCTGAGAGTAAGAAACACTGCTAACATCAAGCTGCAAGGTTTTTGTGACCTATTTCCCCGCACGTATTGTTGCAGCAATCCTCTCATTCCTACCTGGAATCCATAGAGGCAGATCACACACTGGCCGTGAGGAATGTTGTTGTCAGTGAGAATCTCCTTCCCCTTCTGTTGAAGCAGAAAAACCAGCACGTTGCTCACTTGCCCCTGCACAGGCTGAGGGCTTTCCCAGCTCATGGGGTGTCAGAGAGCAGTGTCTGCATCTGGCCACCCCCTTTCACCCCAACTCTCACCTCGATCAGCTCATACAGCACCTCTGTCCCCAGCCTGGCTTCAGCAATATTCCTGAGGGTCTGCAGAATCCTACAGCAAAGCAGCAGAAATACTTAAACATGGTCTTTAGGCGCCCCTTTGCGCTCTTTCACATACCTCCTGCCCCATAACACACAGAAAGGGTGCCGGCCTTGGGGCTTTGCCTATGGTGTGGGACTGAGCACACGTGTAAGCACACACCCCTGGGCTTTCCCAGCTCCCCGTGACCAGTGCTCAGAAAGCTGTTGTCTTGAAAGGACTGAAACTGCCCCAAATCTGTCCCAAACTGCCCGAGATTGATCTCCCCCAGCGCCCTTCAGTTTGCTGAAAGCCCAGCAGATTTAGGTCACCTTGCAGGTGGGCCAGAGGGGAAGCACCCATTCCCTGGTGTCCAACAGAGTGGTTTGTGTAGGATTTTTGCACATTTACGGTGTTTTTGGGCCCCACACACGAGCTGAGGGCCGCAGGGGGGGTTGGGTTTGGTTTTTTCCCTCCCTGCCCCCCAGCAGCCCCCCACCACTCACTTCTGGATTTGCTCATCCGACAGCCCCCGCGGGTTCCTGATGGCGATGTCCGGAGCCGCGTTGGGATACTAGAAAAGAACACAACGAACAAAACCCAAAAAAAAGGAGGAAAAAGAGGAAAGGGGAAGGGAGAAGGGGGGGGTGCCCACCGCTGCCCGGGGCCTACCTGTGGGGGCACGGCCAGCAGCAGCGTGCAGCACACGAACTGCGAGTCCTGGTCCTGTGCTGTGGCGGGGTGCAGGGTGATGCTCACCTCCCAGGGCTCCGACCTGCGGGCAGCACCGGGGCTCAGGGACCCAAAGCCGAGGGCTGAGGTGGGTTTGTGAGGGGGGGGGAGCCCGGTACCGACCTGCCACAGCCCCGCCGCACCCGCAGCTCCTCCAGGTAGATGGACTCCAGCACCTCCACCTCGGCAGGCAGCGCCCTGCAGGGAGAGAAGCAGACCCTCAGAGGGGCTCTGAAGGGATGGGAGAAGAAGGAAAGGAAAGCGAGGGGCGCCGTTACCAGCCCTCCTCCTCCTCCTCCTCGCCGGCCGCCGCCATTTTAGGGCCGGCCCGGAACGGGAAGCGGCGGTTGCCGGGCGCGGTGCCGCCATGGAGGGGTACCGCGTCCTGGGCGCCGTGGGGGGAGGCTCCTTCGGCACCGTGTACAAGGCGAGGAGGCGGCACAGCGCCCAGGTGAGAAGCTGCCGGCCCTTAAACAACACGCTGGGAGGGTTTGGGGGGGGTGCGTGGGGTGTAGGGGGTGTGAGGGGGCGAGGAACGCTGCCCCCCCCCCCCTCCCCTAACGCAGCCCCATCTGGCAGGTGGTGGCCATGAAGTTCATCCCCAAGCTGGGGCGCTCCCGCCAGGAGCTGAGGAGCCTGAGGCGAGAGATGGAGGTGATGAGGGGCCTGCGGCACCCCAACATCGTGCGGATGCTCGACAGCTTCGAGACCGAGCAGGAGGTGAGGCGGCACACGCCGGGCTGGTGCTTTTTGCTTGGCTATGTGGTACCCTAAGGGCTGTCACCTGCTGCCCCTCACGGCTTGGGGGCACCTCCCGAGCTCCTTCCAGCCACCCTGCCCCAATTCTGTCCCTGTCCCTATTGAATGCCACGCTCCCACCACCCGCCCATCGATTCAAAGATCGAAGCCGAAATTCCTTTAATTCTTTATTGCAGCGCTGGATGCACGGGGGAGCTCTCCACCTATCGTGCGTGTCCGAAGTGATGAACTATCTCATATTTATACAGCGAAACAATGAATATTCTATTAACAGCTATACATATTCATTACCCAAACCCGCCTACTCTCCTGTCATATGCTAATTAGCTTATCAGTCCTTGTGCTTGCACGAAGCCTTCCAAGAATTGTGGGCCGGGGTCTTCGGGACGTGGGCAGTGGTCTTTGGGAGGAAGGCTGTAGGTCTTCCTCGTGATGCACTTTTCACCTGTTGCTTAAAGAATGCCAGGTTGGCTGACTCAGTTGTTTCCCAAGCTGCAGAAATGCTGAGTTGGCTCAAGCTACCTCAAGTTTCAGCCTAACTGAGGGTCGGCAGATAACGGGATGTGTCAATTAACAAGGTGCTTCAACATAACAGAAGGTCGACAGATAACAAGATGGCATCTATCTTATTCTCATTAATTTCTAACCACAAGATTTATTCTGTCCCAAAGTGAGTTTATACAATATCACTAATCCTCCCCCAGCTCATCGCACTGGGGTCCTCAGCCCTCAGGGCATTCCCCATCTCCCCAGGGCCAGCAGGTGAGGGTTGTGTGAGCACAGACCCCAAGTCCCAGCCCTTTAGGGGCTCCCGCTGGCTGGGCACAAGGCAAACAGAGCCCCAAGGGCTCGGCGGGGATGTGCCCGCTGCCACCACGCTGTTCTCCCCCCCCAGGTGGTGGTGGTGACTGAGTACGCAGAGGGAGAGCTCTTCCAGATCCTGGAGGACGACGGCAGCCTGCCCGAGGAGCAGGTGAGTGGCAAGGCAGTGGCCACGCTGGCTTTGCTGCAGGATGGAGGGAATGGGATTTGTCTGTCAGCGGGCAGAGGGGCTCCGAGGCTTTGCCTGGCAGAGCTGAAGGGATGCAAAGAGGGCCAGGTGGCAGCGGGTGACAGCAGGTTTCCCACATCACAAGGCTGCTGCCTCAGCTGCTGGCACCTCCCGTGTCAGCAAAGCCAGCCCAAAGCTGGGGCTGGTCCCCAGGTTGCAGGGTGAGGTTTCTGTGTCTCTGCAGGTCCAGGCCATAGCTGCGCAGCTGGTCTCTGCTCTCTACTACCTGCACTCCCACCGCATCCTGCACCGCGACATGAAACCCCAGAACATCCTGCTGGGCAAAGACGGCGTCATCAAGCTCTGCGACTTCGGGTGGGTGCTGGCGGCGAGCTGAGGGGGCCACGTGGAGCTGGTGGCAGCCAAAGGGTGCTGTAGAAGAGAAGGGGGCGTGTGGAAGGGGATTTGGATCCTGTGTGTCCTGAAATAGGCACCTGTGCTTCGCTCCGAGCAGGTTTGCCCGTGCCATGAGCATCCACACCATGGTGCTGACCTCCATCAAGGGCACCCCACTGTACATGTCCCCTGAGCTGGTGGAGGAGAAGCCGTACGACCACACGGCGGACCTCTGGTCGGTGGGCTGCATCCTGTACGAGCTGTTCGTGGGCACCCCTCCCTTCTACACCAGCAGCATCTTCCAGCTCGTCAGCCTCATCGTCAAGGACCCTGTCAAATGGCCAGAGGCCATAAGCCCGGTCTTCAAGGTAAGGGGACAAAAGGGACGAAGCCCTGCCTGTGGGGTGAAACCTGCTGGGGAGCTGATGGCCCCGTGTGCTGCACTGGTGGCTCACGCTTTGTTTTTCTCTCCCCTAGCAGGGATTTGAGAGCATAGCGAAGGGCTGAGGGCTTGGCCTCCTGGGCTGGGGGCTCTTATCATATCTGCTGCCCCTTCCTAAGTTGGGAAACTGAGGCAGGCAGCAGGGCAGTGGTTTAGTGGGCTGGGAAGGGAAAGTGCCTTCCCACGGCACGTCTACCCCTGGCACCAGCCCCACTCTTTCTCAGAACGGTGCAGAGAACCCAGGGGCCCTGGGCTCCCTCTCTGAGGCTGGGGGAAGCGCTGTGTCATGCTGAGCACGTCTGACCCTGGCGCTGTGCTGTCCGTAGAGCTTCCTGCAGGGGCTGCTGATGAAGGACCCCCGGCAGCGCCTGTCGTGGCCGGAGCTGCTCTCCCACCCCTTCATTGCTGGCCGGGTTACTGGTGAGCACCAAGTTTTTTTTTCCAGTTTGGGACAGGTTCTTTTCCTCTGAGTACTGCCTGCAGACTGGGACCACCGCCCTTCCCTGATTTCTTGTATTTCTCTGGTCTTTCCCTCCTTCCTCCCAATTTCTTGCAGTCACCAACCCCTAGCTCCTGCCCCTGGGGTTGCTCGGAGTCCCCCGGGGTTCCCCTGGGATCACGGAGCCGGTCACTTTCCCAGTGTCCCAGGTGGGATCTGCTGCTGAAGATATGCCTTCACCTTCGCAGTGATCGACGACACAGAAGAGCATGGGATCTCAAACCCCTTCACCACCAAGCTGCCCCCAGAGCTGCAGGCCCTGAAGGAGCAGCAAGCTCATTCCCTGGCCCCCAGGAGCGGCCAGTCCAGGATCCTGAGAAAGGCCCGGCAGAAGATGGCTGAGGAGGCACAGAAAAAGGTAGAAGAAAGTGTGGGGTTCCCTGGACTGTGCCCCATTGTTATGGCAAAGCAGGGGCACTGAAACGGGGCCTGGTGGGAAAGGCAGAAGGTGCAGGGTCACGATGGGGGTGTTTATTGGCCCTATACAAGGCAGGATGTGGGATCCTTGGTGTGTGGGGGGCATCAGGGGCTCGTCTGGCTGTCTGAATAACCCTGACCAAACGTCTCTGCCGTCACCCAGGAGCAGCTAAAGGCAAATACTGCATGTCTGAAGGATTCTGGCAAAGGAAACGCTGGGCATAAACCCAGAGCAGCTCCTGGGAAGGCAGCCCTAGGGGAGGGGGAGCCACCAGCTGCCTCCAAAGAGAAGAACTCCAGTGTCCTGCAAGGGAAGAGCAGCGTGGCACAGCGGCAGCTGGAGGAGCCTCCTCCCAGCCCATGGTAAGGCAGGGCTGGGGCTGGGAGAGGAGGAAGAGGGGAAAGCTCACTTAACGGGTCGTTTCCTTTGCCAGGGAGCACAGCATCACTCACAATTACGAGCAGGAGTTTGGCAGAGCAGGAGTCCCTCCACACGCTGCTGCTGGCAGGGCACAGCCCCACGGCAGGCGCAGCATTGAGGCTGTGGACCTGGAGAGCGAGGTGAGCGGGGGTCTGGCAGCAAGGACAGCAGCACCCGCCGCCTAGCGCCTGCTGCAGAGACCCTGGAGCAGGCGGGGTCTGGCTCCAGCCTTCTCTCCTCCGTGGTCAGGAGCTGGAGAGCGATGAGGAGTGGCAGCACCTGATTGAGGCCACCGAGCCCTCGGCCACGCAGCTGAGCACGCCGCTGAGCCTCCTGAGGGACACGGCCTTCCGCCACCGCCTCCGGGCCCGCCTCGCAGCCTCTGCTCAGCAGGTGAGGGGCGTGGAGGCCTTCTTCTTTCCTGTGGTTGGGGCAGGAGCACTAGGAGAGCCCCCACTCTGTCCTGGAGAGTCCCGCTGCTTCCTCAGGAAGCGGAGCTGCCTCATATTTAACTTGTTAGCTGCTCCCCTGCCTTAGAGGGTGATGGAGAGGCTGGGGCTGCTGCTGAGCACGAGCCTTTTTGGCTTTCCGTGCTCAGGTGCTAGAAGGGATGCTAGAGGGAGCCTCCCACCTCCGCCCCGTGCTCCATGTTGTGGGCAACCTCCTGGCTACCCGCTGCCACGCCGAGCTGCTGGAGCAGTTGTGCCTGGAGCTGAACGTGCCGCTGGCCCTGTTGCAGCTGACCAAGCAGATCCTGCAAAGCGGACGCACGAAGCAGGTGGGTGGATGGCCCCAGGCGGACTGAAGCTCCCTCAGTCCCGCAGCGTGGCTGTATTAGGGGATGCTGGGGAGCTCCTTGTGTCCTACAGGTGCTGGCTTACAGGCACAGTGCTTCCTCCTGGCCCCCTTGAGGAGGGAGAGCTTGTGGCCAGGAAGGATGCCCCTGCGGTGGCTGTTGGAATGGCCAGCAGGCATTTGCCTCCTGCTGTTTCTCTCTGTTCTCCTGCAGCAGCCCTGGTGTATCGCAGTGCTGACAGACCTCGTCAGGGTGACCGCGGTTTATTTCAGCAGTGCGTGCAGGCCTGGAGGAGAGTGGGCAGAAGGACAGGTAGGGACAAGGCCCCCCTGTAGGGGCACGGCCAGCTCTTGTCCTTCCAGTCAGTGACCACCTTTCTCTGCTCTCCTTTGCTGCCTCGCCAAGCCTGCAGGCCTTCCAGGAGAGTGCCAGCCACTTCCTAGCCCTGCTGCTGGATCTGCTGGCTGAGCCAGCCGACGGTGAGATGAGACTCTGCCAGCAAAGCCTCCTGGTAAGGGTGCCCCTGTCTTCCTTCTCCTCCCCTCACAGCAGCTGTGGGGCTGGGCGTGCATCCTAGGGGCAGAGCAGGCTGAGGAGCCTGCTCCCAGCTGTGTGACCTGATGCATCCTAGTCAGGGCAAGCTGTCTGAGCCCCTGGTTTTGTTAGTTTTGTTTTGTTTGTTTTGTGGGGATCTCAGAAAGGAATTCTCTGAGGGGGCACCTCCACTGTGTACCCCTCCCGCAGCCAGCCTGTGGCTGCCACGCAGCAGCAGTGGGGCTGAGGTGGCTGGAGGGGACGTTGGGCCCTGAATTTGGGCCCCTTTTCCCACCTCTGCTCTCCCCGCTTAGCTTCCTCCACGGTTGCTTGTCTCTCTCCTCTCACTCTCCACCCGCTGTGACGGCAATCCCCGTGTCTCCCCCAGTGCTTCACGCTGCTCTGTGAGAGCCTGGACGCCACGTGCCCCTCTGTCTCTGCTCCTTTCTACGCCAGCCTGCAAGAGGAGCATCAGCCCCTGCTGGACAGGCTTCTCCAGGGATCCCTCTCAGAGCATCACGCTTTGCCAGGTAGCACTGGTGGCAGCTCTCCGTCTCCTCCTGGGGCTTCCTAGGGTTTCCCTTCTCCCTCCAGCCCTTTAGTTCCCCCAGAGCACTGACAGCGCCATTTCCAGCAGAAAGTGGCTGCCCAAATTGCTCAAACCCCTGCTGCTCAGGGCTCTCCTGTTCTCTCTTCTCTCCCCCACTCCCAGATCTCACCCTTCTCATCACCCAAGCCTGACTTTTCCTCTCTTGGCCTCCAGCCCCATCCCAAACTGCCCCTCAGCGCCCCTCAGCCAGGCTCTGTCCCTGTGCAGGTGCAGCGATGGAGGCCAAACCAGCCCATGACCAGAGCCAGCGTGTGGCAGACCTTTACACAGCCGCCTTGGCTGCTGCCTGCAGCATCCCCCTGGCGAGGAACAGCAGTCGGGACGCCAAGAAGCAGGTCAGGCCAGCTCTCTTTGCAGGGCATGGGTGTACAGCCTCCCTGGAGGCAGCAGGAGAATCTCTTTTTCAGCAGTGAAGTGCAGGGCTGGGGTTCTCCAAGTTTGCTGTCCAAGATTTGCAACCCAAGAGCTGAGCTTCAGGAGTTTGAGGACTCCTGAATCTATTAAAAGACTCACGCTGGGGAAGCCTAAATTTTTATTGCCTAAATATTTATTGCCTAAATAAATAGGCAACGCAGAGAAGGCACGAAGAGTTCCTAAATGCCTGTGATAGGAGCTGTAGGGAATCTGAAGCTGAATGAAGTTGACAAAGAGGGAAATCAGGAATATATTTACACGTGATCATTACCCTGAACTCTGAGCCAGCAGGGAGGAAAGCAGAGTATGAAACTTGTTCGGTCTGTGCAACGCTTCCTGCGCCCGGGGTGCCTAATAGGCTGTGCTTGCTGCAGGTTGCTCGGAGGGTAGCTGCAAAGCTTACGGATGGAGAGAACCGACAGCTTGGGAGGCTGCTGGGAAGGCTGGAGCACCCAGGCTGCTCCTTGAATGTCCTGAAGGTAAGAGCAGTGTCTGTTTTTCTGTCCGTGCACGGAGGTGCCTGCTTGCATCTCTCCCCTCTGCCTCGCAGATCCTCTATGCCGCCTGCCACGCCAGCCCGAGCCTGTGCCAGCACCTAGGGAGGAGCCAGCAAGCGTGGGGTTGCCTCCTGCAGCTCTCACAGGGCAAGGTAGGGCTGGCTGCAGCCCCCGTGCTGGGGAGGGAGGGAGTGCAGCAACCAGGAGCTGCTCCTCTAGGCTATCTTCCTCCCGGGGCCTCGAAACATCCCCTCCTTCCCTCCCAGCCCTGTGACTCCCGCTCCCTCGGCAGGTCCCCATGGCAGAGGCGGCCCAGGGGGTGTCCTGCGAGGCTTCCCTGTACCTGCTGGCCCTGCTCACCCTGCAGCCCCAGGCTCTGCCCTCCCAGGTAAGCACCCGTGGGCGAGATAAAAACGTTTCCTGCCCCAAACAAACCTGTCCTACCCAAAGCTGGGCTCCTGTTCCTGCTGTCCCCTCTGATCCTGACGCCCAGCATGGCCAAGGAAGCTCTGGGATGCAGGGCTTCGCCCTCCTCCCACACGGTGGCTACTTCCCAGCCCTGGGGGTGTTTCTTTCCCCTGCTCTCTGTTTTTCAGGCTCGAGGAGGTTCTTTCCCTGGCCGTGGATGTCCTCACCCAGTCTCCTGTCGCCTCCCGAGTGGTGAGTGTGCACCACGGGGAGGGCTGCGGAGCCCCACACCCCGTCGGGGCCCTGCTCTTGGTCATGCAGTGCGGGATGGGGCAGGTGCTGAGCCACCAGTGGGCAGCAAGGTCCCAAAGGTGCCGATCTCTGCTCCCCCAGGGTGCTGCAGCCTTCCTCCTGGCACAGCTCAGTCAGCGCGGGGTGGACGTGGTGCTTAGGGAAGAAGAGGTCCTACCGGCGGTGACCAACGCCCTGACGGCGCCTGCTGAGGTCTGGGGTGGGGACAGAGGGGCAGAGGGGCCACGCTCTCACCCCAATACAGGCAAAAATGGGGCCAGAAGGGTGCGGGGCTGGTGCTGCTGCCCTCAGACTCATCTCCGGCCTGCCCCACGCTCTCTTACAGCTGCAGCTCCCCCCTCCGCTGGGTGCCGGTCTCTACGATGGGCTCATTTTCCTCCTGCTGAAGCTGCTCGCCCAGGTACCAGTTTTCCCTTCTCCCTTCTCCTCATCCCCTGCTGGCTCCGTGTCCATCTTTGGGGCTGGCAGGGGCACAGACCAGAGCCCCTCAACGCCCCCTCCCCGCCTGCAGGAGGACAGGGCCGTGGAGCAGGGCTTTGCTGCCTCGGAGCTGTGGAGCGTGCTGTGGCACAGAGTGGCTGCGGTGCTTCGCGTGGGGGCAGAACCCGAGGGAGAAGCCCCAGGGGCACACCGCCCCACGGCACAGCCAGACTGGAACCACCTCTCTCCTCAAGGTAGGAGCTGTGGGGCGAGCAGCATCTGCCCTGGAGCCTGCTCCACGCTCTGCCCTCAAGCCAGAGGGGCTCAGGGGCTCTTCTCCTTTTTCTTCTCCTCCTTTTTCTTCTCCTCCTTTTTCTTCTCCTCCTTTTTCTTCTCCTTTTTCTTCTCCGTTGCACTGTTTCCCCCGCAGGCACGCTGCTCTTCCTCAGCCTGGCCCTCTTCATCTTCACTCGCGAGTCCCACCGCTGCCTGCCGCAGCTCACCCAGTCCCACGGCGTCCTCATGGTGACGTTGAGGAGCCTGCTGTCCCCTGCCTTCCTGGCGTGCCTGGCACAGACGTGAGTTGGGAGGGCAGGAGAGGGCTGAGAAGCTCCTGAGCTGGTGCTTGCAGGGCACAGCTCCCCGGCAGAGCCTCTCCTCAGGGACTGCTCTCTGCCTCTGATTATTTTTTTCTCATTGCCTGTATCAAGCCCAGTCTCTCTCAAAAATTCAGGCAAGCAGGAGAGGACGGGGACACAGAACTCGTCCCAGCAGTGGTGATCCAGGCCTGCCAGCTCCTCTGCTTCCCTTTCGCCCTGGATGTGGACGGAGACACCTTAGCCTCGGTCGTGGCAGCAGTGAGAGACTCCCAGCTCCCCGCCCAGCTGCTGCAGGTACCCCCTGGCCCCGTGCAGCTCCGCGCTGAGCCTCGGGCAGCCCTCAGCTGCTCCCTGCCCCCCGTGGCAGGACGAGGAGCTCAGCCCTGCCGTGTCTCCTTTCTCCTCAGGCCTGCTGTCACCACCTGCCGCTCCCGGCCGCGGAGCTCCCCGTCAGCCTCTTGTGCCACCTCGTTGTGTCCGACGAGCGGGTCGTGGCTCAAGTAGTCCAGCAGGCTGCTGCCTCGGAGCCCATCCTCGCCTTTTTGACCACCGTCCTGTTCTCAGACAGCCTCCCGCTGCTGACCGACCTCCTGTCTCTCTTGACTCACGTGGCGCGGGTCTCCTCGGAGCACCTGCCCTTCCTCCAGAGCATCCTGGGGGGCTCGGACGCGTCCCACCAGCCTCTAACCCGCTTGCTCGGCCACCGGGAGCACCCCATCCGTGCCAAAACCTGCAGCCTGCTGGGCAACCTGCTCCGCCACAGCCACGGCTTGCCTCAGGCGCTGCAGAACCAGCTGGAGAGCCTCCTGGAGAGCCTCCTGGCGTGCCTGGCAGACCGGGACCAGGACGTCCGCAGAGCAGCCAGCTTCGCCGTGGGCAACGCCGCCTGCCACCCGGCCTCCCCACCCCGCACCCTGCGCGGCGCCGTGCCCGGGCTGACTCGCCTGCTGCTCGACCCCAACCCCAGGACGCGCCGCAACGCTGCCTCGGCCCTGGGGAACCTGTGCTGGTGCTCGACGGAGCTGGGGGAGCTGCTGCTGGAGAGCCGAGCCCCCCGCGTCCTGCTGGAGGTGGCCTGCCAGGGACCCCCAGGCCAGCGTGCGGGAGAGAGCCCTGCTGGCGCTGCGGGCTGCCAGCCGGCACCCTGGGGTGCAGCAGGTAACCGCTCGCCCTTCTGTGGGGCTGCTGGTGGCACTGGGGGGATGTTATTGGGCTAACTGGGCTGACTGGTGGCTCCTGTGCCTCTGTGTGCCCTGCAGGTGCTGCTGTCGCTGGGGGCTGGCGAGAAGCTGGTGGCGCACGCAGCGCCTGGTGGCAGCCCCTGGCTTTCTGCGCGGCACTGCCAGAAGCTCCTCAGCCTCCTCGCGGCCTCGCACAGCAGCTGAGGACGCGGTGGCACCTGCGGGACCCCCACAGCAGGGCCAGGACAGCAGGGACAGGACAGCAGGGACACGGCTCCCTCCAGCCCCTGACCCCGAGTGGATCCCCACCGACCCCAAGGGCACCCTGCGCATCCCCAGCCCTATAAGCGGGGCGCAGCACTCGGGGCTGGACGGCGACACATCGTGTGCCCCCGCTGGGACCGTACCACGCTGTTTTTTTTGGCTTTTTAGGGAAAAAAAGCGCCTGGAACCCCTTAACCCCATAACCCCATAACCACCTCCCCTACAGCAGGGCCCTGCCCTTGCTGCCCCCCTGCGGTCCTCCCGCCGCTAGGGGGCGCTGCAGGGAGGGAGCGGCGCGGGGCATGCTGGGAGTTGTAGTCCTCCCGCCGGGTCACGTGGTGCCGCGGGGTCGCCATGGCAACGGCGGGCGGTTGGGCGGCGGCGCGGGGGTGAGTACCGGGAGGGGGGGGCCGAGACCCCCGGGATGGGGGCGGGAGGGCCCCGCTGCACCCCCCCCCTGCACCAACCGGGCTCCGGGGGCACCGGGAGCGGCCTCAGCGCGGCCTCAAAGCCGGGGCTGGGCCGGGGGGCGCCCGCCGGGCCTCCCCCTGCAGGCCCCGGGCCTGTGGGGCCTGTAGGCCCCGGGGAGGCCTCACCAGGGGGTGCCCGTCTGTGGGCTGGAGGCGGCTGGTTCCGCTTCCAGGTGTGTTTCTGAGGAAAATGAGTACAGAAATGAGGTTGGATAAAGCGCTGGAGGGCTTTCAATGAACCGCACGCGTCTCGTTTGCTTGTTCTGTGTCGCTGTTCTGTCCCCGCAGCGTGCCCGCTGAGTTTTCCGCCTCCGGTTTGTTTCTGCGGACGGGGCTGGCTCAAACCACGCTGCTCGGCGCTGCCCGAAATCCCCAGCTCCTGCCGCATAACTCCCCAACCGCCCGGCTGGATGAGGAACGCAGCCCCTGTGCCGCTTTGAAACGCAAAGCTGTGCGACACCCCGTGCCTGAACTGCTTATTTTTAACCCAGAGTCATCGCCCTGCTCAGGCTGGTGGCGTGGCATAGCTGAGAGGATGAGAAAGTGTGAGTGAGGGCAGCCAGCCCGAAGGCAGGCTCCGGGTCGGGCCAGCCCTTGATTTCGGCCGTCCCCCCATGACGCAGCCACAGCTTTTCTGCCTCATCACGCCGGAGTCCCTGAGCTCAGCTGGCACCGGGCGCTGACGTCCTGAGGGCAGCGAGAAACACAGAGGTGGCCCTGGATGCAGGGGAATTTGCCAGCGTGCCCTCATGGTCGTGGCTTCTCGCTGGTATTTTTTTGTTTTTTTTGACCCAAGTGGCCAAACACAAACTTGGCATGTTACAGTCTGCGCAGAGCAAGGGAGAGGCTGCTCGTCATCGTCCCCTGCCTCTGGGTTTGCCCCCAGAATGAATTTCTTTGGGACAGCCCCCAGTCCCGCAGGTGTCCCCGCGGTGACGGAGCTGTCACTGTGCCGCCTTGTCCTCGCCGCCTGGTTTTTGTGGGGCCTCGTGCTGCTTTGGCTCGGGTGCCTCTGTGTGACCCACAGTGGGGCTGAGGCTGCCCATTTGCTGGAGCCGAGGGTGGGTTCCCTGCTGCTGGAGTTTGCGTCTTGTTACCAGGCGTGTGAGCAGCTCAGTACCCTGCTCTCGGATTCACGTGTTTGGCTTTGTTGAAAGCTTTCTCATTTTTGGAAGGGGAATAAGCCCTGATTTGGAAACTGTTGGTTTTAAAACCCAGTTGTGTTGCGTTGATGCTAACTCTCCTGTTCAAGCATTAATCAAAGCCCTGGAGTTCCAAGCGAGGGATGTGGCGTGAGCTCAGATCTCCTTTAGAAACCAGCCTTACCTTTTCTCATCGCAAAGAGCAGGCTGCAGCCCTGCCCTGCAGTGCCGTAGAAAATAACAGCAGATCACACTTGCCTGACTTCTTTTCTTTTTTTTTCTTACCCCTCTTGTGACTCGTGGATGCATGAGGCTGACGGCGCGTTATCAGGTCAGCGTGCAGCTCATCCACTTGCAAGCTCTCGTTATTTTAAGCGTGTCACTGTGGCTGGGCTTAAAATAACCTCCCTGCTCCCACTCACGTGATGGGGGCTGGGGTTGCGCGCCCGTAATTTGGGGTGGAGAAGCTCCCTCCTGCCCCTGAGGCTTGGTGGAGCGCCCTGGGGTCGGGGCAAGGTGACATTCGTCAGGGCTGTGGCCATAAAAAAACGTGCGAACCCAAGAGTTGTGAGCAGGTGCAGCCGGGCGCCTGCTAGCAGCGACAACCTTGGCCTCGATATTTGTTGTGCGGCAACAAGGCCAAGCCAAAATGCATTAATTACGGGTAACGATGTTTGGGTTTGACTCCCAGCCCTGCCAATTCGCCCTGGGAGCGGAGCTGGGCTTTTCCCAGCTCCTGTTTCTACAATCAAACTGCCTGAGCATCCTTTTAGAGCTGGTGCCCGAGGGTTGGCTTGGCAGAAGCAGTGACCGAACTGTCACCTTCCTCCCAGATGGAGGCACGGGTGAGCCAAACACGAGGAGAACCCCCCTGAGCTGCGTCCCACGGGGGTGTACCAGGCACGTGAGGGTGCCTGTGTCTCCGCTGCTTCTCCTGGCTGCTTCAAGGCATCCATTCTGCTGTGGGGCCAGGGAACTGGAGGCAGGGCCGGGCTGTGTTCAAGTACACTCGTGCTCTGGGCACAATGCGGCGGCTTGGTGTGGACGCCGAGCTCTTGTTGACCCGGGGAAACTCGAGCCGGGCAGCTCGCGGCATCCGAGCCGCTTTGTGCTAATCGCTGCGAATGTCACAGCACGGCCGGGGTTCATCTGGTCAGGGCGGGGGGGTTGCTGGCCCCGTGGGAGCTTGTGCTGGAGCTCAGGGGCCTGATTCGTAGCTCAGGGAGGTGTGTGAGGGGTGCAGCTTGCTCGGAGCGAGCTCCACGGTGCTTCCCTGGTGCCCCCGAGCAAGGCTGGGGTCTGGCAGCAACACTTCAGCTGCCGCAGCCCACGCTTGGTTTGCAGGTGACAAAGGAGGTGTGCGTATCACAAGGAGATTCAGGGGGGCGGTTAATGCTCCGCTTACCCTTCTTTTTATCCTTTTTTTTTGCTTTAAGCCTGCAGGTTTGTGCGAGCTGAGAGGCTGGCTGCAGAGGAAGGCAGCAGCTCAGCCTGCTCGGGATACAATTTCTTATCTCCGCGTGCCCTCCAGGCACGTGCTAAAGCAGGCCGCATACCTGGCGCACAGCCCTTCTCTTCCCCTTCTCCTCAGGCACAAAGGGATCGTGCAGGTGTGGTGGAACACTTTCAGCAGGATTTAGGACATCTGTGCGGGTCTGTGGGCTGCCAGCTGCCGCTCGGAGAGACTTCTGCAGGGCTGAGATTAAGAGGGATGCACGCGTGCGGTGCCACCACAGGGCTGATGGTAGAGCAGCCCCGTGCTTTTTTTTTGTGTGTGTAACCTGGGGAGCTGAAGCTTTAAGGGAATGAGAAGGGAAAGAAAAAAAAAAAAAAAAAAAGAAGCATTTGGGGGCTTTCTGTGCAGGCCAGAGAGGTGGCACGGTGGGATTTGGAGGCGCAGGGCCACGCGGATGGGCCCTGGCTGTGGTGCCAGCCCTGAGGCAGGCAGGGAGCTGTCTCGCCTTGAGGCTAGGCTTGCTGTGGCAGCCAGGGAAGCCTTTGTGTTTGCAAAGTCAAAGCTTTTGTGTGCACAGGACTTTTTTCCCAGGGCCTTTTGCAAGTCGTCCTTTGTCCTTTGGTTTCGCCTGAGCTGCCAGCTCTGTCTTTGATGCTGCCCCTGCTCCTCCTGGCGCCGGCTGCTGGGCTCACCGTGCCCCTTGTGCTCTCTTCTCTTCTCAGGCCAGCGAAAATGCCGCTGTAGATGACCGTAGATGACCGCCTGGCTCTCGCCCCACGTGCTATGGCTGTCCATGGCCTCTGCAGGCCCGCAACCCTCTAACCTGGGCCCCAAACAGAAGAGCTTCGGCCCCGCAGCAGAGCACACGCAGCCCCAGCAGGCCTGGCGCAGCGCTCCTCAGCAGGCGAAACCCATCTGGGCTCTGGAGGGGCAGCACGGGAGCGTTTGCCAGGAGCGCAGCCCCCCGTCCTCGGGGGTCCCTTTGCAGCAGTCCAGCTCCCTGTACCCGCCCTCGCCATGCCCCACGCACCCCGCTGAACGCTCGCAGCCCTGCCCGGAGCTGTGTGGCAGCACGCTGCTCCACCGCCGCTCCTGCCTGAGAGCCAAGCCGGGCTTGGAAAGCTCCAGGTTTCCTTTCCAAAGCCCCCGGGACAGCGGCTCTGCCACGGCAAGGGCGATGTCTTCCGTGCTGATGGAGCCCTGCCTGCTGCCTGCGCTGCCCGAGGAGCACAAGGGCTCTGCCCTCAGCTTGGCTCGGCAGGCGGCCGGCTCCTACCGCCCGGTGCTCAACAACAACTCCTTCCTGCGGCCAGTCAGCACCCAAGTGCCTTCGCTGCAGCCAGCGGAGATCAAGAAGCTGAAGAACGCCCCCGGTTTCCCTGCTGTCTCGTGGCCCTGCTCCAGGGACGATGGGGCTTGCTCCCCCAGCACCCCCGTGGCGCAAAGCAGCGAGCAGGAGCAAAGCTGCGTCCCCTCCCTGAGCGTGACCCTGAGGAGGGAGCGCTGCTCCTGGCCGCTGGGAGACACCGAGAGGAGAGCACGCGGCATCGGCGAGAAGGAGCCAGAGCTCAGCCCGAGGAGGGCTGCACAGCGGCTGGCAGGACAGACAGCCACCTCCTGCAGCTTTGGGAGGGATGTGAGAAGCCCCGGCAGGACGATGGCAGGCGGGGTGTCCCTCGGGAGCAGGTGGGGGCACCACATGGCAGCGCAGCTCACCCCCAAGGAAACCATCGCCCCCCTCAACTTGGAGCCGGGCAGCAGCCGTCTGCCTCGCCGGTTCTTTGAGCCTCACGGGCAGCGAGGGTGCTGCTGCTGTGCACCAAGAGGATCAGCCTCCACCTCCTGGCCTCCCGAGCTGCCTCTCCCGAGCGTGGCACCGACTGCCGGCCACTGGGAGGCAGGGAGCAGGCGGCGGAGCCTCAGCACCCGGCTGCCATCTCCCAGGTGGCGGCTCAGATGTCCGCCCTCACGCTGGGGAAGGAGGAGAAGCGGCCCCAGGCTGTGCTCCCAGGGAAGCCTGAGTGAGTAGAGGGAGGGAGGAAGGCTGTGGTGAGGGGAGCTGGGCTGGCAGCTGTGTGGTGGGGACACTGCGGGCACTGCTGGGGTGGCTGCAGGGGCACCCCTGGGCTGCATCCGTGCACAAAACCTGTTTTGGGGAGCCTTCCTTCCACCCCAGCTTTCACAGGCTCCTTGGGGTGGCGTGGAAGCAGCAGGCTTGGGTGACAGAGGGACACAGAGCCCTGCCCAGTCCTTTGAAGGGATGCAGGGGCCTACAGCTACCAGCAGAGCTGCCAGGGGAGGTGTGTGGTGCCACAGAGGCCCCGAAACCTTCCTCCTTTTGCCACGAGAGCTCTGGGGGAGGCACGACGCCAGCTGCTGTGGTGCTGCCAGCGTTCACCCCGCTGGGAGAGGGGTCCTTGTGCTTCTGTCTTGGTGTTCCCTGGTGCCTGTCCATCTTACTAGCTTGGGATCGTGTGAGCACTGGGGAGAGGAGAGCTGTCACTCCTCTGGCCAAATATTTCTTGCTGCGTTGTGGGTGCTGGGCTTTTTGGAGCCAGAAAGCACGTGCTGCTCTCTCTAACCTGATGTCCTCTGTCCCAGTGTCGCTGCTGGGGAGGCGCTGCTGGAGCCAAGCCACCCCCAGGACGATGTGGAGGAAGAACTTCCCGATGGGCTGGATGAGAGCTGTGGCACAGACGAGGAAGAGGACAGTGAGTGCCCGTTCCCAAGGGAGCTGTGCCCCGTGCCTCAGCAGGGTGGGAAGTGCAGGGGGGGCTGCCTGGGACCCCAGAGATTGTGCTGAACCCAAATGTGACTTAGTGGCAAGGAGGAGCTGTGTGGGTTCCTCTGGGAAACGGGCTAGGGTTCAGCACTGTCTTGCTGCAACACTTGCCCAGCTCTTCTCTGTGTGCAGGGCAGTTGGTTCCACCCCCTGCCCTGTGCTTTATACCACCAGTGCAGTTAGCAGATAAAACTTGGGACCCCAGGATTCGGGGCAGCAGAGAAGGGTCTGTCCCCAGGACCGTTTGTTTTCTCTCCTCCCTCCCTAACTGTGTGTGCACTCACTCCCCGTGGAGGCAAAACCCAGCTCTCTTTCCTCCTGCAGGTGACTCGGATGCTTCCTCTGTCGCTGGCATGCCATCTCGTGGCTCTGGGGCTCTCCCATCCAGGTTAGTAGCTGTAAATAGTGCCCTGCAACTTGGCATCTTTGTCCAGACTGGGCCATCTTTGTCCTCTCCGGTGACAGAGGGAGAGCTGTAATGTGTGAGGGAATGGAGTGAAGATAGCAACAGACCACAAAGGTCAAGCCAGGTGAACTCTGAGCTCTCTATTACCCAGCTGACAGCAAAACATCCTGGGGAGGCAACACGAGGAGCAGCTGGCCCCCGGGAAGGAGCCTGCATCACTCAGGCAGATGCCTTCAGCACTGGGCAGTCCCTCGCCTCCTTCCCGAGGCCACCTGCTACCAAAGCCCTGCCAATTTTGCTCCGTCCATCCCAGGCCTCGCCTCTGCAAAACACTTCAGAACTTCTGTGGGAATGTTGTTCGTTACAAACTCCACTGATAGCATCGTCGTGTGTGTAGCAAGAGGTGTGTTATCAGTGCTCCTTTTCCTCCCAGCTATTAGGGATTGACATCGAGTCATAGAAAGGTTTGGGTTGGAAGGGGACCTTAAAGCCCACCTAATTCCACCCCTCTGCCATGGGCAGGGACACCTCCCACCAACCCAGGCTGCCCAAAGCCCCATCCAGCCTGGCTTTGGACACCCCCAGGGCTGGGACATCCACAGCTTCTCTGGGCAGCCTGTTCAGTGCCTCAGCACCCTCAGAGTAAAGATTTTCTTCCTGGTGCCTAATCTAAACACACCAAAACCACGAGGGTTACAACATCTTAACCACGTGTTCATTACAGTCTCTACCCCACGTTCCTGTCGACCTGGTTATAGGTTTTATTGTGTAACAAACCCCACCCCGTGCCCCTGCAAAACCCAGAAGGAGATAACAACAGTTGGCACACGCATTTGGTGCAAACTCCACCCCTTGTCCCTGCAGATTGGTTGCTGGCCTTTACGCCCACTGCTTGCACCGCGCTGCAATGATGCAAATTCCTGATTGCTGCAGTCTTGGGCCACAGCAGAACAGTTTCTTGTCGAGGAATTGCAGTCAATTTGCTTTAATGCTGATGAATAAACTTGTACTGGTTCTGGCAGTGAAAATAATGGATGGATAGAAATAGCCACTTAGGAAGAACAGCCCAGCTCTCTCCTTTTTCTGATCTCCAGACCTGTTGTTGCATGTTTCTCTTGTGGAGGAGGGCAGCACAGGAGGCTGCTCAGTGTGATGTGCCTCCATTTCTTCTGCTGTTCCTAGCTCCTCACTTGACTGTTCTGGTGTAGGTTCCTCCCCAGGCCACGGTCCCTTTAGGGTCATGATCTCCTCCTGAGTTTCCTCTTGGTTCCTGCCTGGGTGTCTGGTTTTGCTCTAGTGTTTTTTCCTGTCTCTGATGTTGTTCTTGTATTTACTGCCCTCTTTGGAATATATTTTTGCAAAGGTACCAGGAACTCCTTGGTTCATGGCAACTGTGGACAATAGTTTATGGGTGTTGAGATGTAAACTGGCCTCTGTGGAGCTGCCCGTGTAGATGCTCCCGGTGCTGTTTCTCACCTGTAGCCATCTGCCTGCTGCTTCATCTCTCCTAGGAAATGCATCGAGTGCCTGGCCCAGCCCACAGAGGATCAGGAGAAGGTGCTCAAGCCAGCTCTTGTCTGCAGTTTGTTCCCTAATGTGCCTCCAACCATCTACTTCAGTACGCGGGATGAGAGAGGTGAGCTGGGGCGTGTTGCCAGGCCGTGTTCCAGCATCCCGGACCTCCCCCTAGCCATTGGGTCTTCTGTTCCATGCTAGTTCTGGAAGCGGATTACACCCCCCTCCCTGCAGACCTTGCAACCAAACATAAGAATTGCCCTGGATACAGCTGCAGAAAATCGAGGTATCGTGTTTGGTTTCCTCCTGTCCTCAACTTTTTGCCTCCCTAGTGGAAAAGCTGCCTTGGGAGCAGAGGAAGCTGCTGCGGTGGAAAATGTGCACGGTCACGCCGAACATCGTGAAGCAAACCATCGGCAGGTCTCACTTCAGAGTCAGCAAAAGTAAGTTGTGGGAGGCTGGCAGCAGCTGATGCGGCGTGGCCTCTCTCGCCTCCAGCCCGTGGGTGTGAGGAGGCAGCCTGCAGAGCAGGATACAGGCTGGGTGCTGTAGGGATGCTGGATTCCTGCTTCTGCCTGCGTAACCCGCTATATCTGAGCTCTGTGGGTCCCGGCAGAACCCAGGCTCCCTTTTGGCTTGTCCCTGGCGTGGAGCACGGGGACGTACTCCTATGTTGGGAGGAGCTGGGGCAGCATGTGGGGCAGCAGAGCTGGGATCTGGCTTGTTTGAGCTGCGCCTCTAGATGGTGCTGCCACGCTAAGGAGGCTGGTGCTCTCCTGGTGCCAAGCCCAGCACCGCTGCCCCTCGTCCCACGTGCTGAGGAAGATGATGGCCTTCTCTCTGACCTCAACTGGCGAGCTCTCTGGGGTGGGATCTTGGCACCGAAGAGATGTGTAGGAGGGGGCTGAGGAAACACTGAGCATTCCCAGCTTTTATCCCTCCCCTGTAGGGTGAGCTCCCAAAAGTATTTACACGACTCCTGTATGTATCGGGAGACCTCTGCTCGGTTAATTTTAGGGATAGAATGAGACTTGCTGGGCAGACCAAGACCTAACAGGTCGTGGAATCCTATGCACGTCCCTCTGCAGAGCAGATCTGATTAGCTAACTGCTTTATTTGCCTGCTGGAAAAAAAAAGGAAGGTAAGGATAGGATATTGGGGGTTCAAAGCTATTTCTTTGACCCCGTGTCTGCACAGACCCTTACAGCAGTCCTGTTTGTGGGGGATATGACCCTCCTGGCTGGCTGGATCCCACTCACAGCCTTTGGTTGGGCAGTTTTGCCGTAACCACTGTGATTGCTTTGAGCTATTGCTGTGCACTATCCCTGGCACACTTCTAGCAGCCCAAGGAAATGGGGTGCTGTTGGGTTGAGAGGGTGTTGTGGGCGGCGGGGTGCTCGGTCACGGACTTTTCTGGTTTTCCTGCAGAGAGCAATGACTGGCTGGGCTGCTGGGGCCACCACATGAAATCCCCCGGCTTCAGAGCCATCCGGGAGCACCAGAAGGTAGGGGATGTTGTGGGCTGACCCCGTCCACGTAGGTGGAAAGTGTGCTGGGAGCAGTTTGGGAGTCCTCCCTTCGGGGCCAGGTGTTTGCTGTGCAAACTGTCCTTGCCCTGTCCCTTTCCCCGTGTGGCGGCTGGTATTTTTGTGCTGGGAGATGAGCCCAGGAGACAGGCACAAATGGGAGCTGAGTGAACAACTCTGCTGGCCAGCTACAGAGCAAGGCTGTAGCTAAGCTTTGTTTGCTTGTGGTTTTGCCTAATAAAACCCAGTTATTGCTGTTTAAAGTAATCTTCCCACTGGCAGGATGGAGCCAGAACTTTTTGTCACTGTGAAGCTTCAAGAGCAGGCGGGTCCTGCCTTGCTGCAGGCCTGGTGGGGGAGCAAGGAAGATGTGTCCTTGCACTGGGTTCAGGGAGGATGTATCCCCTGGCCAGGGAGCAGCATGGGGTGTCGGGGAGATCTCACGGGATCTGGGTTCCTTTCCAGCTAAACCACTTCCCTGGTTCATTTCAAATTGGGAGAAAAGACCGGCTGTGGCGCAACCTGTTGAAGATGCAGACTCGCTGTGGAAAGAAGGAGTTTAATTTCTTCCCCCAGTCCTTCATCCTGCCCCAGGACATCAAATTACTCAGGAAAGCATGGGAGGAAGGAGCTAGCCAGCAGAAATGGATTGTGAAACCAGTAAGGGCAAAGCTGCACGCGATTCCCTGTCCCTGTGTAGCTGCAGGGAGAACATCTCATCCCTTCTCGTTAATGTTTTGCAGCCAGCATCAGCAAGAGGCATTGGCATTCAGGTTATCCACAAATGGAGCCAGCTCCCCAAAAAGAGACCGCTGCTGGTGCAGAGGTGAGGGAAGAAAAACAAGGTTGACAGGTCGACTTCCTAGTGCCTCACCCCTCAGGCCAGATCTGGGCAGATCTGGCCACTACCCAGCAGAGCAGAAGCATCTGATTTGCGTCTGGAAACTTCTCTGCTGCCTGGGCGTAATGCTGCTGCTGGAAGCCTGGCTCTGTCAGCTGCAGCTGGGCTTACAGGAGTGCTGCTATCCCTGCAGGAAGTTTTGTGGTCTTGGGTACAATCTAGATCTTAGTTTGGCTCCACAGGCGTTCTGGAGCTTCTGTCTGGCAGGTGAGCCAGCTTCAGCTCTGCTGGGATCTCACTCCCACTGCTTTGAACTTTGGGGTTTGGTGTCTTTAGAGGCACACGAACCTTACCCAGTGCTCATAAGCCCACTGGGAGGAGTTGGGAATTGGCCAAAGGGTTGTCTTGAAATGAGAGGATTCTCAAAATCTCTCCTTGTGCAGAAAAATGGAGTAGCTCATCTTGGTTTGTGCCTGCTTTCTGGGAAGGTTCTCCTGAGGGCAGGAGCACTGTGCTGTTTGGCAGGCGGGGAGCTGCTGTGTTGGCTTGTCTGCCTCCCATGTGAAGCAATAAGCTCTTTTTATGGAAAATCATGAACTTTTGAGGTGGGGTGAATAATGAAATGGTTCGGGTGAAAACTTCCAGCTGTTTCTGCTCACTGAACCAAACCATCTCTGGCCCGCTGTACCTCTTAAATGTTCCCAGAACATTCGCAGAAGCTGTGACCCTCTCCTGGTGCTTGCTTCCCCTTGCAGGTACCTGCACAAACCCTACCTCATTGGCGGGAGGAAATTTGACCTGAGGATCTACGTGTATGTCACTTGCTACGATCCCCTCAGGGTTTACCTGTTCAAGGACGGATTGGTTCGCTTCGCTAGCTGCAAGTAAGTTGCGTGGCAGAGAGGTGAGAGGGGTCTTCCTCAGTGCTGAGCCCACGCGTGGCTGTGGCACCCCCGTTAGCTTGGGCAGGAGGCGGTTGTTCCACGTGCAATGGATGCTCGAAGCTGTAGCTTGCTGGTTTGAGAGTCTGGAAACACACAGGGTCATTGCAGGGGGTAGTACTGAAAGAAAATTTGAGAGGATGCTTCATTCATCCACCTTTCCCAAAGCAAGCTCAGCTCAAGATAAACGTGCTGCCTGTGCTGGGAGTTGACATACCATAAATTAAGACGTCCCATCCAGTTTTGGCTATATCGCACTGGGCTGCTGCAGTTCCTTCACTGCTTTTGCTCAGCAATGCTCTGATCTTTTGCGTCCCTCAGTCCCGAGGCAGCCTGCTCTGTGCCTCGTCCTTCGTCCAGTCAGCTCTGGGTCTGTGGGGATAGAGGTTGTGGAGGAGGCCTTGCTCCAGGCACCCTGGGAAAGGGCAGCAGCAGAGCTAGTGGGTGGCCGAGAGGAAAGGTAGCAGAGCTGCTGCAGACTGCTTGTCCTGCTCTCATCTCCTCCAGGTACTCCTCCTCGATGAAGAGCCTCAGCAACAAATTCGTGCACTTGACCAATTACAGCGTGAACAAGAAGAACACGGAGTATAAGTCCAATTCGGATGAGACTGCTTGTCAGGGGCACAAATGGTAGGTGCCTTGGGGGGGGAGCTTTCAGGGCACAGGGGCAGCTCTTTCTTTTTCCTGTCAAGTCAGCCTTATTTTTGGTATTTGTACCCAAAACTCGAAGGTGCTTCCTGTATTTTCTCCTCCTGCTTGGAGAAATGAGTTTGTCCTGGCCTGTGATTTATCCTGTCCACTGCTGCTTCAGCTGTGGCTGTTGCCTGTACTGATCCCTGCTTCAAGCTCTGCTCTCATCTGTGCTCATTCATCTTCTTGCCCTGGTGTGGGGTTGATGGGATGTGGCTAAGGCTGAGTCTGATATATTATTTTTTCCTGTTAGAAACTTGATAGGCAGTTCTGACGCTTAAATTAGCTAGGTGGGCTGGGTGGGAGCTTCTGCCCATCGCACGCTTCTCTGCGGAGCCAGAGAATGGAGCAGGTTTGGTACAAAATGGGTAATGTGTGTGCTAATCGGTGTGAAGGGGACGTGCTGCTAAGGAGCAGCAGTGCATTTCTAGGCACTTCAGAGCAGGGCTGCAGTCTTGCAGGAGTTTCTGTTCCCTGCTGTCCCACGGGCGGACTGATCCAAGTGCTCAGGCACTTGTCTCTGATTCCACAGTGGTGTTTAAACTCTTTTAAAAATAGTGCAGGTTAGAGTTCTCGATTTGTGGGCCTGGGCTGGGCTGCTTAGTTCACTTCAAAGGGAAGCTGCGAGAGGTGCTTTGCTGTGAGAGGATTGCTTTCTTGGACCTGGACCCGGTGGTCTGTCCCTCCACAGGTGCACTGAGAAGGGGCTGCTGTCCCCCAGCAGCTGGCATCCCCTGGGGGTGGGATCGTGTGGTTTTTTGGTCCCGCCACGCAAATCAAAGCTGGCTGCTCCCACGCTGAAGATGAGAGTGGCTGTAATCAACTCCATCTTGTATGCAGGAAGCGTGACCTTTGGATTCCTGGCCATTGGCCACACGGTCTCATTTAAGCAACATCTGAGCATCCTTGGCTTAATGTCAGGGCAACTCGCAGCGCTTGGTGTGGTGTGGGAAACTCATAAAAAGCAGAGAGCCTCTCCCCCACCATCCTTTTCTCCACAATATAAAAATAAAAATAAATGAAATCTCTCCACCCCCAGAGCCTCAGCGAAATGACTTGAGCTAAAAGATTTACGGGGGTCTTGCTGGATTCCTGCTGAGCTGCTTTGCAGTGCTCCTGGAGAAGGCCTGCAGGAAGGGGAGGTTTGCTAAGGACACGGAGGGGGAGGGAAAAGAAGATCTGGGGCTGACGTACCTCGCTCATGTGCTAATTTGGGACTTATTACTCCAATGCTGGGACAAGTCTATGACAGATTTATGGTTCTGGTAGCTTGGCCCTGCAAGATGAGGTGCCAGGCTGGGGAGGGCTGCAACCAGGAGTTGACTGGTTTGAGGATGGCAAAAGGATGGCTGCGCTCAGGGAAAGTGGAGATTTGCGCCCGGCTTGCTGCTGAGGAAGAGCTTTGTCAATGCTCCCCGTTGCTGTTACCACTTCCCTAGCAGGTTTAGGCAGCAAAGGGCTACAAAGCCATCTCCTTTGCTTTCTGTCTCCCAGGGCACTCAAAGCTCTCTGGAGTTACCTGACCCAGAAAGGAGTTAACAGCGAGGCCATCTGGGAGAAGATCAAGGACATCGTTATCAAAACCATCATTGCGTGAGTCCTGCCACCCCTTGCTGTGTTCCTCTCAGCTCCCTCTCAACCTGGTCCTTTTCCTCTTAATCTAAATGCTGCCACCGCCGTTGGCTTCAGTATTTCTCTCCAGATCCTTCCTTTTATCGTGTTACCCACTGTTCTTTCTGCAGTAGCTGCAAGGGGTGCATAGCTCCTGGCTCTGCCTGCGGCGCAGGGGTGGTGCCCAGGAGGGTGCAGCGTACCTGGCACTCTGCCCCGTGCCTGCCACCCGCTGCACCACTTGCGCAGGATGCCTGAAAATAAAAGTCCCTCGGGGCTGGGGGAATCCTTGCCTTCAGAAGCAGGCCCTGTCTGACAAAGGCTGGGGTGGGGGCAGCTCTGGGGGGCGGGGAGGTGGCTCAGGATCTGATGGCGGCTCCATACGCAGTGCAGCAGCAGCTTGCAGACCTGCCTCAGTCATTCAGCCCACCCGTTCCCGCAGCGTGTGGCTGCGTGCGCTCTCAGAAGCAGCAGTGTGCTGTGAACAGGCAGATCTCTGCTGCCTGCCTGGTGGAAACGAGCGTTTTCACTTGGCTTGCAGATCTGAGCCCTACGTGAACAGCCTGGTGAAGATGTACGTGCGGCGGCCCTACTGTTGCCATGAGCTCTTTGGGTTTGATATCATGCTGGATGAAAACCTCAAGCCCTGGATCTTAGAGGTCAACATTTCCCCGAGGTAAAGCAGTTTCTCCTCCAAAGTCTGTCTCAGAGCAGAGCAGGGTGGACGAATTTTTTTATCACAAAGGGAATTTGGCCTGTGATGCCCCCTGCACCCTGTGCTGAATGGTGGTGGGCTTTGAAGCCTCCCTCTCCCGATTGCAGCAATCCTTGCCATCCTGCTGCAAAGTCCTCCCTTCCGGCAGCCCGCTGGGCAGAGGGAGTGAAGCGAGCCTATTTCTGGTGGGGAGCTCCCAGTGAAGGAGGGCGTGATGTTGGGGGACACGGGGCTCAGCACCTCTTGTTTTAGCTCTGACTGCTGTGATGCTCCCTTCCCGCAGCCTCCACTCCAACTCCCCTCTGGATGTGAGCATCAAGGGCCAGATGATCCGGGACCTGCTCAACCTCGCTGGCTTCGTTCTGCCCAGCACGGACAGCGTAGCCTCGAGGCCGCAGACCAGGAGTGACTCCACCTGCAGGTCAGCCCCCTTCTCTGTCAGGGCAGAAGGGCAAAGCAGGCTTTTCTCCCGGGGCAGTTCATCTGGGGGCTGTTTTCAGCCCAGTAGATGCTGGTTTCTGTGCTGTTAAGAGCCTGTGCTTGCTGGTCCTTCAGCTGTGGTTCTGAGGGACTTGCATCATCACATGGGTATCTGGTTCCTGCGGTCCCTTCGAGGCAGAAGGATTTATGCCTCATCTGCAAGTCCATAGTTGGAAGTGAGGCCAGGCCAGGGTAATCGTGCTTGCTCTGCAGTTAGTCGAGTCTTCCTTCCCCCTGCCAGAACTAACGTGATGCTGAGCCACGCTGCCTCTCCATCTGCTTGGAGGGCTGGCTGGCTGTGTTGGGGCTGGATCCGCTTACCCCATCCCCCAGAGCTGACATGCTGCCGCCTTGAGCTGGAGGAGCACCTGTTATTTTGCAAAGGCTGGAGCAATTTGTTCCTTAGGCAGAATTACAGGTGTCAGAGGATGGAGAACATGTTTGTGGGTGTGCAGTTTTGTCTTGCAGTAGAAGTGACTATTATTTTTTTTCTTTTTTTCTATTTTTGTTTTTGCGTTAGGCTAATTCCTGGGCATGTGCCCACCCAAGCCCCTTTTCCTTTTGTGTTTTACCACGCTTTGGGGCTTTCACTGGTTCCAGACCTGACAGGGGGTGGGGAGGACCAGTCCTGTTCCCTGCAGTAGCAGGGAGGCTGCTGGCCCTACGTCACCCAAGGGGCAGCTTGCTGGGGTGATGTGCAGACACGGAGGAAGAGGGGCCTCCTGCCTCCTGCCTGCTGTGTGCCCTGAGCGAAGGGAGAAGCTTGGAGCGCGGGCCCATTCCAGCCCAGGGAGCTCTCGCCAGCTCGTGCGCGGCGCTTTGATCACACGCTCATTTGCGGCTTGCAGCAGAGGTGCTGAAGGGCAGGTGTCCTTGGAGGGACCTGCAGGGGATTAACCAGATCCTTAACATGGTTCAGATGATGCATTACCAGAGTTCCTGCATCCAGAGTCAGCCTTGCTAAACTGTATCTCCTGCCCTGGGAAGGATACGAAGGGTGTTTGGTTTTTTTTTTTGCATACGGGCATAATTCCAGTAGATTTGGATGTTCCCAAGAACCATGCAGTGCAGCCTCAGGGCTCTGCTCTTCCTGTTTGGATCTGCGCACTTCTAATTATTTTTGTGGCGGCTGAACAAATTAGCTGCGTTGATATAAGCTGTTAAAAGGTGTTGGACAAGTATCTCCCAGGCTCTGGCATCCCCAAATGGTTCATTTGGGTGCTTCGAATAGTTCAGATGGTTGCTGGTCAGATCATACAAAAGGCCAGGATTTCCCATGGCATGTGGAGCTGTGGCTGAAACGAAGGCTTGGGAATTCTCGGGCGTTGCATGAGGAAGTCTTGGAGCCAGCGGTGCTCTCCTGCCTCGTGCAGTCCCAGTGCTGAGTACCAGGATGCCCAGGGCCTGTCACTGCACTTAGGGAGCTGCATCCCCAGTGGGATGTACATCTGTGATCCCTCCAGGCTGTGTGTGCTCTGAATCAGGTCCTCTTGCATCCCATGTGGGTACGAGGCGGTCATTAATGTTTCAGATGAAGGAATGCTGCAGTGCCTCAGTGAGGAGCTGGCAGGATCCTCCTCGTTGCCTAGCCCACATCCTGCCTGGGTCCTGTGCCGATGCACAAGGCTGCGGATGCATCACTGATCTCAGAACTAGTGAAATCCGTGGAGAAAACATTCTCTCCTCCACAGCACCTTCCCAAGGGTGTCATGATCACACCAAAGTTGCTGGGAGCAGCCCTGCCACAGCAGTACTTGGCTTTGTCTGCTTAAATGTTCTACCACTTTTTTTTTTTTTTTGTGTCCTCAGTCTGGGCAGCACTTTGAAGGAGAAGCCCAGGCCAGCCTCTGAGCATTTCACAGCAGAGAAGATGAAGAAGGCCTATTACTTGACACAGAAGGTACCTGACCAGGTATGACACAACCTCCTCTGCTACTTGCACTGCCAGAGTACTGCCAAGCCACTTTTCCAAACGATCCCACGTGTCTATCCTATGCCCTTTTTCTGATTGCTCCCCTCTGGGCGTGATCTCTGCAGGAGAGCTGATCAGAAATAAGTCAGGTTTGCTTAAGCTACTGCACAGGCACATATTTACCTCTGCCTGGAAGGGTTTGTGGAGTAGGGAGGTGGGAAAGGGGACTGGCAAAACATAGTTCACTTCCCCCTGACCCCGGGCTGCTCTTGTCTGCAGGATTTTTATTCTTCTGTCTTGGACATCTTGACCCCAGATGACGTCCGCGTTCTCGTGGAAACAGAGGACGAGTATTCGCGGCGCGGGCAGTTTGAGCGGGTGTTCCCCACCCACATCTCCATGCGGTATCTGCGCTTCTTCGAGCAGCCTCGCTACTTCAACATCCTGGTGAGCCAGTGGGAGCTCAAGTACTACTCGAACAAACACAAAGGTAAGTGCCACCCGAGGGCCTGGCGTGGTTACCTGAGTCAGGCAGGCTCCAGCCTGTGGTCGTGGGAGACTTCTGAACGTTTTGAGAGGGAGCTGCCTGCCTCCACACTAACCCAGGAAATATGTTCCCCTCCCAGGCTGCTTCGCATGCCAGGAAAAGCTTATTCCGAGCCGATCACAGATGTTGGTTGTGCTAAACTCAGCACCAGCACTCTAGGGGCCTCAGGGTTTCCTGGTATCCAACCGAAGCAGGCTGGATTCTGCCTTCAACCTGTAGCTCTGGCCTCTTGGTGCATACCTCTGCCTTCTTTTGAGGGAGAGACAGCTGGGGTTGCCGGGGTTTGTTCCTTACAGCTGATCTGTGAAGTGAAGGGAAAATTGGGCCTATTCCCTGGTCTTCTGCTGCTTTTTAGTCAATGAAAAAGTGTCTGCATGCAGGAGAAAGGGGCGTTTTTCCTAAACCCTGGAAATTTAGCTGTCATTTCCATCTTTCCGGGACAGCTCTGTATTTTAACAAAAACTGGCCTTTAGTGAGGCTTGCTGGGCCAGACTGATTCCTTCTCACCCAGGACAGTGGGAGAGGCTGTTGAGGAGAGAGGACTAGCAGAGTTCCAGTGTGAGGAGTTGGAGAACGCAAAAGGAGTGAGCCTGTGGCTCATCTAGCTCCTGCCTTCTACTGGAGATGTTTCTGTAGGAGTCAGCCTTGCACTGAAACAGCTGTATGTGTGCTCCTGGTGTGGCTGCAACGTAGAGGAAAGAAAAAAAGGGGAAAAAAAAAAAAAAGCTTTTGTCACTCTTCACTGCTGTTTAAGCAATATCAAAGGGGTCAGCGACTGTCCTTCACACAGCGATAACAACCTCGCAGCCCTCTCCAGCTGTGCTGTCAGCAGTGTGTCACTCTTTGCCTCGCTAATGCCTTTTCAGGATGCTCTTCCATCAGCTGGAGGAAAGGTCCTGTCATCATCCGCACTGAAGTGCTGCCCTGCTCGGGCTGGGTCCTGGTTCAGTGCTCCAGCATCCCCTTGGCAGCCCGGCAAGCAGATTTGCTCTGCCCCATTGCCTTCCCCCGAGTAAAACCCAATCTCCCCGTGCCCCCTTCCCAGCGACATACATTCCTCGCTGTCCTCATCTCTCCCTGGCCAGCAAGGTGCAGAGCCCTGCCTGGTGCACAGAGCTGGGGCAGGGCTGTCCAGCTGCCCTCAGCCCCCAACATTTTTTTTTATTTTTTTTTACCCCCTGAGGTCCTGGGGCTCGCTGAAAGGTCAGCGAGGAGCACAGTTTGGGCAGCAAGGATTCCTCCTATAGCCAGGGCTGGTATCGTATAGCAAGCCACAGTAACCCCAGCTGGGGCAGCATCAAGTTCCTGGCCATTGGTCCTCAGGTTCTTAACTCTCACAGCACCTCAGCCTTGGCACCTGCCGGGGATGGAGCCCACGTTGAGCTGAGCGTGCGCTTGCCTGCCCGTGGTGTCTCCAGGCAGGTAGGAGGTGATGCACCGAGCTGCTGCGGTCGGTGCTGTGCAAGGAGGAGGCTACCTGAGCTGCTGTCGGCAGGCAGCGGGCTTGGGGGACAGCCAGTCTGGTCCAAATCAGCAAATCCTGCGTTGCCCCAGTTTCCCTGCCTGGCTCAGCCTGCTGCTCGGTGCGTCTGGCTCCCCGGCAGCGAGGCAGGCACTGCGGCAGCCCACGTGCTGGCGCTCGGCGCCGTTTGCTCCTACAAAGGGTGAACGCCCTCGCTTTACCCCGTGTTTGCTGGGGCTGAGGCACGTGTTCAGGCAGTTACTGCGTGCCATTGTACTGCGGGGTCGGTTCACGCTCTGCGGCGTATTTGTGAGCCCTAAGCTGGGGGAGACTTTGCCTGTTTGCTGCTCATTCTTGCTTCTTCTCTGTTCTGTCGCTGCCCAGGTCTGGAGCTGCTGAAGAACTGGTGTGGCAAAGGGTACCACACCGGGGCGGGGACGGATCTGGCCCAGATGGTGAGTATGGCTACGGGTAAGCTAGGGAGAGGTGGTTCTGTGCTCCAAAGCATGTGAAGAGGGGGGCAGAGAGCCCACAAATCTGCAGTTGTCTGCTTCAGAAGCACTTGGCTGCGCGTTCCGCTCCTGCCCTACCTGTTTGCACTGTTCTTCCCTCGCTGCCGAGGCCTCCAGCAGTCTGGAAAAACCCACACTTCTCCATCCCTCGCTAACATAAAGTCCATGCAGTAAATCAGATCTGCAAGTACTTTGCATCTGAGGCTCCTTGGCTGCGTTGGGCACAGCCTTACAAATTTAGCATCCCGCCTGCCCTTTATTCCCCTTGGTGAGGGAACAATCTCCGTCTGTCACTCCTGTGCCTTGGAGCAGGCTGATCTAGCGAAGAAACCCACTCTTCTGACCTCAAGATGCTCTGCTCCCACTTACAGCAGAGGGATTCATTAAGCAGAGAGCAGAGACTGCTCTGTTTGCTATTCTGGGAACAGGCTGGTGGCAGTGACGATGCGCAGCAGTGTAAGGCAGTTGAAGCTGAAGCACGGCAGGGCAGCCTACTGCAGATCCCAGCCTATTCTCTGGGCACAGCAGGCTGAGGAGATTTTGCAAAAGGGCCATTTGCTTGTCTTTCTCTCCTCCTGCAGTGGTCCTTCCCGAAGTCCTTCCTCCTCCAGAAGAGCGGCGTTCAGTCAAATGGCTTCGGCAAACTGGAACTGGGAGGACTGGGGTGAGTTGGCGTTGGCCGTGCTGTTCGCAGCGTGGCTTTGGGGCTGACACCCTGCGGGAGGACTGGCAGCAGGGAGGCCAGCTTTGTCTGAGGGGGAGAGGAAGAAGGCTTACGGGGTCTGATGCCAGCACCTGATTTCTGCAGAGCCAACGGGGTCAGGGCTGGCGTGGTGTTGGCAAGACCAAACTTGTCTCTTTGGCACCGTACGCCCCGTGCGTACTGGGCTGCGTGGTGCTTGGGGAGTGGCTGCCGTGGACATCCCATCTCTGTCTCGAACAGGCTTCTCCTTTCTCCTGCAGCAAACTCCTGCCTCCAGCCGACGAGGACCTCAGGAGATGCCTGGAGCCCAGCCCTGCTCCAACTTTACCTCTCTCCAAGCATGCTGCTGGAGCTGATCAGAAGCCTGCCGCCTGCCTCTGACGCTGCCCTGCTGCTGTGACCAGGCAGCTGCCGTCCCTCCCTGGGGACACCTCAACCTACCTCAAAGGAAGAGCCAGGAGCTGGCTCCGGAGCCCCCTGAGCCTCACGCCTGCCTGCGGGCTGTTTTTAGGGAGGGATGTTTTGCTGGGGAGAGCTGTGTGACTTCCTTTTTTTTAAAACAAATGGCAGGAGCTGCTGAAGTTGGGTTTGTGGCTGATGTTCGAGCCGGAGGTGGGAGGAGGTTTCTTTGCTGCATGAGAGCTGCGAGTGAGTTTGGAGTCAGCCTGGCCTTCCCTTCCCCGACCAGCATGGGCTGAGCCTGTGCTTGCCTGTGTCACCCCGCACTGACCCCGAGCCCCAGGGAGCTGAGTCTGCTCCCCCCTCACTGCAGGCCAGAGCGGGGAGAGCCTGGGCCCCCTGGAGAGAAGTCCTTGGCCCCCACACTGCTCCTCTGGGAGGAGCAGGGCTTGGCCCTCCTAGCCCATGTGTTTTATCCTCTCTGAATGCCTGTGCCACCCTCCTGCCCCTTGCCAGCCTTGGGTTGTGGGCAGAAGCTGGGCTTTTTGCCCCTTTTTTTTTCCTGCCTGCCTCCCAGCGGTACAAGAGCAGTGGTGGTGCTGGAGGAGGATCCCCTCGGTGCTGTCTCTCCTCCGGGGGTACCTGCAGTGCGTGGGGGCTGCAGGCAGGTGCTGTTCTCCTGGGCTCTGGTCTCTTTTCCCTTCGTTTTTATCAAGGATTTCCATTAAAGTTCAGCACTCGGCTGCTCTCGTGGCCTCTCTCTGTCTCCAGCTGCTGCCTCCCCACCCCTGGCAGCCCCCTCAGCCTGCCCTGGGGCTGGCAGAAACCCCTTCCCTTCCTTCCCCTCTCCCCGCAGCCCCCCGTGCCCGTAGCTGGGCCCTGTTTTCTGGTCTCCTTGGTGACAATCTCATCACTCCTCGGCTTCTCTCCAGCACCTGAAAATAGCCACCGAAAGCGGAGCTGCCTCTTGCCAGCACCGCCGCAGCGCCCAGCCTGGAGCCAGGCTGCCCAGCTGCGTGCCGGGGCCACAGGGGAGCGGGGTGGCTCTGGGGGGGGCCCTGGGGGCACCCCGGCCCTGCTGCCTCGTGCCCAGCACCCAGCCCCCTGCCTCCTCCCTCCTCTTCCTCCCTGTTTTTGGGCCCTGCCTTTGCTGTAGTGCTCTGGGAGCGAGGCCTTTGCTCCTTAACGGGGTGCACGGGGGTGCTCGCAGCTGGCCCCAGCATCCCCGGGTATTTTGGGAAGCTGTCGGCCGTGATTTAAAACCCTCCGCCTGGCCCTGCCTGGCAGCATCTCCCGCATGGGTCCTGACCTGGGGGGGCTCAGGGCCCTGCTCCCCACCCCGGCCAAGCTCCAGCCGTCCCATGGGGGGCACGGAGCCGCTCCGTCCCTACAGCCAGCCCCACGCCTGCTCGCCCAGGGCTGGCCCGGCAGCAGGCCAGGCGTTCCTTCAACCTTCCTGAAATAGAAACGGAGCCGGGAGCGAGCGTGGGGCAGGAGGGGTGGCCCAGGAAAGAGGTTTTGGGGCAGGCACGGCTTGGGGGACACCACCACAGGGACAAAGTGCCCAGACCGGCTGTCCCTGTGTCCCCAAAGCTGCTGGCTGCCACCGGGGCCATCCCTCCTCCAGCATCCCCAGGGCTTTGGGGTGCCGAAACCCCCTGCTCCTCCTGCCTCATCCCTCGGGGGCCGGGCAGGGGGCAGCTTTCCCACCCTGTACCCATCCCCATCCCCGTCACCCTCCCCTCGCCTCCCCAAGCCCCTGGGGCCTCAGCCCCTTGCAGGTGCCTGTCTGGGGGTGGCAGGGTGGCGCTGCCTGGTGGCCCCCCCGGCGGCGGGGGCACGGCTGGCATTGCTCAGTGACACCCTATCTGCCAGGGCCCGGCCAGCAGCGGGCCCAGAATAGCAGCGCTGCCCTACAGTCAGCATGGAGCAGCTCCCCAGCCCCGCTGCTCCGCAGGTACCCCCGGGACGGGCGGGGGGCACGGCCGCCAAGGCACCGCCTGGGGACCGGCCACAGCGGGTGGGGGGCACGGGGGGGCTGCTGGCACCTTCCCATGGCATGGGGGAAAAGGGCACGGAGCAGGGCACAAGCCGCCTGCTTGCCCCGGTGCCGCCAGCTCTGGGGAAGGGTTGGGGTGGGGGGCGTTTTGTATGGGGTCACCTCCCCGCTGGGGATAGCTGTGGTGTCCTTAGGGAGCAGCCCACGCAGCTTTGTTATGGTAGGGTGGCATGTAAACATTGGCTCTGCCGCTGTGGTGCGTGCTGCTTTGTTATTGTAGGGTCTCCCAGGGGATTAGGGGGGGACGTGGGGCCAGCCGGCCCGTCCTGCTCGCCCCCCTTCCCGCTTGGAGCTGCCCCTTTGTTATTGTAGGGTCTCCTGGCGCGGAGACCCTCCAACACCTGCAGGCTCCCAGCATCGGAGGAAGCCGGAGCAGGATTTACACCTTGGGGGCCGGGGCAGGGCTGCCACGGCACAGGGAGCACCCGCACGGCCCCGCATCCCCTGCCCTCCCCGGGGACCCCCGCTGCCTCCCCAAAAGGGGCTGTGCTGTCCGGAGCTGCCCCCCACCTGCACCCTGGGGTGGGGGCGAGGCTGGGCAGGGTGCTGCTGACCCCCCCAATCTCTCCGTGCCCCCTCAGATGGCGCTGCTGGATGCCGCTGCCCGCCCGAGGATGAAGGTGGGTGTCTGGGGGGGGTCTGCTGGCCCCAAGGGATCTGGGGGCACCAGGACCTGGCAGCGGGGCTCAGAGCCGGGGCAGGTTTGCCCGTAGGGTTCCCGGAGGTCCCCAGGGAGGAGGAGGAGGAAGAGGAGGAGGAGGAGGAGGAGGACAGGCGGAGGAGCCCCAGGACCCGTCACCTTCACGCTGGGCCCCGAGGTGCTGGGGCTGGGCCCCGAGGGGGATTTCCAGACCCCCGACGCCGAGGTCTACATGCACTTCTTGAGGAGCCACTGCTGCTACGACGCCGTCCCCACCAGCTGCAAGCTCGTCGTCTTCGACACCAGCCTGGAGGTGAGGCCACGGGGGACCAGCCTGGGGTGTGGGGGGGGAGGAATCGGGGACCCCCTGACCCCAATTCCCTCCCCGCTCTGTTGCCAGATCAAGAAGGCTTTCGTGGCGCTGGTGGCCAACGGGGTGCGCGCCGCCCCGCTGTGGGACAGCAAGACTCAGAGCTTCGTGGGTGAGTGCCGGGAGCCCCGGGGTGGTGCCGGGCCCGCTGCGGGGTGCGGGCAGCACGGCCAGCCCCCCGTGTCTCCGCAGGGATGCTCACCATCACCGACTTCATCAACATCCTCCACCGCTACTACCGCTCGCCCCTGGTGAGTGCCACGGGGTTGGGCACAGGGCACGGGGCAGGGCACGGGGTGGCCGCTGCTTCTCCCGCTCCCCAGCTCCCCCAAAGCCCCCTCTGGCAGGGTCCCCCTGACCGGGGCTTCTCCCTGCCCTCAGGTTCAGATCTACGAGGTGGAGGAGCACAAGATTGAGACGTGGAGAGGTAAAATGGGGAGGTGACGGGGGTGGCCGGGCTGGGGGCGGCATGCAGGTGGCTCTGGGGGTGCGGGACCCCGCTCCCACCGCTCTCCCTTCGCAGAGGTGTACCTGCAGGGCTCCTTCAAGCCGCTGGTCTACATCTCACCGAGCAATAGGTGAGCTCCTGCCCGCGGGGAGAGCTGCTGGGACGCCCACCCGGCTGCCCTCCACGCAGCCGTGCTCCCCACGGGGGGGGTGCCGGGGGGGCTTCCAGCCACAGCCGTGTCCCCCCGCGCCATCCCCTGCAGCCTCTTCGACGCCGTCTACTCCCTGATCAAGCACAAGATCCACCGCCTGCCCGTCATCGAGCCCACCTCGGGCAACGTCCTGCACATCCTGACGCACAAACGCATCCTCAAATTCCTCCACATCTTCGTGAGTGCAGGGGGGCAGTGGGCACGGGGGGGGGAGCAGTGGGCACAGGGGGGGGCGCAGGGTGCGCGCGCTGCTCGCCGGGGTCGCGTAGCGCATACAGATGCCGTGTGCCCTGCCCCAAAGCAGGGCTCCACCATCCCCAAGCCCCGCTTCCTGAAGAAAACGGTGCAGGAGCTGTGCGTCGGCACCTTCCGCGATGTGGCCGTGGTGCCCGAGACCGCCCCCATCTACACGGCCCTGGAGATCTTCGTGGACCGCCGCGTCTCCGCGCTGCCCGTCATCAACGCCGCTGGTACGCGGGGCGGAGAGCCCCCTGCTCGCCCCCTCTGCAGTGCCTCCTGCCCCGTTCCCAGCCCCAAAACCCCGTCCTGAGCCCCCCTGCTCTGTCTCCTCGCAGGGACAGGTGGTCGGGCTCTACTCCAGGTTCGATGTCATTGTGAGTACCGGGCGGGCTTGCACGGCCGTGCGCCAGCGCGGTGGCACGAGCCTGCACGCGGGGACGGTGGGGACGTGCCAAAAAGCAGGCTGTGGGGGCACTCACACCCCGGCACCCATCCCACGTGCGGTGGCCACGCGTGCTGGCACCCCATGCACCCGGGCACCGCCTCTCCCGCAGCACCTGGCTGCCCAGAAGACCTACAACAACCTGGACATCAGCGTGCGCGAGGCGCTGCGGCAGCGCACCGTGTGCCTGGAGGGGGTCCTCACCTGCTACCCCCACTGAGACCATGGAGGACATCATCGACCGCATCGCCAAGGAGCAGGTGAGCGCCCGGGCAGCGTCCCTGCTGCCCGCCAGCCCCCTCCCTGCCTTCTGTCCCCCCCTCCCCACACACACACCCACCCCGTGACGCTCTGGCCGTGCCCGCAGGTCCATCGCCTGGTTCTGGTGGACGAGAACCGGTACCCGCGGGGCATCGTCTCCCTCTCCGACATCCTCCAGGCCCTGGTGCTCACTCCCGCAGGTATCGATGCTCTTAACTCTTAGCCCACGGCGCTCCATCTTCCTCCATTCGCACCCTCCATTTCTCTCCACTTCAGGTAGGCGCTGCCCTCCCCCGCCACTGCGTTCCTGCCCCCTCCCCACCGCTGGGTCCCTGTCACCGCGCACACCCCACTGCGGCACTTTTGGGGTCGGGAATGGGCTTGGGACCCCCACACACACAATCCCAGCAGCACCCAGTTGCCCTGTACAGGCTTGGGACCTCCCCAGCACGGTGCCTTCCCCATCCCCTTGCAAGTCCCCGCTGTCCTCTGCGCTGTCCCCATGTCCCCTGTGCCATCCCCATGCCCTGTGGCCACCGGGGCAGGACGGAGTGCCATGCCACAGGGTGCCCGGCCCTGCACCAGTGCCCGCCAGGGTTATGGGGTTATGGCCTTGTGCCCTCTCTCGCCCCACAGGCATCGACTGAAGACACCGGGGACGTGCCGCCGCCGCCTCGTCCCACTCGGGGCCTCTTGCTTGGCCCGGCCCAGGCATTGGCGGGGCCGTGGAAGGAGGCTCAGGCCCCGGGGGCTCTCCGTATGGGGGTGCTGCCCACCCGCCCCGCTCCTGGGACTCGTCTTGAGCCCGGGGCCAGCTCCCTCCAGCCTCGCGGAGGACCAAGGGCGAGCACGTGGGGCTGCCTGACGGGCACCGTGCCGTGAAGGGCTGCGCAGCCGGGTGCAGGGACCCTCCTGGCCACCTCCAACCTGTCCCATCCCAAACTGCTGCCAGATCCCAGTGCTTCAGCCCCCGGTGAGCTGGGTCCTGGGGGCTGCAGCGGCACCGGGGGCTGGGCTCGGGCGCAGGAGGGGGCACGGTGGTGGCGTGGCTCAGCTGCACACACAGCCTTGGTATTGTAGGGTCTCCTAGGGCTGGAGCGCCCCGGCAGCGGTGCTTGCAAGGGGACCTTGCACACTTTTTTTTGGGGGGGGTATTTATTTATGTGCCGGTCTGCTCAGCCTTGTTGGAATAAAGCTGCCTGCCCCAGGCACCACAGGCGCGTCCTCGCCTGTCTGGGCACACAGCCTGGCACGGCTCCTTGGGGCTGGGGAGGGGGTGCTGGGGGGTGCCCATTTGGGGACAGCCACGGGTGGCACCTCTGCCCCCATGGGGACACCCTGAGGCACGCAGCTCGGTGGCCTTTGGGGACAGGGGGAGCTGAGCCCACCCTCCCCCCCTGCTGCCTCACCCTGCCCCTTCCCGTGCCCCCTTATCAGCATCTCCGGGGAGGAACAACTGATAGCGAGAGGTCCCGTGTGATGCACGCCCCCTGTGCTGGCTGGCACTGCCGGGGGGCACGGTGCCAGCCCCCTCCCCACGGCAGGGGACCTGCTGCCAGCTGCACTTTTACTCCCCAGGGCTGGCTCTGTCCCTCCCCAAAACCCCAAAACCCCAAAACCCCGCTGGCGGCTCCATCCTGCCCCGCGAGGTGTGTGTGTTGGGGGAAACTGAGGCACGGAGAAAGGGCTGGGGCCAAGGTCAGTTATTGAGACAGGACCCGGGCGTCCTGGCCCCAGGCACAGATCCACGCGCAGCGACACGATCACGGGACGAAGGAGACACCCCACGGCCGCCAGCCCCCTCCCTGCGCCCCCCAACCCCGGCAGGGAGAGCTCCTGGGTCCCCGCCGCAGCCCAGGGGGGCACGGGATGGGACGGGACTGGGGCTGGGGGTGGGGGGACCCCTGGCAGCGTGTGAAAGGCACAGCAAAACCCCCAGCCTCCTGCTCAGGGGGCCCCCGGGCGAGCGATGAACTCCAGGTTGATGGGCTTGTCGGCCACCAGCACGATGCGGGACACGGACGTCACCTCCACGCCGCGGGGGTCCGGCCGCACCTCGAACGCTTGGATGATCTGGAGGGGGGAAAAAGGAGAGTGGCGGTGCCTCAGAGACCCCCAAAAACACCCAGCACGGCCTGGGGGGTCCCTACTCACCCTGGCGAGGGCCAGGTGCATCTCCAGCTCGGCGATGCGGCGGCCGACGCAGGCGCGGACCCCGTAGCCGAAGGGAATGGAGCTGAAGGGGTGGTGGGGGGAGCCGTAGCCCCGCAGCCAGCGCTGGGGGAGGAAGCGCTCGGGCTCGGGGAAGTAGGTCTCGTCGTGGGACATGGCGTAGTGCGCCAGGACGAAGAGGGTCTGCGGGGTGAGAAGGGGGTCAACGCCCTGCGGGGCACAGCGGGGTCCCCCCCGGAGCGCCCCTGACTCACGTTCTTGGGGAAGAGGTAGTCTCCGATGATGATGTCCTTCTCGTAAAAGACCCTGGCGTTGGTGGGGACCACGGGGTAGACCCTGGGTCGGGATGTGGGGAGAGTTGGTGCGGGAGCTGCTCCCACCTGGGCCCCAAGGCAGGGCCAGGAGGAACATCTCCCGCTGCCCGGCGGCTCCGTCCCCCCCCGGGAAGGATGTGGGTGGGCCCCAGGGGGCTGCAACCCAGCTCTGCACCCTGCCTGCCCGCTGTCCCCAGCACCAGCACCCCCAAAAGCCGTGAGGCTGTACCTCAGCGTCTCCTTGATGATGGCCCGGAGCATCGGCATCTTGGGGATGTCCTCGGCTTGAGGAAAGCGGTCCGGGGGCACGACGGCTTTCAGCTCCTGGTACAGGGTCTCCTGGATGCCTAGGTCCCGGGAGAGGTGGTACAGGGCCCACGACAGCGTGTTGGAGGTCTGGGGGAGCAGAGGGGAGGGAGGGAGATGGGGCTGGCACCAGAACACCCTCACGGTGCACCAGCGTGGCACCAGCCAGCCCCGTGCGCATGGAAACCCTGAGGGAAACTGAGGCACGGAGCCGGGCAGGTGGCAGAAGGGAGCACAGGGGCTGCACCGACGGCTCCCTGAGCCCTTGGGGCAGTGCGGGGCTGGCCCTCACCGTGTCCACGCCGGCCAGCAGCAGCTCGGCCACGCTGCCGTAGACCTCGTCCAGGCTGAGCCTGCCGCTGGCCAGCAGGTAGCTCAGGTAGCCAGACACCTCCTTGCCCCGCTCCACCTGCCCCTCCAGCTCCTTCATCTTCCGATCAATCAGGTTCTTGCCTGCGGGGACAGACGTGGCCACGGGGAGGTGACCCAGAGTGCACGGAGAGGCGGGCAGACCCCGGGTGGCCAAAAAGGAACGCGCCCTGGCCACGCTCGGCGGCTCTCCGGGGGGGCTGCCCCCCTCGTGATGGGGTCTGAGCCCATCCCCAGGGCTCACCGAAGGCGAAGATGGTGTCCCAGCTGTCCAGGTAGCGGTCCCAGAAGGGCAGCACCTTGCGGCTCCAGCGGGGCAGGACGGTGGCGAAGATGGAGTTCTTGAACATGAGGTTGATGGAGTCGATGAAGTGCTGCGTCTCGGCGGGGACCTGCTGCTTCAGGCACCCGATGCGGGTCTCGAAGAGGATATAGGAGATCCCTGCGGGAACAGACCGCATCCAGACCCCCGCGGGGACACAGCGGGGCGGGGGCGAGGGCCGGGCCCCCCCCTTTTACCTTCCAGGGCGAAGCGATAGAGCAGGTTGGCCACGTCCCCCACCAGCACCCCCGAGGGGCTGCGGCTCCGCTCCTCGCGCAGCCGCACCATCAGGTCCGACACCACCTCGCCGATGGCATCCGCGTACAGCAGCGCCTCCGAGGGCTTCAGCAGCCTCTTGTTGAGGACCTGGCGCAGGCGGTACCAGCGCTCCCCTTCCCTGCAAGGGGAGCCGGGCTCAGCCAGCGCCGTGCCAAATGCGCCCCGAGCCCTGCCAGGCTCTCCACCCCTCCGGAAAAGGGAGTGCAGGGAGCTCCTGCCCCGACCCCACAGCACCCCGGGGTAAGGGGGCAGGGGGTTTGGTGCCCCGCAGAGCACGGCCAGGGCAGGACTCACTCGGTGAAGGGGCCGTAGGGCAGGCGCCGGGTGTCCCGGTGCTCCTTCCACAGGGCCATGTCGCTGCGCATCGGGTACTTGCCCTCCTGCCGCAGCAGCTGCTCCAGCACCACGGGGCTCCCGATGTTGATGTTCTGGTAGTGCCCGAAGGTCGACTTCCAGATGGGGCCATAAATGCGCCGGGACATCAGCTGCGAGGCAGCAGAGCAAGGCAGGGTGAAGGGGGAGTCGGGGTGGGGGCAGCGCTCAGCACCGGGGCTGGATCAGTGCCCAAGCACAGGAGGCACCAACCCCCTGCGGGCACCTCCCTCAGCCATCCCAGGGTCTTTTAGGGTGGCACAGACCAGGGGGGGACAGCAGGGACAGGGACAGCTGCCATGCGCACGGGGCTTGGCGAAGATGCGGGGCCATGGCAGTGGCCATCAGCAGATCCCAGCCCTGCTGCTCCCAGCATCACCCCATCCCTGCTGTGCTCGGGAGCGGGTCCTTGAACCCGCCACCGATAAGGGGTGGTTAATGATCAGCACCGGGCTGCTCCCGGGGCAGGTGTCCAAGCGCTGGGGCCACACGTGGCCTTGGGCTCCTGTACCATCCAGGGGACATCCAGCATCAGCCCTCCTCCGGGCTCACAGCTCCCCTCTCCTCACCTGCGACCCCTCGGAGCACCCGGCGCACCCCAGGCACCCCCTTGCAAGCCACAGGGCCACTTCCAAAGGGCTCGTGGCACCTCGCCGGGCACCGCCACAGCCCCCACGGAGCGGGACCAAGCCCAGGGGGCTGCGGGGACCCAGCAGGGAAGCCGTGGTCCCGGTTCCCCGTGGCTGCGGGGATGCACGTGGTACAATCTCCCTTGGTGACTGACTGCATCGCAGCCTGAGCCCGGATTCATCTGGATTCGTCACCGCGGGGAGACGTTCGTGGTGGCAGGAGGAGGGGGAGGGACGGCCGCCCCGGTGCCGCAGGCGTGGTGCACCCTGAGAACAGGGGGCTGCGGGTGGCTGCACCCTGGGTCGAAGCCTGCTGCCAGCATGCGCCCATGGCCAGGACCCGGCACGGCTCAGGATTTGGAGCGCAGGGCTGGGAGAAGCTGCTGGCATCAGGGGAAGGCACCTCCGGAGCTGCCTGCAAAGCTGGGCCACGCTCAGAACCCCAGGGGAGCAGCAGGGACCTGTGCCTGCTCTCCCCGAGCCCCTGCTCCCCTGCCACAGCCCTGGCAAAGGTGCCCGCTGCTCTGCGGTGCCAGGAGGCCTGATCCCGCACTCTCCTCCCAGCCGTGGCGGGTCGGAGCTCCAGGGTGCTGGAGGCTGCTGCCTGGCTCGCGGCCAGCCAAGCCCATGGCTTGCTTCATCCGACGTATGAGGAAGTGCCGACAGAAGGAAACAAACAGCTGCCTGCTCCTCCCCTGCATCCCCGGGCACCACATGCCCCCCGCATCTGCCCCCCAAACTGCTGCTCGCTGCAGCTGGAGCGGGATGGGGACGCCGGGAGGGACCCTGCAAGCATCCCCTGGCCCTCGAGGGGAAGCCAAGGCACGCGTGGCCCTGCCCGGCTCGGGCACTCCGAGGCAGCCGGTGGGCTCTTCTGGGTGCCACCCCCTTCCCCACCAGCCCCTCTGCGCGCTGCCCCCCCCAGCATCCCCCCACGGGTGCCGGGGCGCTCCCCACCCTCAGCTCCCCACGCGGGCACCCAGCTCACCGCGACCCCATCCCCACCACCCATCCC